TATACGGCGGGGCAGCATCTGTGTATATATAAGATCGTTAATGCGTGTGTACCGTGGGTGGAAATTACTTTGTATATTCGTGTAAAGGCAAGTACGGGATAATGGTAGGTATAAGGTAGGCCGGCCACTTAGCGCGCGCGATACAGTATACGCGTTTAATTTTGTCTACTCGTATCGTACGCGCTGCAGGATACGTAATAATAATACCGTATAAACGAGTATAAGGAGAGGAGGAATCGCTTTTAGCCGCAGTCTCCAAGACGCACTCTTACTCTTTTGAATTCGCAGTATTCGCGGCCACTTCTAGTCTAGCTGTGCTGCGGTCGGTCGGTGTTAGCGAGCGCGTGCGTCCCGCAAGCCACTCTACATACACCAGCCTTCGAATTAATTATCACAGAAATTAAGAGGCGCTCGCGGTGGTCTGCCTGCGGTTCCCTCTCTCTCTCCCTCTCTCGCTCGTTCTCTCGTTTTTGCGCTTAGCTAACCGAGAGACAGCTATACAAGTTGCTGGCGAGGCTCCTTTCGATAGATGCGTGCGTGCGTGGGTGTACGAGTATATAGCGAGCGTGCGAGAGGATGCACGGTAGCCGAGCGAGCCTCGCGAGATTAACACTTTGAGAGAGAGGAAAAAAAACATGCGAGCTAGAGAGAGAGAGAGGAGAGAGAGAGAGAGACAGAAAGAGAGAAAGAGAAAACAAAGTGAGGAGGCATCACTGATGAGACACGAGGGCCCACACATGTCGAGCCCATTATTGTAACATACATCACACACTCGTACTCTGGAATATAATATGTATATGCAGGCATCGGTCGATGAGTACGAGGCGCGAGTCGACCGAGTTTCTTTTCCACTCTACGTCGTCGAGTGCTCCGGCCTTCTCTCGTTCGTTCGCTCGCTCGCTCACTCGGCCTGTGTTGATCTTGGCCCGAGTCGCTGATGCTCTCTCTCTCTCTCTCTGTCTCTGCGTAGCACGCGCAGTCATCCAAACAACGACGGAGCTGCAGGTGCTCCCGCTGCTGCTGCTGCTGCTGCTGGCTGCATTAGCACGAGGATCGCGCTAAAAGCTTTCTCGTACTCGCGGCGCGGCCCTCTCGACATAGCTCGCAGCAGCTCGCGTCGAGCCGAAAGCTGCTGGGTGGTCCGACGCGTCTCTGACTCTGCTGTACGCGCTGCGCTGCGTATTTTGCCATTTTCCGTCGGCCGTCGGCGCGCGACTCGACCCGACTCGACGAGGCGTCTGCTTCGCGCAGATAAGCCTCTGCAGCCGAGCCCACGACTACAAACTGCCCCTTGCCACGCTACAAATACATCACCCCTCGTATAGTCGCCGCCAATACCGCTGCTGTCGTCCTCGTAGTTTGCGCCCGTTGATGCCCGCGCTTCTAGCCCTGCGGTAGATGCTTTGCTCGGGCTTGAACAAACACTCGCTATAATTTTACCCTATCTCTCTCTCTCTCTCTCTCTCTCTCTCTCTCTCACGTTCGTTCGCTCACTCGCTTACTAGCCTGTCATTGATTCATGGGGCTCGTTATATTCGATCAACGGTATTCTGACCTTTTTTTCCGACTCTTTTCCGTGCTCGAGTCACAACCACCCACGCGCGCCTCAAATCTTGGATAATTCGGAAAAATAAATAACTCGATACCTAGCCGTGTTACTCGATAGTCCGAGTCAAGCTAGAAGAGGTCAACGTGCATGGATTCTCGTCTCTGTAGAGCCTCGTGCCCAGCTCGTCTCGATTGATCAAAGCATATACACAATACATTTAATACATGTATATGAAGGATTATTACAAAGCGATGACATTATATGTTCGAAAACATTCACGCTTTTACTCTTTTGACTCTTTGGTTCTCTCGCGTATACGCAGGTGCGATTGTGTTTTTTTCTTTCTTTTTTCCTTTTCTGGTTCCTTCCTATTCGTTTGATGTGTGGCCGGCCCCGCGTGCGACCCGAGCGCTCGCGCGTTAATTATCATTTTAACTGTCTTCGCAGCTCTTTTCTCTTTCTTCCGAAAGTCTTATAGCTCGCGACTACCCGCTAATTAAAATGTTTCAGGAAATCAACGCGCGTCGAGCTTCCTGTCATCCTCTTCACGTGTACACCTATACGCACTCGGATCGATACTTGACACTTGTCATGCTATTTTATCCCGCATAAAGTATACCGGAAGATTCTCCTGCATCGTGGCTGATTTTTTTTGTTTTTTTTTTTGCGCTGTGACACACGACGTGAAAGAAGCGAAAATGGTAGCTGCGGCGAGTCGCTGAAATGCACGCACGAATACGTGCAAGTAGCGGATGGGGCCTCCTCTCGTGCAAGTTTTAATGATAAACCAATAATGGAACTGTACGCGCAAGAGCTAAGAGAGGACTGCCTGCTCACACATACGCGATAGATATTTTTATCTGCGACGATTTATTCGCGCTAACACGATCGAGGCATGTTATCGTGCTTCGCACGCGCCGATGTATATAATCTCATTACCGAGTCGTCGGTTGCACATCGTATAAAATTACGACTCTATACGTATCGCGCGAGAGTGCGCCAACAAGCCAATGTCTTTCTGCGGGCCCGAAACCTTGCAAAACATCGCCTTTTCTCGCGACTCCTCATTGGCTGGCATTGGAAATCGTCTTCGCCGTCGACGCTCGCGCTCTGTTTGCCAATTATGCAAGATCGCGCTCGTATTCGCAAATATTCCCTATCTAAATTTGCTGTACATTATACGTATGCTAATATGAATTCGTTTGACTCACTCTTAGCTTCCTTTCACATCTCCACTCGTAGCGACATCTGACTTTCAATCTTGAATACTCACTCTTCTCAAAAATTAACCATTCGTTGGAATCGAGTCCACTTTATCAACAGTTCGATCGGTAGAGTTACCTGTGAAAAAAACGTAATACCCTCCGTTTGAGATAACAACTTTTTCAAAATGTCAATTTCTTCGTGATAAAATTTCATTCCTAGAAAAGTGATTGTTCTTCATAATGTATATCGATAGAATAATTTTCTCAAATAGTTATAAAATGACTCAATGTTGCTTTCGGTCAAATGTTCACATCCTGATTTTTAATTATTATTAAAGTTAATTTCGTTTAATATGTAACTTCAAATGAGAAATATGGAATCCAGCCAAGTATTTAGCTGTTCCGTCAAGTAATTTTTATTTTATTAGTATGAAAGTAGGCAACTACTTCAAGCTTATAATTAATTTTATTACATCTATTTCAGATTGAAAGAAGAGCCAACAGATGTGTTGCAAACTAAAAATATTAAATATGAAATAGTACTGAGCAAGTTCAATACTTGAGATTTCTGCAAGAAAGCCGGATAAGTTTTGATAAAAAATCATAAAATAGAGCTTTGCGACGTGCATATTAATATAAAGTTAAGAAAATGCGGGATTATTCTCGAAATCATTTACAGGATATAAAATATAACGATGATCGTGAAACTCAAAACGGAAATAAAACAAAATAGAAAATGTAGGGAATGCTACAAAATTGGTTTCAAAATTGAAGACAAATATGACTGTGAACTCAGCGAGCAAAATCAAAAAACGAGTATCACAAAGAAATTCAACTGTCAACATGAACACGAAGTATAGTGCATGTAGGTATCACTTATATAGAAAAAAGAATCTCTCTTAAGATCATATCAAGCAAGACATCGTTACAAGACACAGCTCGAGCAATACATACAGAAAGTCATTTTTACAAAAGTCTAACTTGAAACCCCATACCGATGTGGCGCATATGGGAAAGACATATATACTCTAAAATGTTATCACAAGAGCCACATCGGTTCGGGCAGACTAAACTTAAAAACACATTAATGCGACTTATAATGGTATCACATATCTAACTATAACTGTAATGCATGCAGTTGATCATTTACTTAAAAATGTAATCCCCATACTCATGTTGAGATAGTTCATAATGGTATCAAACATCCATATGATGTGTGATTTCTGTGAAATAAAATATAAACGGCAGTTTGATCTCAAGGGGCATGGCAAATTGTTTCATACTGGTATCACCCAAGCGTGCGAGACACGTGAAAATATATTTAAACAAAAAAGAAGTCCAATAGACCACATTGGCAAGGCGCATTACTCACACATTGTGACCTAATATATGTATATAAAAAGCATGTTCCGTCTTATCAAAAACTCTGATGTACGCACCATCTAACATATTTATTCGGAAGACCAATTTTCGTTTTATTATATGACGAGTTCCTCTTGTATTATATTATCTATAATATACACGAAGATATTAATAACGTTTGAGTTAAATAAAAAAAATTTAATAGAAAAGTAACCATATGTTTTACAGGACGATTCAAATTAGCGTATGATTTTTTAGAATTGATCTATAATTCTAATTGAATTAGCTAAGCGATCTATCCCGCTCGCTCACAAGACCCTTCAGATCGTGAATTAAACGTCTTTGAATCATTTTTTTTCTAGAGAAAAAAGTCACTTTTTTCCATCTAAAGTTGAGCCCAAAATTGGTTTATCAATAAAAAAAGGGAAAAATAAAAGATAGGATTTTTCGTTCATTTTAAAGTTTCTTCTTTTCAAAACCAAAAGTAGTGAGGAAAAGATCTCGCCGTCGTTATCAAAGTTTCATTGAAAATTATCACTCATCTTTAACCAATTCAATGCTATTATTTATTTTTACTTTATTTAAATGTCCCAAACAAAAAAATTTGTTGATGGTACAAAATGATAAAAATATTGAAATGCATAAGTTCATCTACAAATTGTTCAATCAAATTCAATTTTTGTTGACAATACCTATCAAAAAGAGGACTTTTATAATTTCAAAATAAATGTTCATTTAGTCACTTCAAGGGCAGTAGATTAAATTAGTGGCAAAAAAACCATTTCCGTTATGTACAATCAGCGCTCTCTTTCGGATTGGTTCCTAAAGTATTTTCAGTTTTTTTAAGGTCTTCGTACAACAATATGTAAGAACACTAAGAACTAAGATATGAAACAGTGACGGACTTATTGCAAAGATGGAGTGTCAGTCATGCGCTGCATAACACGGCTCAATCTCAAATCTGAGAGTTAACGACGTTAACGAGAAAAGTCGTGAGTACCTGTAAGCCGTGTCGACAATGAGCATAAGTTAGACAGCAGACGAGATCGATGATCCAGTAAATAAGGATCATTTGAAAACGTCGAATGCTGGGCTCAGCGTTGAGTGCATTCATCGCATCACGCTATATTCAGTGTCAGTGTTAGCTCTGCCGTGCATTTCGTTACACGTATAGGTTATCTGAACTTTTTTAAAATGCCTTGTTGGTATTATGAAAAAAAAGAGTTGAAAAATACTCCATCGGTTCAGGATGGACTCGACTTTGAAACAGAAAATAGATACAGAAAAGAAGGTGCAAGATTTATCATTGAAGTTGGTACGAAAATGGACCTCGGTTATAATACTATGGCAACTGGTGTAGTGTATTTTCATAGGTTCTATATGTTCCACTCTTTCAAAACGTTTCCACGATATGTAAGTTATTCAACTTTTACCATTTTACCTTATTTTTAGTTTATTATATCTTCATTACAATTGCAAGTACAAAATTTTATAAGACATTCGTTTGTGTATTCAACTATTTTCTCCAATCAAATGTCAACTCCACTTTGAGAATGTTTACTTTTGACAGTAATATACTGAATGCCATTAAAATCATGTTGTTTTGATGTTAGGTAAAGTTGACACAATCATTTACATTACCTTTGCAAGTTTAGGTTACAGCATGCTGTTGCCTCTTCTTAGCTGGTAAAGTAGAAGAAACTCCAAAAAAATGTAAAGATATCATCAAAACAGCAAAATCTCTGCTTGATGATCAAAAATTCATGACTTTTGGTGATGATCCAAAAGAAGAAGTAATGACATTAGAAAGGATCCTCCTTCAAACAATCAAATTTGATCTTCAAGTGGAACATCCTTATAGTTACTTATTGAAGTATGCCAAATGTCTGAAAGGTATCAACATATTACTGATAGTCATTATCTATTAGTTTTATTAATACCCATTTACATATTTTCCATTTAATTTAAAGGAGATAAAGGTAAACTTCAAAAAATGGTTCAAATGGCATGGACATTTGTGAATGACAGGTGAGAATGTCTCCAACATAAAAATAAAAAACATACCTTTTTTAATGTTTGTCAATAAATTTAACCTACTTTTTTCAGTTTATGTACCACTTTATCGCTCCAATGGGAGCCTGAAGTTATAGCTGTAGCACTTATGTACCTAGCTGGTAAACTTAGTAAATTTGACGTTGTTGACTGGAGTGGCAGACAACCAAAGCATTGTAGATGGTGGGATATGTTCGTTGAAGATGTTACTATGGATTTATTAGAGGACATTTGTCATCAAGTACTAGATTTATACTCACAATCTAACAGTGTACCAAAAGCAGATTCTCCTCCAGTGACGCAGTCTACCGAACATCCAAGAGAAAGAAGCACACCTCAATCAGTAAAAATGGAACCTTCTCATATCCCACTTAATGGTCAGAATTTTATTTTAAAAAACGTTATTCTGTGAAAAAGAGATCAATAATCAAATCAAAACGTTGTACTTTTACAGTTGCACCTGTAGTAAAGATACCAAAAACTGAACCTGCCTTAATTACTGGCAATGGATGTCAAACAGTTGATGTAGCTGATAGCTCGAAACAAATTGAACCTCCAACTCATTATCCACCGTATGCTGCATTTCCTCCAGCAAATTCTGCATTTCCACCAGTTTTTCCACCTGCAAACATAAATGTACCGCCACCACCTGTGAATGCTTTAAATCATATAGTTCCACAAATGCATATGAATATGGGAGGAGCAATTCGACCTCCAATTAATCCAGGTCCTCCAGCATCTTTTCATCCGCCGTACCCTTACCCACCAAATTCAAACTATTTTCCAGGAGGTGGAGCCGCTCCGCCATCGAATCCACCTAGAATGTATTACCCATCTTAAAGTAAATATAAGCTAAGTTAATGTTAGAAAAAAATGGATCATTGGGTGATTTTTTGTCATTTTCAATGGAACTACAACTTTATGAAAATGTGAATATCAAAACTTGTATAATATGAACAATTTTACTTCACTTTTTACAAAAAGAAAAAAAAAACAATTTGTGAAGTGTGATTAGTAACCAAATCGAAAATTCTTGATTTAATTAGGAAAGAATGTAGTGAATAAGAAGTACAATAAATTCAAAACATTTTTCCAACTGGCTTTAGTATGTCCTTGAAATGACAAAAAATATTTGCCTAATTATTTAGATTGTAAATTACTGTATAAAGATTACATGTTTTTCAATAATGTGTGAAAAATACAAAACACTCTTCAGTTGGATTCCTTAGAATTACTGATATTAGTGTTGCATAAAGATCAGTAAAATTTAAGGTTAATTTTATTTAGATAAAATAATGTCCCCTTGAAAATCTGTGCTGACTTCAAAAAAACTTAGATCTATGTTACAATTTATATTTTAATATTAAAAAACCAGTACATTGTTTACATATATAAGTTTCCTTTATTGAAAAAACAAGGTCCTGAAGTTTTGAACTGTGGAATAGGTTTTTCCATAAGTGTAGAAAATAATTTAGTTAATGGTGATGCATTTTTTGAATCCAAATCAAATGTATCAGTGTAAAGTATGTATATAATGCAAAAAATATCTTGTATATCCGCATAAGTCAACACTGAAAAAATACATGTGTATTTTTATTGTTGAATATATGATTGCATAGTAAAATTATAAAATTTCTTGTTTATTTACCTCCAGCACTCAAACCAGTAACAATGTTAGGTTGATTCAAAATGCAATCTTTAAAATTATTTTCTTTAGCTGCTTTTGATGAACACAATAATTTCAAAGTGGATTCTGAATCAATTTCTTCTGTAGATTTTAAGTTGGATAAGTGATCCGCTGTGATTGCATATAATTTCTCTATTTTTGATAACAAATGTGAAAGCTGTAAATAATTGTACATAATATATTATAAATAATAATTTGTATGTAATAAAATCAAAATATTTCATATTATACCGTTTTAGTTAATTCTCCTGCTTCAGTTAAATCTGAATTACTATCAATGACGCAAATATAAACATCATCAATCTTATATATTTTTGCTACAGGTTTTTCAGATTTATTTTCTATGTTACCCACAATATCAGCATCTTTTAGCACACACGATAGAGTAAATTCTAAAATAATAGAAGTGTCAATAATCATTTTTCAACTCTCCCATTTTGTTTTTAAATACCTGCTACTATTTGACCCTCTATTAGGATAAATTTTTTGATAGTGACTGGCTCCTCATTAGTCCAATTTATACTGAAGCCTCTGCAGTTGACAGAAAGAATAGTATTCAACATTATTCAATGAAATTGTCAAAAATTTTTAGGGGTAAATAATTGAAATATTTTTTCATATATGATATTTTTATTAACATTACTTTTATATTCTATCATTTTTTATAAAATTATTTTCAAATTACTTTATTTTAATATGTATAATTAAATAATATCAATTATTCTATTTCTATACAATGTAAATAAACCATATTTCAGGTTAGGTACCGTGGGTCCTTTGAATTGTACTTACAAATTGTCTTCGTGACAATGAAAAGCTTCATCGTCGTCATCGTCATTCCAAAAAGCCCTCGAGCTAGGATGTACAACTTCGCCAAAGTAGCTAACCATATTTTTTTTCTACTAAGAATAAATTTTAAAAAATAGCAAGTTGTACTTGATCAGTACTAAAATACAATTCATATTATGTACATACATAAGATTGTTTTGATCACGGAACTGCTGTTTATAGTAGAGATCATCGACACGATTGATAAACACGCCATCTCACGAGTAAAACGTATACATCTATACAAAAAGGGCGCCAATACACGATTTCACGGAAACTAAGTTAATTATTCGGTTTTTATATTTTTTCTAAATATTTATCCTAGTTTTCTTATCAATTTGGTGTTGAAAAATTATTTGATTACCAAATATATTCATAAAATCGCTTCTATACAACGATACTTGTCCATACATCTAATTACATGTATATTTATAAATAAAAATATAAAATTTCTTCAAGTATAAAAAATCTTATCCATATCGATGAATGTCATGCACAAATACTTTTCTTAAATAAACTAAGATGTGTTTGTGTAATCTATAAACCACCTAATTTCTTAAATTTTAAAAATTTATCATTACTTTACGACGAGATCCGACAAGCGAATGAGTGTATACATTTTTGAAAAGTCGCACTCATTTCGTTTCGCAGGGTCAATGCGGTACGCCAAAAGTTTATTCACTAAGGCCGCTAAAGGTCCCACTTGTTAACTTGACACTTAAATTGCATTTTATCTTGACGACGGTTTTTTTCTTTGAGAAAAACTGTATTCAATTGTGGCGTAATTCATGTGAAAGTTTTCAAAAAATCAAAAACTTCACTTGATACGAAGTAGCCGAGCTATTTAAAATATTGGCTTGAGGATCATGTATTTCACTCGAGAGCAATATTGCTCCCAAGCATAGCCATACCGTTTCGCGCAACGTGCGTTATCGCGAGTGGCTCTGTGACAAAGTAAGAAAACTACTTGAAGCGCTAGAAAAGCTGGCAAGATATCAAGGGAATAGCTAAATCCAGCTAGAGCAATGTGCATCAAAATATCGCAGAGATAGTTCGGGTGTCTTACATAGCCCCAGAATCCTGACACGATCAAACGCTTTCCACGCTTGGTCGGGATCGTTTCTAAATCTGTGAAAGAACGAAGTTTTTATTATCGAATAAATAAAACAATTGATAAGATGTATAATGGTATAATGGACTTACGAGAAAGAGAAGATGAAAATGGATTCTTCCTGAACTCGTTTTTCTGATTATTGCATTTGCGATAAACGAAAAATGCAGCGAAAAATAGAGCGATGAAAATGCAAAACGAGTAAATGGGTATGTTGACTCTGTAATAAATCAGAAAATTAATAGCTTATAAAATCTCCAAATTATCCAACGATGATACGATGAATTTTCGATAATACATACTTGTTGAATAAAGCGAATCTCGTAGTTAAAGTTGCTAAATAAGGATACACTAAGTATCCAACCGTGAGCATGTAACCAGTTCCTTCATACATGAATTCAAAAGATGTCATCCACACAGATTCGTATACGAGGGAGTCGATGGAGTAGAAAATTTGTAAACCAGCAACACCCAAGGTAGCCAAGTTCAAGTGATCTAAATCATAGACTGGAGCTTCTTTGACAATTTTTACGATTGCAGCCAAATCGATTAGAGTCTATCAATAATATAATTTACCATTAGTTATTTTTCCATACATTAATGATTCAAATGGTGAATAAATGGTTTACCGTTCCAATGATAGCAGTGCGGAAAATTATGACTTTTATATCAAGATTTCCGAATCTAGGATTGACTTCTCGCCCTTGCCAAAGATTATAAATTACGCTGTTGGTAGTACCGTACATATTCAAACGGGACACGGGCACTTTACCTCCTTTGATGTACAATATAATAGCCAGAAGAACACCAAATATTGCGCCAATAACCGTTAGTGGCAAAGACTTGTGAAGCAAAAAATTAACGACATCGTAACCTTGATAAACACAGCCTCCAAAAATGGCTGATGATAAAATCAAGGTGAAAATACCTGCAAAAAAAGAAAAAGAAAAATAAGTCACTCAATAAAATTAAATTGAGATATACGATAACAGTAATGAAAATTTTTTTACCGTTCACTCGGTACTGCAGTTTACCGGAGCGGCTTTGCTGACCATCGACGGTACTGCCAATCGGTAAAATTGACATAATCGAGACAAAAGCAATAAATCCGGCATACGCTAACGATGCCTCCAAACTAATGAAGTTCCTCCATTGCTTCAAGTCTCTCAAACGGGGTACGCGCAATAGTTTTTGACTGCACTGTTCATTGCCACATGCCATTTGCAATAAAATACTTCCCAGTGGTAAAGCAAATGAGAGAAACAAAGCACCAAGCCAACCTCCCCATTCTTGGGGTTTGCTCAAATCGGCTTTTGCTTTTTTGGATTTTGACCCATCCGATTCAACGTCGACATCAGTTTCACTATCGTAGGCGATGATTTTCAATAAATCCTCATCGCGTTGAGCCGACATTCCTCTGGACTTTCCGTCAGGTGAAACTTTGTACTGATTTTTTCTTTCAGCTGGCAGAGACGCTGCTCTATCGGCCCCTCTCAACTGGTAAAGTTTCTTCTCTGTCTCGGCTTTCGAGGCACTGGCTGCTATGCGTATGGAGCGCCTGGTGGCTCGCACGTTGTCCTTCAAGCGCGTTTGCAGTGGAGCGTAGTCGTCATCGAGGACGCTTTTGGAGCGTTCGGTCACGTCGGTGTCGCTAGAAGTGTCCGTGGGATCATCGAGCCTGGACAGAGTGACCTTGGCTTGACGAGCCGCTCGCACAGACAATTTTCTGGCTTGCGACGCGGTGGTCGTTCGAGCCGGGGACTTCTTTCTGGCGGGTGATTTGCGAGCGGGCGACTTTTTTCTCGTAACAGCTGGACTTTTGGGTTTGGCTGCTGGGGGTCTTCCACGAGATCTGCTCCGGGAAACTCTCTGTGCCTATAACAAGATCGATACAAAAATTGGGTAAAGTCTTGGAGGGAAAAAAAAGAGAAAATTACTCGAATTAGAAACGCTTACCTTGACATCGCTCTCGGGGATAGTGTGCTCTACCCCTCCTTTGAATTGAATCTTGTACTTGCCGCCCTTGATATCAACCACTCGAGCTTTTTCAAAGTCCTTGGAGTTTGGAAGCTTAGCGAGGACCTGGTCCCCCTCGGAGAACTTCATGGTGTGCTGCAAAGACGAACGAGCGCTTAAGTGCCGGTGCAATAGACTGGCGCGTCTATTTAGACTCTATCGACTAAAATCGAGACTTAGAGAGAGAGAGGAATTCAAAGAACGTGTGGGCTCGATTACAACAGCATGGGAGAAAGCAGAGCCAAAAAAGAGAGAGGTCATGCGCTGCGCGACCATAGTCCAGCGTTATAAAATATACCGAAGCGTGTTGGGGCCTATTAATAGAACGAGAGCTGCAGTGCCTAGAATTGAATTTATGTAAGAGACATGTGCATTATAGTACGCGGGAGACGTGCAGCGCGTGAGTGCCGAAAAGGGACCAATTCGATGCTTGCGGTGCAGCGTCTCGCAAGTTTGCACCTCGCGCACAACATAGGTCTGCTCGGCCGAGCGTTTGTTTACAGGCCGCCGAGTGCGCGTCTCGGCAAGGCCGTATGCTATGTGCATATATACGTTCGGTACGTTATACGCACGCACCTATACAACTACGTGGTCAAAGCGCGCGCACAGCATATAGGATACAACGAGCGCGGCTCGAGCCGAGTGCGCTCCAGAAATGGGGGGGAGAGGAATGAACGAGACGACGCAAGGGTGCATACACACACACACAAACACACGGACGCGCGCGCGAGTCCACTCACACAGCCGTACGAGTCAACGTACGCTTTCGACTATCGGACTTTCAGGCGGGAGAAAGCCGAGCCGGTACAGATTACGATTGTAGCATTTCCATGATTTCGGGCTTCGCGCTGCACGAGACGACGAAATTTTAACGCGTGTCCGACGCGATACGAGACGCGCTCGCGTTTCGAGAGAGAAAAATTCACGACCGATTCGTCGGCCAGATAAGAACGAGTCGGCGTCGCTGCACTGCAGTTCGTAATGATGACAAGCAACGGTTGCACTCATCTTATCTCAAACTATATGTGGAAAAAAATATGGAGAGCAAACTCACCTGCTGATCAATGGCACTCGTGCGGCTGCGAACGGGCTTCGGTGCTGAGGTCTGGAACCTGCGCTGATAATAAATAATCGATGCACTCGTCGACGACGCGTACACGACGGCTACGAAAACAACAACAACACCCCACGCGTTTGCTCTTTGCACTACTACACCACTACTTACGGCCGGAGCGCGTACAAACTTACGTTACATACACAGCGAACTGTGCAGCGGCGACGACGGCGGCGGCGGCGGCTATAGCGGCGGCGTGGGCTTATAACGGAGCACAAGCTGCTGCAGTCGAGGTGAGGGGACGCCGAAACCCCGACGCGCTCCAATATGTTGCGCGCTGATGCCGAAGCGGAGCTGTCTGCGCGCGCAGCTTGCCCAACACATAAGCGATACATTGGAATATCCGCGCCTGTTGGCACTTTTCGATCTATCGCGCCCAAGCAACTCCGTTTCTGTGTGTATGTGTGTGTAAAACCGACGCGCCTTCTCCAAGCCTTGCCAACGAGATCGTGCGTTCCCCTAGAATTTTGGCCTCTTACAAAATAACTGCCTTACCGTTAGTGGATCGAGTCTTACCCTTTTTCGATATTATAGCACATGATCGCATCTTTCAATTTTCTAATGGTCCTACAGAACAAACGCTCGTTATACCGAGTTTTACCGAGTTGGCGCTTGTACAATCGCTCGGCAGTAAATGCCTGATTAAATCCCTCTGATCTTTTTTCTCATTAATTTCGTAACTACTCTCGTAAGAATCGTTGATATATCAAGGTTTTATCAACGCATTTACCTGCTTTACTTATTAGCATAATCGAGTTGTCGGATTGTTTTTACAAGCGTTATGCAATATTTTGACAGAAACATTTCATATACCGTTTGAATAATAAACTTTAAAGATATTTGCATTATCAAAACAGAGAAACTAAATTTTTTTAATTTTCGTTTGATAGCTATGGCGCGGGAATTTTGAAAGAATTTTTGAGGTAAAATTAAAGAATGAGATTATGATGACGTTATTTGAAGTATTTCCTACAACACAATTAACTCGAATTTTTATCATCCAATTTTGCTGACTGCTTTCCTGATGTGGCTTACCTGATTGGTTTCATCATTCTTTTTTTATGCTGGCATTTGCAGTGTAATGATTTGACAATATTCATGATAATATAAAGCATTTAATATATGTGAAAAATAACTGTTAATACGTTTTGAACATTTTGCATGAAAAGTAACATTTGTAAATAATAGTAACACTTAAAAGTATTATTACCTACTTATAATACTTCGGTTAATGTAATTACGAAAGCACCGATAACAAATTTTACCAGTGGAATACGTTGGAAAATAGTTTACTCGCTCATATGACGACTGTCAAGGTAATATTTTTTCGCGGAAATGTTACGATTTCTCAATTTAAAAATCAATAGATTATCTTTTGTTTCAAGCATTATTAGATAATTTAGAATTCAGTAAGGTTGTTGGAAAAATTATCGAGTTCGTGCAAGAAAAAAAAAATTGTAAACATATCGTTTTGTAGCATGAAAAAGTCGAAGCTCATGATAATAATAAAAATGCATCGCGCGATAGAGATACTTTCCAACAGTGTCATGGATAAAAAAAGTTCCACTGCTAGGCATAAATCTAATACGTTTATAATGATATCTTCATGCCTACACGTGCGATTGTCCGAGTGCGAATGCGCATTCGCACAAATAAATACCTTACATGGGCGCGCGCATTACTTAATACCGAGCGCTTGATGCATAAAAGAGTATACGAAAGAGACAAAGAAGGTCTTGGTGCAGTGATAAAGTTGACGAGTCATGAAAGGAATTATATTACATCGGCGCTGGCTGAAAAAGAGAAGAGAGAGAGAGAGAAAAAAGCTCGACTGAATAGGCGATTACGGAAAGAAAATGTCAAGTAATTTGGCTTTAAAAAGAAAAGAAAGGAAAAGCTTTTTTGTCAGGGTTGAGCTCAAGTGGAGTTGAACCAAGTGGGTCGACGGGGTTTACATGCATCGCGTAATTGCAGCGGCGCTTCGACTAGACAGAGAGGAGCCAAAAGCAGGCGTCATATTAGCGAGGCGATTATTATACATAGAGAAAAAGAGCAGAGAAAGACAATAAAGTGGCGATGCGCGCTCGAGCTACCGAGCGAACGAACCGCCATGGCAGCGATCACGTTTCCATCCGTCGATACGACCTTGAAGGGGTTGTCGAAGCTCGAGCTGCAGCAGTAGCAGCGATAACGAAAGAGAGAGAGAGAGAGAGAGAGCCACATGGAAAGCTGCACGCACAACACGACGCGCGACGGCAGTCCTTGCGGGCGTATTAAGGGCTGCCCGCGGAGCGTCTAGGTATATCGCGCAAGCGCCAACCGATCGATCGGTCGGTAGGTTGGTTGCTCTCGCCTACTACTGCGCGAGAGGGTGGCGTTACATTGGCTCTAGATTCGACGGCAAATACTCGCTTGTCTAGAAGCTGCTGCGGCTGCTACTCTCTCGTGCCGACGTGTGGACGCACCAGCACACAGGTGCCCATCGCGAGCTTTTACGCGAGAGCAAGTCTCGTCGGCTGGTGCGTGCGTGCAGTGCTGGTGCGCGGGTTATCGCTGCTGATCGCTCTCTGCTGCTGGCGTCTCTGGGGGTTATAATTGCGGCGGCGGGTGGCCCCGGGGGACGATGAGGCGACGTCCTCACAGCCCCAGCTGCTCGCTTGCTGCTGCTTCTGCCCCCGCTGCTGCCAACATCGTTGCTGACTGCACTGTTCCTCTTGGCCGCTGGACCGCCGGCTGAGCAAGAGCAAATGGGACCCGCCAGCAGCCGCGACAGTCAGCTCGAGGATCAGCTGCCCGACGATGACGGCCTACACATTGCGTCTCGCGCGGTAAGTCATAGCTTTTACCACTACCAGCTCGCGTTGCACTAGCTGCGATGCGCGCATACCCACGAGCGAGCCACCACCTCTCCGACGCGCCCGTGACGACGACGACGACGACGACGACGACGACGACTACGAATTAATTCTGCAGATTTACTCGTGATACTTGCGTCGTTGAGCGTATATCTACAGTGTATACGCACCTATTATACCTAAAGCTGTGTTGGCTTATTTGGAATTGGCGCGCAGGCCTACGTGTGTGTATCTCTCTCTCTCTCTCTCTCCGCTGTCTCGCTGATAATCGCGACGACCGATCGTATCAGAAGGCAGCACGCCCGCGATCTCGGTGGCGGTGTCAGTTTTGTTTCGTGCGTAGGCTCGTAGTCGCGACTAGTCAACGCGTCACAGTCGTCGACGTCGGCCGCTGGTGATCTCCTCTCCGGATCAGCCAACGACCAGCTCGTAGAGGAAGTAGCGGGCAGTAGGGAACGGGCCGAAGCTACCTGCTTATATCTGCCCATCGGATCGTCTTCCCCGAGCAACTGTAAACGTTTATCGACGAGAGCTTTCGTATCGCATGCGTAATATCATGTCGACGAGCAGATACAAGGTAGGCGATTCTACATAAGACGTATAGACGTGATGTATAGCGCGCTGCATTTGCCCGAGCTGATACATGCCACTGCAGTTGTGTGCATTGTTGTGTCGGAATTACCAGAGGGCAATTTCGCGCTCCATCGGACAAGCAAAGGCGAATCACGAGTTCTCGTGCAGCCAGAGCGAGACGACAAACTGCATACACAAACGCGAGCGACGAGAGATAATCGCGATAAGTGTGTATCAATTGCGCGCGCGGCTCGCCCGCCCGGCAGCGCTTTTATGCGCTGCCATGCCAGCGCAACTGCAAGCCGAGCGCAACTTTTCATATAATTACGCGCAGCATCCGAGCGCAAATAAAATAATCATCCTTTTTTCATGTGCGATGCTTTTAATGAAAGAGAAGAGAGAGAAAAAAAAACGTTTTCGCGCGCTCAGTACGCGGAGATCGAGGCTTGTGGAGCAACCTTGAACGGGTTTTTGCGTCCCTGACAGCTATGTATCTGCCTCTGCGTTTCTGTTTGTGTGTGTGTGTGTGTTGTGTGCGCGCATAGGCGCGTGCGAGGCTAATTGAATCATCATTGTTCAGGTTTTGTGTGTATAATCGTTACATGGGCATTTATCCAGAGGTCCGATGCGACCGAGCGAGCGATTCGACGCGAATGTCAGATGCGATTTGTCGCAAGCACGCGTTCTCGCGTGGATGCAGAAAAAAGCTCGGTCACGATCGCGAGATTTTATACGTGCTGCCTAATCGAGCGCACGTGTGACTGCCTACATATTAATAATGCCGAGGCATATTCTCGGGCCGCTATTTTTTTTTTCTCTTCAATTGCAATCTCGTCGAAGAGCCGATCGCGATTCCAAGCGTCCGTGCAGCCTTAAGACCGGCTTATCGACGAGTATTATCTTGCGAAAGATTTGGAATTGCCGGCGACGCCGTGTAACGTTATCTCTTCGATCGTATATAGATAATCCCAGCAGGTTGACGAGTAAGAATAGCGATCGCGAACATGTAATTACACGTGTGCGCGAGTCTTGGAGAACCAGCTTTATAGGCATATTGTACAGCGGCTGAGCGGAGATGCTTTCGGCTCGCCTTGTAGATCGGCCTCGGCAAAGGCGTTTCGCGCGCATTTCAACTGCAACGCACACCACGATATGTAATAGCGATAAATGCAGGCCCTCGTTTTCCGCGCGTTTACTGCGACAAAGAGAGTCCTTCCGTCGGTCGTCGAGTTGACTCATTTTGTTTGTGACTTTGAGTCATTCTTTGGAGAGCGCGAGCTAGATCGTTTCCGTCGACTGCCCGTGACCAGCGGCATCGAACTGCACAGTCGAAAAGCGAGCTGCACAGTCGGCGTATTACTCGCGTTACTCGGGCGCGGAGGGCCGGTGAACGTACGCATACTCGTGGCCTGCGCATAAAGCTCGTCGTGTGTGCAGCAAAAAGTGCAGCAGGCTAAAGTCACACACGCAGAGGCAGCGTCGAGCGAGAGTGGAGGCATAAATTTTTCATAATTCATTGGGAGAGTAATGCGTGCGTATAGGTCGACGTATCGAGTCGTTGTTATACTCGCTCGCTTCGAGCTCGAGACTCGGAGTATAGTCGCCGTCGCCGCGGAGTGGGAGCTCGGCTCTGGCGTGTGACTCTAGCGTGCGCGGCCACATAAACGCCAAGTGCACAAGAAAGTATAAGCAAAACGACGACGACGACGACGAGCGAGCGAGGCAAGCGAGCCGAGCAAACGAACGCGTATCGTATCGCGCCAGTGTCTATCCAAGTATATAATATATGAGTCATTTCACGTCAAGTCTCCTAGCGCGGCGCCCGCTCGGCATTATTAATCGAAACTGTTCAATTTGTAACTCGCCAGAAAAGCACCTAAATACAATCAGAAAAAATATGTGCCATATGATTTTGATAGGAAATTTCCTCAGCTTTCCGATGATGAGGTCAGATTTTCCAAAATTTTCCATTTTCCCCGGAAAAACTTGACATAAACTTTCAAACTCAAATATCTCAAAAACGGCATTTTTAAGATTTTTTAAAATAGTGCCAATCGAAAGCTGAGGAAATTTCCTATCGATATGCAAGTTTTCAGAGAGTACTTTTGATAATTACTCAATGAAATACAGCGACGAACGTGTAAAAACGTGAGATTTTGCGCCGCGCGGGGTACTGCGCGCGGGAACAGCTGCCGCACGGGCCGAAATGTCACGTTTTTACACGTTCGTCGCTGTATTTCATTAAGTAATTATCAAAAGTACTCTCTGAAAACTTGCATATCGATAGGAAATTTCCTCAGCTTTCGATTGGCACTATTTAAAAAAATCTTAAAAATGCCGTTTTTGAGAAATTTGAGTTTGAAAGTTTATGTCAAGTTTTTCCGGGGAAAATGAAAAATTTTGGAAAATCTGACCTCATCATCGGAAAGCTGAGGAAATTTCCTATCAAAATCATATGGCACATATTTTTTCTGGGTGCATTTAGATGCTTTTCTGGCGAGTTACAAATTGAGCAATTTCGATTAATAATGCCGCGCGGGCGCCGCGCTAGGAGACTTGACGTGAAATGACTCATATATATTAGCACGAGCAGCAGCAGCAACAGCAGCAGCAGCGGCGGCCAGCTGCTTGCGGCTCTCGGTATATAGCAGCGCTCGCTCGCGCAGTAGCGTTAACGCAGAGGTACAGCTCGGAGCACAGGCATGGCGTCGTCGTGCTGCTGCTTGCAACTCCGATTCGCGTGAGACTGATCGTGTACGGCAGCACGCGCTCTTACGCACATCGCGCCTCTCTTTCTCCTCGGACTGTCCTAACAGTCCCAACTGGTCGTGGATTGCAAAGTCGCGAGTAGACCACAACGACAACAACAACAACAATAACGTCGACGACGACAGTAGCAGCGACAGCAGAAGCAGAACTCGAGTCTCGCTCAGAGGAGCAGCTGTCAGTGTATAAACAAATACAAGCCATGGCTGCTGCTGCTGCGAACGACGAGCCTACCGACGACTGCTGAGTGCCGACGGGAGAGCTTGTGCTGCGCTCGATTCTCGTCGCCGTCCGTGTCGTTGCGTGCACATCGCGCCTATCGCGGCACGCACAGTAGTCGTAGTACAGTAGTAGAGTGTTGTGCTACTCGGTTCGGTGCGTACAACTACTCTGATATACACACACGCGACACGCGACAGACATTTATCCTCCATCGAGTGATTCCAAAGTGACTGCCTCGTAGCTGGCCAGCAGCAGGATGGACTCGACAAGCGTGTCCAGGGTCTCGCTCAGCAAGTCCCAGTACAGCGGCTACGGCTCTCGTCGCGTTCGCAAGATCAGCACGGTCGGTGTGTGGGCTATATTAGATATTATACCTTCTCTCTCGACCATAATCTCTCGACATGTTCTGTAAACTGTCTTTTACCAAGTACAGCGTACACATAGTGATTGCTCTCTCTCTCTCTCTCTCTTTCTCTCTCTCGGCTTGTGATACTATTATTATGAAGCTGCTGCTACGATCAGCTGATTCGCGTGCTCTGCTCCGTTCTGCCGAACTCGAGGGGCCTACGCAGGCGCTATGTGTACGCTGTGCTTCTATATACCCCCTATTAGCGACTACGCCTAATTCACGTAGAGCCGAATGTCAAATATTTAGCTGCAAAGCTCCGAGCTTATTTGGCCCTCGTGCACGTGTCTCGACTAACGCTCGATCGCGGTCTCGTGCCTGTTACAGACGGAGAGCGAGTACTCGACCGAGGAGCAGGCCCGGCTGACGGGCGGCGGACCCGACGACGGCCTCGGCGACGACCCAGCCAACTCGCCCGAGGAGGAGGCCGGCTCGATCTGCGATTACCATGACATACCGCCGCCCCCCGACGGCGGCTACGGCTGGGTCATCGTCTTCGCCTCCTTCATGTGCAACATGATCGTCGACGGCATCGCCTACACCTTCGGCGTGTTCCTCAGCGATCTGTGCACCTACTTCGATGAGAGCAAGAGCAAGGTCACCTGGGCCGGTTCGCTGCTATCCGGCGTCTACTTGATGGCTGGGCCCGTCGTCAGCGCGCTCACCAACAAGTACGGTTGCCGAGTCGTCTGCATAGCCGGCAGCATCCTTGGCACCTTGGCCTTCATTCTGTCCACCTTCGCCAAGTCCGTCACCATGCTCATGATGACTTACGGCGTTCTCGGAGGTCAGTATTTTCTCTCAACTAAATTCTTCTTCTTTTTCTTTCTCGCGACCAAATTGTTGCACTGTCATTCGCAATGTGCGATTCCTATTTTTGCGTACAAGCTATCGTACGCACTCGGACACGCACACACGACACGCGCTCACGTACACAGCCAAGCCCGATGAGCAACCCGCCCACCAAGTTCACTACACTTTGAGAGCGCTGCGCAAAGTTATTAACGCGTGCATCGCTCGTGTTATAACAAAGGCGGCGTATAAATAGTGCAAGCGACTTCGACTCGTAAACAAAACTCTGACACAGGCATATTAAAGCTGAATAAGCTGAGAAAGAGAGAAAGAGAGCTTCTTAATCGAATTACCACACATCGAAGCTTGCGATGCATTTTTACATTTCTCAACGCAGCTTTTTCCCTCCTTCTCCCTCTCTCTCTCTCTTTCTCTTTCTCTTGCGCAAGCTTTGTATGTTTCTTGAAATATAACTAGCCAATTCGCGTATTCCTTGAAAAAAGAGTTATTTCCGAAACTTGACTACAATCGTTTATTTCTCTTCTTTTCAATGCACAATGTCGGCAAATATAACATTCAATTTTAACTTAACAATGCCTATACATTTCAAAGAATTTGATTAATTTCGTCAATATTAATCTAAAAAAAAGAAAGTAACAAATATTTCGCCACGATAAGCAATTTTTGTACTTAAACCGATGTAATCGAAAAATTGAATATTTAAAATTTTTTATTCCATAATCACATAGATGATTAAAATCAAATTAATTAACTCCAAATTTGTAGATATTCGTTTACCGTTATCGGTCATATTGATTATTTTTCTATAGCATATTTGAATTATCAAAGGCAAAAAGATCAACTGATAAGATTTTGAGTATACAATCCGAAAAAAAGAGTAGATAAACCAACGCTTGAACTAGCTATAAGCGCTTTTTATTCTATTATTTTTCAGGTATTGGTTTTGGGCTTATTTATCTTCCTGCCGTTGTATGTGTGGGATATTACTTCGAGACGAAGAGGTCCTTGGCCACTGGGATCGCCGTGTGCGGCTCGGGCTTTGGGACCTTTCTGTTCGCACCTCTGGCCAACATACTTCTGGACGAATACAAATGGAAAGGGGCGAATCTCATTTTGGCTGGCTTCATTCTCAACTGCGTGGTCTGTAGCCGATTGTTTTTTTTTTTTTTTCATTCTCTCTTTTTATCCTACAACGATTTCTTATCTAATCTCTATTGGACTCTCCGGTGGATTCTGCGTATACGTTTATTTTTCCGCTAATAAGTATGCCTCGCGTAAAATGATTCGCGTTCTTTTTGAATTTCGCAATTTGTGCGCTTTCAGATACTACGCGTTTTCTTGAGAGCGGATGATGCAGAAAAATAATGTGCGTCTGACACAAACAAAAAATAAAAATACTCTTCAAGTACTTATACTCGCGTTATGCGCGCTTATATACTACAATTCGATCGGTATGCCGCTTATGGCGTCCTCACAGCGTCTTGTACGTACGGACGATGCGATTTAAATTGAGTTTGATTGCGTTAAATCAGTTACAATGAAACAACAAAATCGTCCTGTGTTTACTCGCCACAAAGTCTTTTGCTCGACGCATATGAAATATTTATCATAGGTGACTCGGTTTTTGCAAGAAAAAAGAATCAGCCTTACAAAATGTCACGTCGTGTCACGTCTTGCACAATCGCAGTGTGTATATAAATATTAAATATATACGTTCTAGCTTCATTAGCGCGAAGTATAAACACGCGCAGCTCGCGTAGGTAAAAACGATTTGAAAAATTGATTAAAATTAACGTTGCGTGGAATGTTATCCTCTCGTTGCTAACAATATGCCGAAGGATTGACATGTATACGCGTTGAAACTCGGCGCACAATTCACTCCGTGCAATGCGCGCCGATGACGACGACGACGACGACGATTAATAGTCGCGCTGCAATTATTCAAGCCTGAAATGCGCTGTAATGTATACATGTCGGCGTGTCAAACTTGATACATAGATCGCATGACACGTTTAGCGTGTACGCAAAATTATATACGAGCTGCGTTCGCACGGAAAACTGACCGAATGCGGGCAATTTATGCTAATAGATTTTTGGCGCGCTGATGAGACCGTTGCAGTACCCAAAGGCCTCGTCGGTGAAACCACTGCTGCAGCGAATGGCCGAGGAGAAGCGTTTCCAGATGGAACGTGGAAGCATCGGCGGCTCCTACTTCATGGTCCAACTACCAGATGGATCGATGGAAAAGAGAATGAAGATGCCGATCAACGTTGACCCTGGCGTCCACTCAAGCTTCAATTTAGACCAATTAGTGCCTGGTAAGAGAGTCATGTCGCTTACGCGTACGATGCCCGAGACGCAAATTACGGGGTCAAAAATCAGAACGATACGCACAACGGGTGTAGCTCGATGCGCGTATACAATTAGGAGCTTTGACGAAATTAATCCAAGCTAAAATATTAATTGTATAACTTGTGTGTGACACCAGTGCCGACGGTGCCGACGCTGCCCACTATATCGGAGGTCAAAGTCCAGGAGCACTCGTCGTCGGGGGCTACCAGTCACAGCGGCAGTAGCGACCTCAAGAGTTCGTCCATCAAATCGCGAAGTCGCAAAGGCATCGACGAGCCCGCCAAGGACGAGCAGACCACGTCGGCAGCGGCCACCGGAAGCAGCACCATCAAAGCGGTCCTCGAGAGCAGCACCGAGCAGGGGGCCAGCAAGTCCGCCGCCATTCCGCGAAACGCCTCGCAACCGGCCTTCACCACTCACGTGCAAGGTCTGCCGAAGAACGGCTCGGTACCGTTCTTCGATCGCATTCGCAAGACCAGCACCGGCGAGCGTTACAAGCCGAGCCTCAGCGCCATCAAGAACTCTCGCACAACCCTCAATTCCAATGGCGACATTCGTAAGAGTTTCAATCTGAGACTCTCCAACAGCAGTATGTTGGGATCCCGTAACAACAACGCCGATCTCGACGTAAGTCTTCTGTCACGATGCAACTTTAACCATAAATACGGCGGTACAACGGCCAACGTAAAATCTGGCTTATTTCTTCGCAGGACGATCAGAGCATCACGTTCACAACGAGCAACATGCGCATACCAAGGGAGAAACCATCGATGGTGAGGCCACTGTCGCGCAAGGATATTTTCTACAGCGGTAGCGTCATTAATCTTCCCGAGTACCAGAGCCAAAAGTCGTTGGCCAACTATCGTCAGAGTGTCATTTCCCTCCCAAAGTCCGTCAGAGGTGTTGACGCAAAGGATGCTGATATCGAGAGAGCCCCCCAGCGTAAGTTCAGCGTTCACGCGTGTTGTAGCGTAACAGAAAACGACACTCGCTAATTTTTCGATCGCTCTTTTACAGAACCACTTTGTCCCTGTCTGGAGTTACCCGAATCGTTCAAAGAAGCCCTGGGAACCATGATGGATTTGACCCTTTTGAAAAATCCAGTATTTCTCTTCATCTGCATCAGCAACGTATTCGGCATGGCTGGCCTCTACATTCCTTTCTTCTACCTCGTTGAAGCAGCTGTTGCCAACGTTCGTATAGCCCCTTTTCAAGGATCATTCTTGACACGCTTGCTGGGCACACTTGCTCTCACTTACTCGTTATCTTTTTCCACAGGGAGTCGAAAAGAAGCAAGCCTCGTTCTTGGTATCGGTTATTGGAATCACCAACACCATTGGTCGAGTGGCTTGTGGCTACGTGGCAGATTTCCCGCAAGTTGACTCGCTTCTGCTCAACAACATCTGCTTGATCGTGGCAACGATTGCCGTGTCTTTGACACCTCTCTGCACCACGACGATGCACTACATGATAATGAGCACCTTCTTCGGCATCGCCATTTGTACGTGCACATCTCGATAATTTACTCATACATTTCATAATATGTTTACTGTCATTTCATTGGAGATCTTTTCCATCCTTACAGCCGGTTACATTTCCCTTACGTCAATAATTCTGGTGGATTTATTGGGCCTTGATAAACTGACGAACGCCTTCGGTCTGCTAATTTTATTCAGAGGCGTCGCTGCCATCGCTGGCCCACCGATGGCCGGTACACTCTACGACTTAACTAATGATTACGGAATAACATTTTACATGGGAGGTTTTTGCTTCTTAATTAGCACCATAACGAGCTTCGTGGCTCCTATGATGAAACGCTGCATCACCCCGCAGGTAAACATTTCAACCCCTATATCTTGCTGGTTTTAAATAGTATATCAAAACTCATTTTTTGCGACTACTTTTACAGACTCAGCCTGTGATATTAGATACATTGACTCCCATCGACGAAGACATCGAGGAAGAGAATGAAGATGATATTCCTGAGATTATAGAAACTGCTCCATCGCCTCAGGAACAACCCGAGAAAGAAATAAAGCAGATTGAATCGGTCTTATAAACAAAAAGTGCTTTAATCTAAGTTGCTTCTACAGTTATTCTTTTTCATGCGTGGAATCGATTAAACAGAAACAGCAAAATAAAAACATTTACAACCGTCACTTCGAACTACTCTGTGATACGGCAACATTTTTCTCTCAGCAAGCTAGCGTATTTATATATATGAATGTTCAAAGGGACTAAGTGGTATTTTCGAGTACGCTTTACACATGCGTAATAAACTTTAAAGTGTAATACATTTCTTTTTCCGTTGACATGCACAAACAAACAAACGATTTAAAAAACCTAATAATACTTTGCCTGATGGAATTTTTACACGTGTAAAATAAAGCTTTAAGGGGGTGATTTTGGCCTCTGTGTGCGCGACTTAATAATTTTGATTTCTCATATAGTGCGCGCGTTCACACATCAATAACCGAGAGATTCGAGTATGTGTGAGAATGAAAAAAAATTCCATTGGTTTTGCAGCCAATTCAGAATTCTCGCTAGCTCAATTAAGTACTCAGTCAAATTCGAGTAGAAATGCTTAATTTATTTTAAAACAGTATCGATCGTCAGTATGTTAGTCAAAGAATTCGCAAACAAGAGAAAAGAAATTTACTTATATTATTGTGCATAACTATTATAGATAACAATAACACTGAGAATACATAATTTAATACTAATAATAGTAACATTAATATAAATACTAATAAAAACAACAACAATAATAATGTTAATGATATAAGTTAAAGGATTAAATGAATTAGCAATCGAGGCATAGGAAAAAAGGCCTGTTGCGTTATACCTATGTAAAAATAATACCGACACTAGAAGCTATTTTTGAAAAATTTGTAAGAAAAAGAGGCCTTTTTTCCGCAGTCGAAAAATGCAAAGCGAAAAAAAAGTTAAATGAATATTTATATGTACATATGGCACGTGTACATAAAGCCAACCTATAAATTGTAAACACCTAAATGAATCAATTATTTATGAGAACAACAATAAGAAAATGAGAATAAGTGGTTAACGAAAAAAGAGAAAAAATTTAATTGTAAATAGTACAGAGAAAAATATTTGTATATTGTAATAACGAGCGCGGATGGATTATCCTAAATAGCTTGAAAAAAAAAGAGAATGCATTTTCATTGTGGAATGGATAATGCTTCGATTATAAGCTTACGAAAAATTCATAGTCACGGTGAAAAATATTTGCGTCGATTGATGAGCAGTTACATTGAATTATTGCACATAATATAAATATATTTACATTAATTGTGAACGAAGGGTGTATAAAAAATATACATCGGGTAACATAAGAAATGATTACTCAAGTACATATATTTATCTATGAAACAAAAATGTAAAAAAAAGGTACACAAATATGTATGCGAAAAGATAAAAAAACCATATGCAATGAGAAACAATCGTCGTTTTTAGATCTCTTACTTCTTCAGCTTGGTGAACAATAAATACAATTTTAATAAATATTAAGTGAATAATAATCCTAACCATTGTAAAACTAATGATAATTTCATTGATCACGAGTAAGAGCTGTAAAGACACAGAAATATGTATAAGTTATATTGAAGAAAAAAACTATATTATTATGTATATTGTCTGAAAAGTGGTGTGCGTTGTGTGTTGTGTTAATTAACCTGACATTGGTATGTGCGCACAGCAAAATCGGCTCATTCTCTTTTTCATATATTATACTTAAATATATATACGCAACCTGTATATATATGACAACGTGCACTAATGATTTTTCAGAGCCTCGAGAGCGAGAAAGAGAGACATACATGTTCGTATAATAAACAAGTTAATTAACACAAACCAGCCACGCGATAAATATTTTAATACTTAAAAGGCATAAATTCATGCTGCTAGAGATATAATAGAAGACGCATTACTCTCATATTTTATATACGAGCCACAATGCGTACGAAGTGAGCTAAGAAAAAAAGAAAAATCAGCCGAGACAGTGGCCTGTGCAAATGATTATTTAAGAAAAAAAATTATTAATAGCAACGATAGAAAAGCTATTTCTATATTGAATATACGCTATACATAAATGCAGCACATCACGCGCGCTTCGTAAACTCGAGCGCCAAGATAAATAATATGCATAACGTGCTCTTGTGTATGCATGCGTGCGTGTACGTGGAAAAGCTGCAAAGGTCACTTCCGAGCTGTAGATCTCTTTTTATCGCAACATTTCGAATGCATGTGTGTATGTATGTGTGTAAGTGAATTGCGCGAAAAAGCAAAGAAAAAAAGATGAGACTGTTCGTCGGTAGCTGCGGAGAGTTGTAACTACAGCTTCTTATACGAATTACGACTGGCAAATATATACAAAGAGATAGCGCGTGTAACAAAGAAACACTCGCTATCAACTTTTTACTAAAAAAATAAAAAAAAGGCTTTCCTGCTGCTGCGATCTTTCTATATATTGTTGTACATAACATTACTATATATATCTTGTATCTGTTTTATTCGATTAAAAAAATGAGAGCGATGGACACATTTTTTATGTCACATCCTCGAGACGTCTTATATTGTATGTGTATGCCATTGTATTTAAAGATCATGATTATGTTTTTATTGATTGTTATTACTCTGTGTGTAAAATTTGTATCGTTTCTATACTGGAGAAAAATATATATATTGTATAATTCGATTTTAACAATTTTTATGCGTCTCAAAAAGTCTTTCGTTGCGTTATTTTGTAACTTGCGTCTTTACGTAGGTATATGTACATTGTACACGTAATAGGTTTGCAAGAGTGCACACGCCGTACTAATTACGTGCGTCTATATGTATATCAATTTTAATGTATTTATCCTTGTTTTGTTGCTAAATGGAAGAAAGAGCGAGTGAGAAAAAAGTTAAATCGTGCACATGTGAATACGTTTACGTTGATTTAGGGAATCGCGTGTTCAGAGGTATATCGTATTTATTATTACTGATATTCATACACACACATATATTATTATGATATTGAATGCGACCCAATTTGAATTTTTATTTGTTAACTCGAGATTTGGTAAATGGTTTTTATCGACGTATCATTCTATATAAACCTTTTTAACTACAGATGTGTGTGTGTATATTTATGTTATATTTTATAATGTGTACAAACATATATGCATTAATGCGTACGTATACACGATTAGATTCAACGTCACACAAAGAATTAAGTGACATGCCGCGCGAATTTACCAAGTCCATGTCTGTGTCTGTGCGTGTGTTTATAAGTTTACGCTATGTGTAATTGTTCGCGCGCGAATGCTTTATCCCGCAATCGAGTGCGTCATGCAATGTATACGTGCGCGTGTGAGTGAGCGAGCGAGCGAGTGAGCGAATACAGCAATGCTTGCGAGTCGCGTGAGCATGTTTACATGCGGAATGAGCCACGCAAATCCATTCACTTAATCAAGAGAACAAAATGCAAAAAAAAAAAGAAAAAAAATAGAAAGCGTGCGCAAGCGAGCAAAATTTAGCAACTTTGCTTGTTGAAAGACTCGAGGAAACGTCACTAGTGCGTGTTTGTGTGCGTTATGTTTTTTCCAATTGTAAAATGTAAATTCCACTTGAGCTACAGGTGGACAAAAAAGAGGAAAAACGAAAAAAAAATGCGAAAAAGAGAATCGAGACGAGATCCGAGAGAGCACGCTAAGCTCTTGCCTATAAAGCTTGACGTACGTGCTTCATCGTACTCTCACCCAAATGTTAATATATAAATATATAAAATGTGGTACAAAGAAGGACAAATGTATTAGGTAGTGTTTATCAAAATTAAAGAGAAAATTATGAATTTTTATTATGGAACTCTTGTGTTTGTTTGTTATCGAATTTTTTCACACTTAGAAACCTACCCCCAACAAGTGTCGATGCAATGGTGAGTCAATCGCATAAACTCGGGCGGGAATTCATAAGCATGAAACTCGTGCGTGTGCAACATAAGAGAAGACGACGATACGCGACACGTATCTAATTATAAATGCCTCGAGGCATTATTAATCTAAGTCGCCGATCGAGTGTCGTTCGCGCGCACAAGTTGCTGCAGCGACGATCGCTACGCTACGCAAACCTTGACATCCGTCCATATATATATTATATACAGCAGCACACGTGGATGCGCACAGATCCACGTGCGCTGCGCACTTTCTCGAACTCACCTGCGCGCTCGTCCTGCGCGAAAAAAGCACTCCTCGTCGGAGCCCCATCCTTCTAATTTTAGAACTCTCTCGCCGCCTCGCTGTAACTTATCTCGGGCCATTGCACCTTGTACGTACGTGTGCGTGCGCCTGTGTGTGTATGCGTGCGAGAGAGAGAGAGAGAGAGAGAGAGAAGGAAAGAGCAAAAAAGCTTATCGGCCATACGTATAGCTATAACTCCTCGCGGGCCACGCTCCACAGAAAGCACGTGCTCGACGCTCTTGGAGCTTGGAGCGTCGTCGCTGCTGCTGTGAAATTTCTTCCTTTCGCGCGCTCGTTTTTGGCGACGGCTACGGGCCGGCCGCCGGGTCTCCCTCTCGACTATATATACCTATACCTACCTACTGTAATACCGACGTTCTTTGCGCATGCGACCTTGGCCCCGAGAGTCGAGAGTCGAGACTACACGGAGAGAAGTCGTATACATAGAATACCTATACCGGCCGATATTCGAGCCGACTGTCGCGAGATCGCATGTAGAGAAACGAGACGAGAAACAACTTGCACGCGCACGGCAATCCGGTTGGAATGCCGAAAATATATATAACGCCGCCCCTTTGCAGAAAATCCATTATATTAGCTTCTGAGATGACGGAGACTCGAGACTTACGACGAATTCTCTTGTACACCGAATCTCACAGCTCCCTCGTAAATCTCCCTCTACGCCAGCGGAAAATTCAACAGCAGGCAACATTTATATAATGCAGTGCAGCGATGATTTACTCGCTCTCCCGGTTAGCGCGAGTTCGCCTATTACATACACATGGGCACGTTTCAGCAGCCAACGTGTGCGTATGTGTGTATGTGTGTGCGCAGAGGCCAACAAGCAAGAGACATGCCCCTCTTTGATAAAGATACAGATTGACACATTAGAGCTGTATATATCAAAAGTCAACATAAACGCGGAGAAAACAAATGCAAGTATCGATAAGCCAATGACAACGACGCCGATGATTCGAGCTCGTCCAACGCGCAAAACTTTCCTTTCGATCTCTTCGCGGGGATCGAGCTCTCGCCGCAACTGCTGTTACATGCTGTTCGGCAAAAAAGATTATACCAAAAGTCTCCTCCTCGATGCTCTCGGAGCCTCTATGTATATTTATAAACACTACACGACAAACTTTTCCTGTCAGCGTTCGACATTTAAATTCGATTCCCGTAAGTATTTATAGTCTTGGTTTTGTTGTTGCATCCACGCGCGCCTGATCACACGGTGCGGAGCTATTTTATCAACCCACTACACGTATAAAGACGAATGATAAACGGAACTGAAATGAGAAAGAGAGCCAGAGAGACAGAGTGAGAAATATAAAGATCCGCGTGCAAAGCCAGCACATGATATATAATTATTATTAAATGAGCTTGTATGTACACACGAGGTGCGTGTGATGAAAGTTTATTTTCCTCTTGCTCGTAATCAGCGCGCGGTATACGCAACACCATTTTTGTATATAAATAATAAAATATATAACAGTCGGCAATACAGCCACATTGCCAGTGCCAGCGCTGTGTATGCCGGCGAAAAAAAAATAGCCGCCGCCAACTGAAGTGAAAGAAGAAGTAAAAATTAGCGCAAATAGGCGGCTCGCGCGCTCTTTCTATGTGCTACGCGCAGACACGCGCGTATATTTATATATACTCCCGTCTGTTCTCCATCGAATGGAAGTTCCCCGCAACTATTTTGGAGATAAGTATTTATCGAGTACCGCCGACGCCGTCGCGCCCGCAAAAATTTGAGGGGACATACATTGTTTCGGGCGCCAGATACATTCGCGTAGCTATGGACGAACGTGCGAAAAATCGATCGCATTTGATAATCGATCAGCAACCTATATTACACACATACACACACGCACATTCGAGCAACACGCACATAAGCAGGCCATTGGCCGCGCGAACTTGGCGGATTAGAATGCAAATTTTCGGAGTCGAGCGCCGCTCCGTTCATATAGACACATAGATGGAAAGAGATACATTGTGGCATTAACATTAGGGGCATGCGTGTGCGTGTGTGTGAGTCTGGTCAAAGTCACGGTCAATGCATTCGGCCCGATTCAATTGATTTGCAATCGAGCCGTGCACCGAATTGCGAACTTCGCGTCGCGAATCGCTTGTAGTTTCGAATTTTTTACGAGTGACGCAACCAAATCGTAAAGTTGCCTCGAGCGTGCACAGATCTTCACTTGGCCTTATGTTATATATAAAATATATACATCCATATACAATGTACGCGTACAAGTAGACGCGTCGACAGATATGGCCCTGTTCGTGCGATCGCGAGTGGTTTTGCGTTTAGAGAAAACGAAGAGAAAGAGTCGCGCGCGAGAAAGAATAAATAAATGGGGGAGCGCGCAGGATTTCGGGCAATGGAAAATTTTGGGCAGCCGACTTGAATGAGTATACGAGGGTGCGCCCCCGACCTACACCGAAGCATCGGAGCGTGCGTGTGCGTGCGTGCATGTGTGTGCGTGTGTGCGCGCCGTGCGAATCTATTGGAATGTTGCCTCGATCGATGCCGAACCCGATGACGGTGGTGGGGCGTGTGCGCGATTATGCGAGCCCCGAGACGAGCCGTGCCGAGAAACTAGCCGAGAGAAAAAAAGAAAAGAAAGAGAGAGAGATCGAGACGGGGCTCGCGGACTGCATGGATCGATTAGAACAATTAGCCGAGCTCGCATGCACGGGGCTTACAGTACGAGTAGAGCAAGCATACGCCGGCTGCGCCATGTGCCCCGGCAAGGTCGCACCAATAATCCTCCAGGCCAAAGCCCAACTTTGCAACTCGACGCTTTCTTATTTCACTTGGATTTTTTTCCCAAGCCGCCAAAATTCGAAGTCGCCGCCGTCGCCGCCGCAACCGTGCGAAGCCGAAGCGCCAAAGTTTAGCGTGAAATCGTCCCGAGCAGAAAGAGAGAGAGAGATAGAAAGACAGAAAGAAAGAGAAGAGGATTGGTCGGATCGAATGAGAAAAAGAGAGGGAGTTTGTGTGCGAATATATATGCTCGGCAAGGCAAAGCTGCCTATATATCTTTTTCTCTCTCTCTTTCTCTCTTTCTCTGTCTTTTACGCGTGTGTGCGATATATATGTATATCCAACGCAAATCTATCGCTCAGGCTGTGTTATAGCGGTGGCAGTCGGCTCAGTCGTCGTCACGGGCTCACGAAATCAGCACTTATTTCTCACCACGGCACCACCACCGGTTGGTTCAGTCTCAAGCATTATTGAGACATGTTTTTGTTTTCTTTCTCCATTTTTTTCGCTCGCTTCTATCTGTGCTTTTTTTAACTCTTTCCTATCTCTATATATGTAGAGGCGGCGATCGCGAGACAGGGGATCCGTTTTTCCGCCCGCGAGCCGCGAGTGCAACAGTTTCGGACTAGAGCGTGGAAAATTGCGGGTGCGCGCGCGCGCGGTTACAATTTTCGAATTATCTCATAAGTGCACGGCCAGTAGTGCAGTTGCAGCGATAGCAGACGGAGAGAGAGAGAGAGAGAGAGAGTCAATGCATGTACGTCGGCTTAGCGGGAAGGCAACACACATATATACAGAAGCAGCAACACGCAGCACAGTGCAGCAGAGCAGCGCAGGAAACAACAATAGGCCGCGTTAATCGGCCCACGCGCGCAAGTGCTTAATCGCACGTGCTACTACAGTGCATACAGTGCAATTGGATAAAAGTTTCGCAAGAAGAGCTTGATATCACGCGCTATCGGCCCTCGTGGCCCATTTGGGACGTGTCTATTTTTCTGATGAAACGTAAGATACGCGCGAGATCAGCGTCAAGTTATTTTCGATCGCGCCTGGCGCTTCCGCGCGGATAGATCTATATACGCGTACCTCCGCGCGTTGTAGACGTGTGCGCGAATACATAGTGGCGAGGTATAAATCGTACTCCCGCTCAACTATATAGATATATATGCATGCCAAGTGTGTTGCGCGATAACGCGAGCCTCGAATGTGTGACCACAAAAATAAATACCCGAGCGGTCGCAAGCTGTTATCGCGACAGTCGCCAGCCAACGAGCCTCGTGTGTCTCTATATATATTGTATATGTAAGCAGCGAAGCTCGAGTGCAGTTCTTTTTCGTTGCTGGACAGCGAAAATGCTGCTCGTGGCATCGCGCGAGCCACTTAATGTAGTTGATCGGTAGTCGATCGGTAGTTGATCGGCAAAGGTGTCGAGCGAATTGCACACTCATTCCGTGATAAGTACGAGGGAGCGAGGACTTTTGAACGAGAGAGATCGAGGATTGCGCAGCTCTCGCGCCGATAAGTACTATCATACTCGTTCAGTTATTTGGTACATTGAGAGAGAAAGAAAGAGGCAGAGGGTCCCTCTCTCTTTCTCTCTCGGGCGCACAAAAGCTCGTCGTGCTGCTGCTGCTGCTCGCCGCAGCGGCAAGTGAATCTTGTGTATATGCAGCGCGACTTCATTCAGCTTGTGAGCTTTACGAGCGTGCCTAGGACCATTAGAGATCATTGAACGAGTTCTCGGAGGCTCACAAGCTCCGATGCTCGTCTGCTTGCCGCCAGTTCATCGAACCCCAACGACAACACACCGATGTCTCTGCTGCGTCTATGGAGGCTGCTGCTGCTGCTGCCGCTGCTTTCTTTCATAGGCCAAAGCCGAGACTTTTCACTCTGTGTCACGCGCAACACGAGACGTCTCTCTCTCTCGCTCTCTTCTTCCTTTGGACTTCCGAAAAAAAATACGCATACGATGCGTCTGGAGCGCGTGCACAACGGGCTCGCAGGCGCTGCTGACATTGACTCGTGCTTGCAGCGAGCGTCATATGGATGTTACCGCACACAGTAGTAACAATACGAACATGTGTTTTCTTATCTCTATCGCTGCTGGTTGCCTCTCTTTCCCGTTTACATCGAGCTTGTCAATGGGCTAATTTTACCAACGTTTCAGGATTAATTGCACGCACGCGGCCACTTCTCACCTATAGTAGTCTCGTATTATTTGCTCTAATAACACTCGCGCACACGTACGTATCTTTGGTCGTTTGTACTTGTGAATTGCGCCTCTCTCTCTCGCTTATCTTCTTTTCTCTCTCTCTCTCTTTTGCACTCGAGGAGGAGGCGACGGCAAAGCAGCCCCGCGCGTGTTTGCGATAAAACGGCTTCGATATATTAGATGAAAGCTTGTCTTCGCGTTCGCGCGCGGCTTTGTACGATATTCGCGAGCGTGTATCATATGATAAATCGACTACCGTACTCTTTGCTGCGTCAAAAGCACGTCATGCTTCGACAAGAGCAGCAGTAGCAGCGGATATCTAGCCTAGGCTCTCTCGCAGCACACAGTCGGTGCGTCGAGTTCCTCGCGAGCGCAATACAAGCACGAGCCGCGAGCGACGCGACAAGGTACTTCTTTCTATTGCGTCCACTCACGGCTTTGCCTCGGCCTTTTATTCTATACTTGCAGTTTCAACGGATACTCTATTCTATGAGCCATGGCGATCGCCGAGACCTGCAGTCAGGACGATCGCAAGCTGGAAGTTGCGGTGGTTCAGCAAAATGGAAACCACTTGACCCAGAAAGAACTGGCCATACCTATGAAGGATGTCAAAGATGACGACGAGGGAGACGAAGACACGGTAATTTATTTAGCTACATCTCTCGTTAATTGAAACTATTCGCTTTACGATTTATGCTGCGAAAAGACGCGACGATTTCGAAAAAATCCACGGAAAAAAATTTTTATTTATTTGCATTCGCTTAAGATTTAATTGCCCTGACACTCGCGTCGAGCTTGTGTACAGATACTTTTTATTTTGAACGTATAGATAAAAAAATTCGCATTATTTGCACTCGAGGTGACAATGGCAATCGCTTCACGAGTAGATATTTATCGAGATAAGTTTTTTTATTTCAGAGCAACAAGATTGAATCTTACATTTCTAATGCATAAAAAGTTTCTATCCTCGAGTTACTGAGATATTCATACATATATATATTATCTGTACATATGTGAACTGGCAGCTGTTTTGCTCTCGACCTTATTGATTTTTAAAACTAGTTTTTGATCGGAGCTCGATTATACACACATGCATGTTTACTCGCTTAATTTTATAAGCCTTCGAGTATATCTCGACGCTTTCCTCGATATCTCGCGGTTACGCGCGTTAATTAATTAATAAATGATCAACGATACGAATTTGCCCATATTTTATATTCAGTCATTGTGATCGTTGTAAAACGAGCTATTAAAATTGGCCATTTTTTTTCTCCTCTCTGTTAAGTAATTGAATATATGTGCGAGGCGACGACAATTACTTAACATTTCAAATGATAGCCGTTGATAGGCATCGGTGTATTAAGCGATTAAAATCAAAGCCAAAGAAAACATCCACACTCGATAAAAAAATATATGAAATACATTAATTCTAGAAAAAAGATCTTTCGATCCCAATTATTGTAAAACGTTTCTGACTTACAATGAATAATTATCAGAATCGATCGTGTCTAAATCGACTCTGATTATTTTATATATCGTTTTGGCCCAATTAATTGCATTTAAGAGTAATTTAAGCGACTTTATCAATCGGATAATCTGCAATAACAAATCAAATTTCGTCAACATTTGTCTATTTCTGGAACAACATTGCATGTGGTGCAAATATATTTTTCGTATCTCTTACGCTATGACGAATATGCACCAGTTGTTTTTCGATATATCACATGACTTTTCGGAAAAAAAATTAATTGAAACAATCTCGCGTTTGGTTGATAAGAGCCCCTGCGCTCATGATCCCGCGCGTCAACTACCGAGAAAAGCATGCGAGTGCATCAATTATGCATTATATATTCTGGGTCAAATCGTTATCGGTGCGACCGTTGTCGGCAAATTTTCTTTCGAGCGATGAGAAAAATTGCACTGCCACTTTTTTTTATGGTTGATCACTGGATGACTCTCGTTTTATCGCAATATGCATACACAGGCTTACGTGGAGATGATCGTACCCCCCGATGGAGGGTGGGGTTGGGTCATCGTAGCAGCTTCGTTCATGTGTAATCTCGTTGTGGATGGGATTATGTTTAGTTATGGTGTCTTCTTCGATCACATCAAGCAACACTACAATGCAACGAGTGCTCAAGTCTCCCTAGCCGGTTCATTGCAGACTGGATTCTACCTCATGGCCGGTCCATTCGTCTCGGCTCTGGCCAACAGATATGGATTCCGATTGGTTTCGATTCTTGGCGCATTCATCGCCTGCAATGCCTTTTTGCTGTCGTACTTTGCCAACTCGATCGAGCTGCTGTACGTCTTTTACGGAATTATCGGTGAGTACGACCGATCTCGTTTATGTGCGCGTACGAACGATGAGCAATTGCACGATGGCAAGCAACAACACGATTTTTAAATTCACAGGTGGCATCGGCGCAGGATTGATTTACGTGCCAGCCGTCATAACGACCGGCTTCTACTTCGAAAAATGGAGGGCTCTGGCTACCGGAATATCGGTCTGCGGCTCGGGCATCGGCACTCTGGTCATGGCACCCATTTCCCAAGCTCTCATTGCACACTTGGGCTGGCGAGGAGCGATCGTTGTTCAAGCTGGTTAGTGTAATAATGAATGGCTCTTAAGTCATTCATTTTCCAACTCTCTTTTTTCCATCACGACTATTGCGTTTCTAGTACTCCTTTGCATAAAAATCACGTAAACTGATTGATTGATCACTTTGTCAATTCATAGCTCGCGTGAGTCTCTGCACTTTTACGCATTATATTCGTATATAGCCACGCGCGTGCGTGTGTTTACAAACTGGTTTTTTTAACGATCAGAAACTCAATTGCAAATATTAAAAGTAAAAAAAAAAATTTATAAATATAAATAATATTTTCAATCGCGCTTAAGATATATCTTTTTACTCAAGCACTGTGCACCGCTTGAAACGAGTTTCGCGAGCTTCATTAAGTTATTTCGCATTAGAAAAATAACACGCTTATCGCGATATATTTAATTGATAATGCATACATACATACGCATGCGACACGGCCATTCTAAATGCGTCTGTTTCATTAAGATATTTAATCCAAAGATAATCGGCAATAATAGAACTTGTCGAAGCACTGATTTACTTCGTGGGCTTATTATTGATCGCGACGCTTTTTCATTTTATCTCGTATCGGAATTTTTATTTTTCGAGTGTTAAGCGAAAATAATAATTAAAATTACCGCATAATCACCAAAAATTTCTCCGTGACGATCAAGCTCAAGGATGTTTGCAGAACAAATAAAATATACAATTTCACAACTTCAACACTTTTGAGTTGCCGAAATTGAGACATGTACTCGTAAAAATCTCGATTACGTTAATTCTCAGCGGCACGCTTACACCTAGATTAGCTCCGAAAGATCGATTAAGTAATAACTATTATGTACTTATCGGCAACAAGTCGATTACTTTCTTTTCATATAGCAGTGTGCGTATTCAAGGAAATATTAAACCATGTATCATAATATATTCTGATTTTTAGCAAATTAATGAATACGCGTGTCTGATCCTTGACCTACAAAATAAAATATATTTCAATAGCAATGTTGCAGTAACTCCACATTAGGTTTGCATATAGCTCATAGTCTCGCGCAATGAGTTGTAAAAGTTAACAAAAGCACTAATTGTTTAACGGCTTTGAGGAAAGAGCAATAAATACAAGTACACGTGTCCGAACGCCTCATCCTAATATATACGTAAATGTTTGTTTAGGTATGTTGTTGAACTGTGCCGTTTTCGGTGCCATGTTCCGTCCTCTCAAACCGACGAAAGTCAAAGCAGACGTGTCGATCGAAACGGATAATCCGGCGGTCGAAGTCAAGACGACTGTGTTGAGGAAGGGTCAGTCGACTACCTCGTTACACGCAAGTCAGCCACTAAGGAGCAGATTTTTCGGTACAAACAACAATACCGAGTATCCGACTGCCGCCGACATCGTCAAGTACGTATCGTCAATTATTTCTTGACATTGACGCAAATCTGTGACTGTTTTTTAATTAAAAAACTTGTAATTGATTTCTACAGCAACAGCAGCCGATCGTTGCATACTCTTCACAAAATGCCGGATATGCACATACTTGATCGACATAAGAGCAATTCCGAAAAGAGACTATCGGTACCAATTTATCCCGAGGAAGAAATCATTCCGGACGAGGACTTGAAATTGGCCGAAGAGGAGAACAATTTATTGGACGGTGATGCCGATAGGCTCAATGGAAAAGTGCCAATGGTATTGTTTACAATTTATTTATCAATTTAATTTGTTTTGCATGCGAATATAAAATCGTACGGAGCTGCGCTCGTTGTACGTTGCCAAAAATAATTCGCTCTCTGGAGCTCTCTGTTTGAGCCAAACCTAAAAATTCATTATGAAAACGTCAGTATAGTATACGTGCAGTGCCACCGGCGCGCCGTAACGATTTTCTTCTACATGGAAGCTAATAACTCGCACACGGGAACGTACTTAACATTGTCTAAATGGTAAAATCAATATTTATTCTGTTTGTTTTTAGATTCATAGGAACGCGATAAGTGATCGTCGCAGCCGAGCTGATTCGGTCACGAGTCACAGATCTTCCAAGCGTAATTCCATTGTCAAAGACCCGCAGAGACCCTTTTACAGAGACGATATCTTTTATGGAGGTTCTCTTAGCCGACTATCTCACTACAAGTCTCAGGTATATAAATCTTTGGCATCAAATTGAAAATTATTTTAGTCTTGTATTTAATTGAGGAATTTTTGACAGATGTCATCGGTGGGCTACCACATGTCCGTTACAAGGTTACCGACAACTCAAGATCTCGCTGAAGAACAAAGTGGAAAATGCGTTTTGTGCCCCGAGGGCGTTCGAAGAATCTTGTCAACTATGTTGGACGTCAATCTTTTGAAAAGTCCTTCACTTTTGATTCTGGCCCTCAGCGGTTGTCTGACTATGATGGGTTTCTACACTCCTTTCGTTCACATCGACAGTAAATAATTTATTTACTTTATTTTAGAATATAACTTTTTCGAATCAATCGTTATCTGAATTCGTTATTTAGGTTCACATTCACGCACCAAACATTTTTTCTCATACAAATTTTTATAAAGAAAAAAGGAATTATTTAAAAATCCGCGTAAAAAGTTTCCCTTGACTAGTCAAATACTTTATCAATAACTTCTATAATATCATAAAAATAGGGTAAAATGAATCATTTCATAAGCACAAATCCATTTTCTTAATTGCGAAGAAATTTAATTTGAATGTCATGGTTTTTTAATTTAAAAAACACCATAAATATAAGCTGTAGTAGTCTTTACAAACCATTTAATGTACTTGATGAAATGAAGCGGATTTAATTGAATTTTGTCAAATTGCAGAGAGAGCAGGGAGAGCTGGTATCGACAGTAATACGGCAACTCTGCTGATATCCGTTATTGGTATTGGCAATACAATCGGACGTATCGGTCTGGGCTACGTCAGCAGTTTGCCAGGTGTTGATGCCCTGATGGTCAATAACATCTTCATCACATTAAGCGGTATCCTTACGATTGCGTCTGGATGGTCAATGAGTCAAGGCTACCAGTTCTTTTACGCAGCTGCCTTCGGTCTCAGTGTTTGTAAGTGTTCGAGAAATGGTCTTATATGCATCCAGTCTAAAGCACGCAATGCTCACGGAAACCTTTCTCGATGAAATAACCAATTTATTCGCCTATTTGTACAGCCGTATTTGCGTCGCTAAGGTCGATCATCGTCGTGGATTTAATGGGACTGGAGAAGCTGACGAATGCCTTCGGACTACTTCTTCTTTTCCAGGGTGTGGGCGCCGTTGTAGGATCACCCATAGCCAGTAAGTACAGAGCATAAATGTTTGCTGGTATCCCTGAACTCTCTGACTGAAATAATGAACCTTTGCTTTCTCGTCAGGCGCGTTCGTGGACGGTACAGGTTCGCATACATTGGCGTTTTATTTCGCCGGCACGATCATCATACTCTCGGCTGTCATCTGCTACCCGTTGCACAGGATAAATGAAAAAGAAAAGAGGCAGCAGGCTTTACGAGAAGTTCCAATACTTCTCAAGACGTGATAATACCAAATATAGAAGAGAAAACTCATCAGCGAGCTATGGTTAACTATCTCGGATAATAGACCTAGTAATTTTTACGAAATCGACGAGTTCCATGCCTTTTATATATAAAATACTTATATACATACACTCTACCGCTCTTATACACTCGGACTTTCGAAGTGAATAGTCAATTATTGAGGATTGTTTGAAAAAAATCCAAGTGCCATTAGTCATCGCCTTAATCACGTGCATTAAACAGATTTCAAATAAAATATCGAGCGGACGTGGGACCGCGCTTAGGTTAAATAACAAACTGATATGTACATAATTTTTAGAATTGTGCGCAACTGTCCGGCCGCTAAAAGCTGTTCGGATATTACGGAGTAGTAGCGTAATCTTATTATATCATAAATAAAAATATTTTTATCTTTACTGAAAAAATAACAACAAACGCCATATTTACAGAAACGATAATAGATACATACGTAAACGTATAAATATATATAGATTCAATTTGCCAAATGGCCTCTTTTCGAAAGAGGGACACCGAATATACATTACCGACAATCGTTTATTTTTTGCGAAGGAAACATATCAACTGCGAGCTTCGAGCAATCTCAAACGCGAACACAGCTGCTTGAAAAATATATACTATTAGGATAAAGTTTATATACATAACGCACGAGCGCAATTTTTTCCTCGAGATAAACTGGTCGTTTTCTGATTGAGCTAAAACATACATTTTCATGCAATTCAGTTGAATCTTGTTTTATCCGAATCTGAAAATTTTGCGCTCGAGTGTTTTTTTATAATCAGTGTACATAAATATATCATATTTACATGGAAACATTTGGTGATGACTATCAGCTTTATACCTGACTAAATGGCTGTAAGTCTTGGATTACCAAGCACGATTGATTATTTTACCTGATTAGTACTCGTAAATATGCTGCTAGTATAGCTTTATTAAATGAAAATCGATTAGTCATTCAATTTTTTTTTTTTTTAAATATATTAATGATTTTGCATATAATCATGTATTTTTATGGTAGTATATTTTAAATGTGTATATGTACAGCATAAATATACAAAAATACACACGGGTCAACTTACATATTGTATACATACACAAACACACACACACGCAGACACACACTTATAGTATACGTATATGCGCATGACTGATTGATGGTGAGTGCTATTTCTGAATAAGTAATGCATTATTTATACAAATAGTTGAGCTTTATGCGTACAATAAGTAAAAATGGGACTTTTGTAATACTTGCGAAATCGTTCTTCGAGTTGATCTGCACGAGCTTTCAAAAACCTCTAAAAAGAGAGACAGTTATAAATGCTTGTAAACATTCAGTTCTTTTCATAATTTTTAAAGCACACACGTAGTTGTGAATGACTCTATTTATGAACCTTAATGCATTTAGTTTTACAAGTTACTTTTTTGAACATCCTCAAACACGCGCTTCTCTCATTTAGTCGAAATAGCATTTTCTATTCAAAGTTATAATATTTGTGATAGAAAAGTACATTATTTTTAATTTTGACTATATTTAATAAGACGTAATTGTTAATGGAATAAATTTTTATTTGTAAAATCATAATATGAGAACGTGAATTCTACAAAATCCATTTCCACTAAGTATTCATTAAATTTTCAAATATTATAATATTATGCTTATTATAATCATCGCAAACAATAATTGATTAAAACTTTTGTTTTTAAATGTACTCTATTTTTTTATTTGTAAATGTATGTACAAAACAGAACAAGTGCTTCCGAAATCGTAAAAAAGTAAAATGACTTTCAACGAATATAAGTGGATTCGTATATATTTTGAGATACATGTACAACGGATAAAAGTCAACTATTGACCCACCTTTAAATAATACTGATCGTCTAATTTAATTCTAAATAAAGACAACAGAAAAATATGTACAAAAATGGAAAAAATGTATTGTGATTTAAAAAGTTCGGACGTGTTTACACGTTATGTAATTGTCATACACATCCCGTTGTTGTAAGCACGCGCAAGTTCACATGCGCGGCAGTTGATTATTGTTAAATAAATATCATTAAGAAAAGTTATAAATCTACGATTTTTTCATTAAATTTTAAGCAACAAACAATGGGAGGCTTTAAATGCATTTGTGCGAGCGTAGAGCGTATGCGCTTTCCGCATAGAAAAGCACCGATGCTGCCAAGAGCCACGTCGAGGCGAGAAAGTCAGGGCCAGGGCCAGGGCCACAAGTCACGCATATAGGCATATGTTCGCGTGTATATGTAGGTATATTCGTGAAGCGATGCGGCACTTTGTGCGCTCGTATTAGAGAGTAGCGTGTCTTTTGGCGCTGCGACTGCTCCACTGAACTCGCCGTGTGCTCGACGCTCGCACATATATAGTTTCACTTTTATTGCGCGCACGAGAAAAAAACGTATAGCACTAGCGCACTTATACGTGCGGATCCGCGCACGTACGTGCAGGAAAGAAAGAGCGAGAGAGAAAGTCGGTGACTGCGGATACATTGCGACACACGGCTGCACGAATGGGGGTTGTTCCTCCTCGCATCAAGAGGAGTAGGGGGTAAACATATATAAAAGCACGTGTGTGTGATTAGATAGAGGGGCACACGCGGCTGCGCGCACCTGCAGAGCCGCAGCAGTGATCATCCTGACGAATGAGCGTCTTTGGCGCGCGACCGTCTTAAGCTGCAGCAGGACGTTGACGTTTAGGCCGGAATTTAATTACTCCAAGACAAGAGCAGCAGCAGCAGCAGCAGCAGCAGCAGCAGTTTCGCTAGCTCCGATAAAAGCTCTAGGTCGTTCTTGAAAATCAGGTGCATATACAAAAAGTCACTCACGTGCGAAGGGGCTGTGCGCATATCAACGACAGCCGCAGCTGCAGGAAAGAAACCGAGAGAGCGAGTGAGAGAAGTGCTGTTGCCACTGGAGGGGGTCGCTCTCATTCTCAGAGGGATGAAATCCGCATCTGCAGTTTTTGGCTCGCGCGCTTTGCTCCAGTAGTTCAGTCCTTAGCCGGCGATTATTCGCTTTCGCGCAGCGATACATCGGCAGCGGCGAGTCGTCGTACAGATTCGATCATTTTCTCATCTCTCTCTCTCTCTCTCTCATTTTCTCATTTGGTCACGAGTTATCTAGCTCGCATTGGCCGATGATGCGCAGTCGTGCTATTTTCATCGCAGACTAATTAAGCCCAGCCTCTGACCACGAGTCACGCTCGACTCGCCGCTATTGCTAGTCATGCGTTTGAACTAGAACAGGATGTATCCTGATTGTCGCGGGCGCTTGTGAGAAAAGTTGAAGACGCCTCGGGAGCAAAAGAACTGGAAGCAACGAGAATGTCGCAGAGGGCTCAACAACCAAATCCACGTTATGCTTACCTTCCGTGTCCTGCTTACGACGATGCTGGTAAGTGCATATAGGATTGCAGCAAGCTTGATTAGATTTAAAGCTTAAGTAGTTTTGTCTTCCTCACTAGAAATGCAAATCTTTGCACACCTACGCTCATCATTCGAATTTTGAAAAATGTTAAATCCAATCACAGGCTTTTCTTGCTGCTTCGACACACAGTCCGAAAATGGAATCATATCTATTCCAAAAATATGCTAACGAAAGCAGTAAATATTTCACTTTACGCTACTTCAATGCCTACATGCCTAGATTAGAGACAGGGAGAGAAAGAGAGAGCGAGTTGCGTGCGCGAGTACAATAGAGGTGAAATCGATATCAACAGCGCGGTGTGCCACTAGGTGAGCTTTGACAGGATGTGTACACGGAAATCAACGAACACCGGGCCAATAGATATAGTCAAATTGCTCGAATGCTCAAATGTCACATGACTTTTCGGATGATGATGATTATAAATTACCACCAGTTCGATACAATAATTTTTTTACTGTTTCAGATATAATCGGCGGTAAGTTGCAGAAGGATCAAGGTATCGTATACGAGTAAAAATTAATTTCTCTACATATGATATCTATTGAAAAATTGAGAGGCCAACTTTCCTGGCTACAATCGATAAAATGTTGAAAATTGTATACGCTAAAGCCTCCGCCAATCCATCGCTCAATAAGGTAATACAGTCCGCCTCGCCGCTATAGCTAAACTGTACTCGCCAGGGAAATTCGACAAATACCGAACAAGTAAACTTCCGCGTACACGTATATACACCTCCGATACATGTATAAATGAACTCTGCATCTCATCGATCAAGCCCTACACCGACGATTCTCTATCTCGAGCTCCGCACTTGGCGTATTGAGGATAAATTTAAATACACGAAAACGTACGAAATTTATAAGAAAAAGATAATGGTAAAGCAATGCTGCAACGAGCGATATAAGCAAATACACGTGTGCCTGCCCCCACTCTGGTCCAATCAGTTTTGATATAAAGTTTTTGGCAGTAAAGCGCTGAACGTTTGAGAGAGAAAGAGATAGAGGCAGCGATGCCTTGGCGTATAAAAATACACTATCGTCGCAAATGTATAAATAACTTTGGCCGAAACAAGTTGCAGCGAAATATTAAAATTGAAGATATGAAGCGCTCTTTGGCTTAATAATATTTCTCAGGAGGGCTGTGCACCCTTCCCACTTAGTCGGGCACGAGCACGCTTTTACCATCTCTCTCTCTCTCTCTCTCTCTCTCTCTCTCTCTCTCGCTCTTGAAGAAAAGCTCTCTGCCAAAAAGCTCTCTGCCATGCTTAGGCCCCCTGCGCAGTGCTTGCACTTACTCTTCCGGATATTATAAACGGCGCGGGTGACAAAGTCTCTTCGCGCAGCAGTTGACCAAGCAAGGAGCTCTTCTTATCGTCAAAATTTCGTCCAAAGTAATGTTTTACCCAGTAGCCGACTGTTTTGTCCTTTTATTTGTATCATCGTGATTATTTGTGCGTGACTAATAGCGCGAACAATGCCAAAGCCGACTTTCGACGCTAGACCACGAGTCTATATATGTGCATGTGTGTCTGTGACGACGTGAATATCTGTTAAGTGTAAACAATAGTTGTGCTAGTGAGAGCGAGAGAGAGAAAAGGCCGCCGTTGTTACGGCTCGTCGCATCAAATCGCCGTTTTTCTCTCTCGCACTGATCAAGTCGGAGCCCCACTCGATTTTCTCGAGACTAGAGTGAAAACTGATGCGTACGCGCCTCATCATCGGTTGCTTTTTGAACTTTTGCGCATGTGTGTGCTGCCAAAATCAACAGCGGTATTTGAAACATTTTTGCTGAGTTGCAGTTAAGCCTTCACTGATTGCAACCATGACAATCTACGCACTTTTTGCCTTCTGAACGTGCATGCAATTTCTTCTATCAAGTAGTTTTTTTGTTTTTCATACATTTAATTCATATACAGTACTTATGAGGTTGAAAACTAAAATTCGATACTTTTTATTTTAATCTAACTTTCTTTGCACTCTCGAGCTTGCTACTTTCAATTTACACGAGCACCAATGACGTCAAAAAATCTCGCACGTATATTTTTGCACACAAACGCGCCATGCAGAAGTATTACACGAGAGTGAAACGAGGTACTAAACAAAAGAAGTCCGGATGTAGTCTCGAGAGGCTGTGAGAGTCGTAGGGTGCGAAAAATATCCAAAGTGGAAATTTTTTAATCGACAAGAGAAATTATTCGGCGTAATTTTTTTAATGGATCGAACATGACATTATTTTTCAAGTATAATTAATATCGTAGACCTTGGAGCTACGACTTTTTGATATGAATTTTTCATCAGCAAGCATTCACGATACGGCATACTCTTTAGCGTGTAAAAACTCTCAATGAACTTTGAGGCTCTTTCATTCTGGGAAGATTATCTCTATATGTAAGAAAAGAGAAGGAGAAAAAAAAATTTATCTGGACTATAACATATTTACATGAACTGGACAGGGTTAAAAAGAGCACGACTTTGAATAAGATTTTTCTTCACGTTGAAAACAGAGCCTATAATATTCAAGTGTGTATAGGGGCTTTGCATAAATATACTCTATACACCTTGGACTTGAAAATAAATGTATACTCGGGTATCACACATGCGTAGACTAGGAGGCGAATTGGCTTAACGTCCGCATGCTGCAACATTTCGCGCCGTCGCAAATATGACAGCTGCGCGCGTAAGCTTTTCATTCAGTCTTGGCAGCGTTGCTGAAATCTCGGCTCTATTCATTCGAAAAGAAAATAAAAATTTCAACGCATTCGAACGCTCGTGAGCGCGCTATTTCCAGCTTGAATCGCAATAACAAAGCTTTGATCGCAGATAGGAGCTTGCGCGAGGAGGTATCTGATCCTAATTTGCATAATTAAGCTCGAGTTGCTTTAAAATGAAACAAGCGAGATGAAAAATGGATTTTGCTCGAAAGGCCAAATTAACATAAGAAGTTGCTCGAGACGTATAAAGGAACGATACAATCCGAAGCCAGTCGGTGCTTTAAATTGAAAAGCTCGCAACGCTAACGAGTTTGTAAAGAAATCGTTGCGTAGAATCGTAAAAAGCCACTCGAAGATAGTAAAGACAGGCTGTGCCGTGGGCTAGAATATATAAAGGTATATAAGGTAAAGCTGGCTGATTTATCTGCCGAGTCATCGACAACGAGTGCGGATCTCTCTCGCGCAGTGGAGTAGAGTGTCAGGCCGTCCAAACTAGATCGAACCGGAAACGTGCTCGGGCTGCAACGAGACGGAGACGCGCTTCGCATAAACATGCTTTTTCAGGGCAATTTGTAATAATGAGCTGTCGCGCAGTAGCAGCTCGGTCGCATGTCTATATGTACACGCACATAAACAGAGTAAACACACAGAGACAGACGACGCGGACGACTGGTCGAAGAAAGGTGTATGCGCAGGTGCACATGGAGCGGGTGGCGGTGGGCTCTCGCTCTCTCGCTCTGCCACTCTGACTAGTATATCGCTATATGCACGAGCACACATCGACTCTCTCCGTCTCTCTCGCTCCGTGTGCAAGCTCTCTCGGTGCGATCGAGGTAGAGCGGGGGATGTGGCAAGGCGTGCGCGCGTGTGCCTGCCTGCCTGCTACTGCTGCTGGCCGCAGTCAGCATCAACCGTGGCTCTCCGACGAGTCGATTCGCGCGCGTGCGGCAGCGGTCACGCAGTCCCAGGGACACGAGGCTCGAGTAATCGCGCTTTGCTCGCCTAAACGACACCGCGTCTAGGAGGCCAGCTCTACGTGCGAGCACGACGACGCACACATCGGCCATCGGGACAAAGAGCTGCTGCTGCTGCTGTTTCCAAGCGAGCCGAGCACGTTGTTTAATATTTCAAAGCCACGCATCGATCCGTTGTCAGTGCGAGCGCGACGTGCTACTGCCACGTGCTGAGCTCCTATGCGTCCTATAAGCGAGAGGACCTGGACGCGTTCACCTAAATACTAAGCCTAACTGAGCCTACCCCAGTCCATTTTATACGAGGTAAACGGCCCTAAACTGCGTCAGCCAACGGCTTCGTTCGTCAGCAATTACTAACCCAGCCTGTGCTTTTTGTGATTTAATTTGTGTTTCCATTAATGTGTGCGTGTGAGATGAATTTCGTGCAGTCTCCGACTACGATAGCTGAGCAAAGCTTCGGCTCGCGTTAATTTTTCTCCTCCTGATGTTTTGATTTTGCACGTCCTCCTTCTTTCTCTCTGTCTCTCTTCTCTATACGCACCTCGCAGCGTTGACGTCGGTTCAGCATGGACAGCTACGGAAGCGCGGCGAGCTGGAAGGCTACGGCCACCGGTGCGGACTGTCCTCCGGAGCCTAATTGTAACGAGTGTCAAACTAACCACTGTGATTGTCAGCTTGTTGCTAATCGATATGCTTTTTTCCTGTACGAACTACGTATCGCAGTCTGTTGTCGTTGATCACACGCGCGATTGCCATGTGTCCACTACTGACATTTCTCGAGCCGCCGTTGAGTTGACGAGAGGACGACGCAGTGATCCACAGTGACTACAGAATTGTGTTCCATGTGTAACCACTTGCGGATTGTGAAATAACAAAGCTCGATCATTTCGAAGCGACTGTCTGTCACGCGAGTACAAGTACACAAATAGTCGCGCAATTATGAATCTTATGTTCCGCAAGAACTTTGAGAAGAGCGGCGGCGGCGGCAGCGGAGGAGGCGCCGTCGGAGGTGGCTTCGGGGGCGGCGGAGGCTTCGGCGGAATAGGCGTCGGAGGCTCGAGCTGCGGCTCCTCCGACAGGCCTGTCCTGGCGGGCGGTCTGGGCCTCGGCGTAGCCGGTGGCCTGGTCGGTGGGGGCTTGGGCCGCCGCGACCACGGCCACCACCAGCCACGACGCAGCCGGGAGTTCGGCGGCCAGGAGCTCGACGGACTGGGCTTCGGCCAGAGCCAATCCCAACCCGCTTATCGGACTCATCTGCTCTTCGGTCCCCATCCAGGCTCGCAGCAGGACCAGGAGGAGCAGCGCTACGGGACGCTGGTCGGACCGAGGCGCACCTCCGGTGGCGGACCGCACCAGCTCAAATGGGGAGGACAGCAGCCGGCCAATGCCAATTACACCAACAACAACCTCGGCGGCAACGCCAACCTCCTCAACAACAACAACAACAACATCAACAATTACGGGGGTAGCGCCCAGCCGCAGCCAGTGCAGAGGAGAAAGACTGGATCGGTGCAGCATCGGCCGGGAGGCGACGATCTGCCTCTCACGCCTACCACCGCTTCCAGACAGGTAAGACAGAGATAAGTCGGCCTCAAACAGCGGCTCCAATGAGCATAACAGAGGGATTGGCAGCCGATCAAATATTTGCTCTGGAGCTTAGCGGAATCTGCGCGCTTGAGTGATGCGCCTTGTTTGCTCAGTCAAGCGCGCAGCACTTGTGATATGTGCCGCAGTACAAGTAACAATCTCTCGAGCGAGAGAGAGAGAGAAACGAGAGGCAAAAAAGGGGTAGGAAAGAGAAAAAGCACGCGAGCCCATCGGCGACTTTTTTGGCAAGTCACGGCTGGTACGTGCTGCGCTTGGCGCGAGAGCCAATTCCGAGGCACGTAACGCGCGCGCTCCTCGGCTACATCTGTTTATTTTCTCAAACACGCCTTCTCTCGCTCTTATCAATTTTCCGCTCGCGCTGCAGTAACTTTTATTTTTTGCTCTCCACGACGCGGACGACAAGTGCGCCCTTATGCGATGAATTATTAAAAGTCGTTTAAAAGTCACTTGAATTCTTTTTTCGTTCAAAACTACTCGTATAATATACTTTTTCTACGAGATAATGGGGCAAAGAGTGATAAAAATAACAATAAAATTAAAACAATGATAATTGGTTGCCATTGAAAATACCTTGTTTCGCAAAACGTTTCAAGTAATTCAATTTGTCTACAATTACAAGAGGGTAGGGTAGGATTGGAAAACTTTTGAGAATTCATAGAGTAGACATGGACGTTGATCGAGAGTGAAAAATATGCAACCTGTTGGATTATCGTACGAGGGCGTTCATACTTATTATTACACTCGATGTTCACGCGAGCGTCCAGACTTTAAATATAGTATCGGCGCGCTGTGTTATATATGTATATGCAGCAGAGCCGAGCTTACGCGATATAGAGAAAAGAGCATCGAAGCAGGTATAACGCGCGACGACTGACGAGACGTGCGCGAGAGCTATTTTCAAAAAGACTCGGCTGGCCTATAGGAAGAGCGGGACGAGTAAATAAAATGCGCCGCCGTTTACGTAGACGCGCGGCAACGATACGTGCAAAATATAATCAAGCGCGAAAAGTAGACCGAAAGCATTTGGCGTCGCAGCAGCGCAAGGTCACGCAGACAGCGAGGGCCTCTTTTTTTCAGGCCACAGCCAGTAATTCGTGCATAATTCAGTCGGCTTGGATAATGCAGTCGTCTCGGGCCTTCCGCCCTCGCTACCGAGTGTATGCCACGTTACCCTCGCGCTTGATGAGGAAAAAAATATTGCTAGCCTTGCAGGAGTGCGTCGGTCGATTTAGCGCCTATATATAGAAGAGCACTGCCATCTTCGTAGCATGAGTAATTCATGTGTGCTTTTTGCATCGTCGATTGCGCCGCCGACACGCAACTATATACCGCGATAACATTAACAATATCGAAACAAAAATTTCTCGACAATATGCTAACGACATCGGGGGTATTTATAATCTCGCTGAAGAAAAAAAGCTGGGGAATAAGGGTAGTACAGCGAGTGGAGCGCGCGAAACGCGTCGAGCAGTAGTAGCGGTGGGTGGTAGAGCGCGAAAATCGCTCGCTGCGACGGCAGTGGCATTCGCTAAACGTGCATAATTGTTATCGATCGGCCAGCTCGGAGGTAAAAGAATTAGAAAATAGTCCAGGGTAAATATATGCAGGTGCGAGTAGCGCGACACACTTTCCCGCCGCAGAGGGAAAAGCTCGAGCGACGCGAGTAACGTAATGTGCTAGCAGGCGTAGCGCATACAGGAATTAGCGAGAGCTGCAATTTTGGCGCGCTCTTGAAAGGTATTAAGGCATTACACGTGCTCCCGCAGGTATCGTTTCACGGCAAGGGTAGCAGTCTGCACGGCGGACAGTATGGCTCGGTCATACAGACGCATCAGAGCAGCAGCAGTCCGGCGCGCAGCGAGCCCATCAGCTTGGCGACCCTCGACAAGGACTGCTTCATCATCCCGTTGGCGGCGCTCGAACGATTTCTCCCGGCCGGGGTGCCCGTAAGTATCGTCTATAGTAAAATGAAACGGCAAAACGAGCGCGATTACAATTGTCGATGGTCGAACGCAGAGATTGCCGAGCGCCGACAAGCGCCGACCGGGCAGCCCGCTCTCGGTGCTCGAAGTCGAGGACCCGAAGCAGTGCATACTGGCGCACTTCATGACGTCCATGGAGCCGATCGATCCACTGGTCGAGTCGCCCGTGTCGAAGCCGCTGGTGCTGCAACGCGACACTGCCGCCGAACTGCTGACCGAGCTCGCTCCAGCCGCCACTCAGAGCATACTGCTCACCAACATGGAGCGAAATGGTACTAAATCCTCTACTTCATCTCTATACCATACCATGATTCGATTTGTCCGTTCGCATTTTTTACTTCGTGTCGGTACAGCTCACTTTTTCTCAACGATAATAAGGCTTACTTTGCGATTACTTACCAACCGAAGCGCTGGCCAATCCTGAAGTGACTCCAACACTTTCAAAACTATGATTTTCATTTATCTCCGTCGGACTGAATACGTTCGAGCACAAAGTTCACTTTGATTATTCACGATTGTGCATTTTTAGCACTCCAAATTTCACACACCATGACTCACAACTCACACACTCACACGAATACACCAACAACTTCACCACTTTTTCTACCGAGACGAACTAAAGCACTCCGCATTTGTTAACATGAAAAACTGACTCTATACCGCTACTAAGATTACCATGCAATCGAATGAGTCATTTGAATGCAGCCGTTACATACTTTTTTTCAAAATATACCTCCTATCAAACTGTATTTTGTTCTATTCGAAATTGAGAATGACAAAACAAATCTACTAATAAGAAAATAACTTTGAACTAAACGGAACACGGTATTTACTGTACAATTCCTGATATCAGAATATTTATCGCCAATTATTCGTTATAGGACTGTTCGAATAACTGATCCCTATTCCCGAAACTGTCGCGAGCTGCGAGCGTAGCCAATTGAGACATGTCTAACGCCATAAACAGTCTTTCTCACGAAAAACGTTTCTTCTCATGCATCGTTCGATTCTTCCAGCTGATTTTCCGTTCATCGCCTACTACGTGGTAAACAAGCAGAAAACCGAGCCGGTGGATTTTTACCAGGAGGTGCAGTGCGCAGCTCTTAAGAAATTCGACCCGCGAGATCTGCGCTACGCGGCCAATCACAATCTCGACCTGTTCAACGAGGTCGCCACGATAGCCCGTCCTCCGCTCGAGCCACTCGGTGGTCGACCGCCCATTCCCTCCACTGGCTACATCGTCTCCATCTTCAAAGTCTTCGAGGGAGACGACGGCCTCAAGTTCGAGCAAAACTGGCTCTACTGGACCGGTGAGTTGGCAAACACTCGTCTATCCAGATTCTTCCCAAGTGCAGTTGGATCATCGTGGCCTTGGTCGTTGTTTACAGGTGCGCGAATGATGTACCGATATCTGCCAAAGAACGTCGGTCTGCGACGGATAACCCTGCACAAGTCCATGTCGGCGGGTGACAAGACCTACCTGCTCGTGTGCGAGTGCTCGCAGCTGCAGGAGAACCTCTCGGCCGCGGCGATACTGCTGCCGGCCCTTCGCGCCCGACTCTGCGGCTACGTCGGTCTCTACAGGCCGTCGGTCTGCTTCTGAGTTCTTTATCGTCGAATAATCTTTTTCATCGCTCCAGCGTGTCGAGTGCTCTTCGTGATGCTGCACGATAGTGACTATGAACTAAGAAAAGTGGCTTTGCGGCTCGTCTTCGTCTAACGTCCACCTGTAGCTTCGTAATGCAATTTATATGAAACTACCGTCGGCGATTGAAACTCCTCCGTACGATATTAGCGCGTCACACGTTTATGCACATAACCATACAATGCGATATGTGCCATTTTTACCGGTGTGATCCTTAAAATATTGAAAATTAAAATTTAATATGTGTGAGGATGCAAGTCAAAACAAAAAGATCGATATTATAATACACAATAAACGAAACGTCCGCATATCACGCATATCGTTATTTCGGCATTAATTCGGCAATACGTGCCCGGGGAGACTACTCGTTATACACCCCAAAACACTATCTCATCAAAACGAGATAATGCAAGTCCTGCAAATTAAAATGTGAAAATATTGGCCTCTTGAATATGTGCCGATAAGTCGATATTTTTATATAGCTAATTACTTTTATTGGGGAATTAATTAATATAGCTGACCAACTCTGGTATCATTATCAAAAGGGAACACAAATTAAATTAGTATATTTGTTATACATACTAATTAATGTATCATCTTAGGCCTTGTATTATACATTATATTTTACGTAGAGTTACATTTTTAATAATTACTCTCATAGAAGTCTGTACTTATTACTGTATTGTAGTCAAGATTGAATAGTGCAAGTGATCAAACAATGATATCATTGGATCTACTTAAATACTAGATTTATTCAAGAAGTCTAACACATAATACTCCTAGTACAAAGATCAAAATAACTATGTAGAAACGATGAACCTGAAAGCCTATCCTATATAGAGACAATATAGTATTATTTATAAGAAATGCATATAGGAAGCACAGGCGTAATTTTAATTTATATTATGAATAGTTATTGTATTTAGAAATTTGAATCTACTAGCATATTAAAATTTTTTTAAAACGTCACTAATCTTTATCAAAAGTCTAATTTAAAGCCCTTTGGAAAAGAGGCTTTGCAATTGAGTACTGTGATTTTTGTGCATCACAATGAAATGCACATGTGTAAGTGTAAATAAAAGTATATTGCATAACATTTGACAACTGTGATTGCTTTCTGTCAATAAGCAATTCGAATCTTACATATTGTTAACGAAATTTATTATTACTTCTATACATATTTTATTTTATTGTATAAAATTATTTATAGTATTTGAACTAAAGAAAAACCATTTTCCATATCTTCTGCAATATAGGTGTAAAACTTTTAAAAATAGCAAAAATAAAATTACGACAGGTAGACAGATATATTGTTATAAAAGTATCATTTAATTAATGACTATGTACAATAAAAAACAAATAAACTACTTCTATAATAACAATCAATTGGATAACAGTCATTTTCAAATATCATACAAATACTATTGCTTCTTATGTTCACTTAAACAAATTTAATAGTCAAGTAGCTTTAGGACCCCGGAACCTCCTTCTGGCATCTATCTAAAAGATGAAACACAATATTGTATATTAGTTTAAAAAAAAATTTTGACTAGTGAGTCAATGTTCACTTACTAGAGATCGTTTGCATTCAAAAAAGCTCATTTTTAATTGATAACATTCGTCAGGAACTGATTTATGGTGTGTAAGTAAACATTCTCTAGGTGTCTTTTTCTCCTGTAATAAAATGAGAATATTCTGTTTTAATACTTGATAAATCTGCACTTTTGTCTTTAATAAATTAATTTTAATAAATTATTTTTATCTTTGAAATTTAATATCTAGTTTTAAATATTACTATGACTTAGTGATAATTTGATGTAACATTGATATTGCACAAACATTTGACTTACGACTTTGCAGCAATCAGTATTAAGTAGACACATTTTCAATTGAGCCCGAAGTGCACCACACCTTGATTGATCTTTTAGTCTTTCTCCTTCATCCGCGTACTGCATTATAATTTATTTTTTTTTTAATAGATTTAGGCATAGATAGTTTTCATTAAAACCGCACTGTTTTGTGTTTTCAAAAAACTTTATTCTAGGTTATGTATGTTGATCACACAAGCAATGCTTCCAAGTAGCAGACTGCATAAAATAGCAGCCAGCTAATGCTAGCAGAACAAAATCATTTTTTTTAGTGACCGATGCTGCCAACTTTTCAATATACCAAGTTTTTAATCGGTATTGATAGAGCAACAACCGATTAATTGTTATCCTCATTATGATATTTTATATACCGCAACGTTGAATCATCATCTTTATAAAATTATCAATTTTTAGCCCCATTATTAATTCTACAAAAAATTAACGATAAGTTCCTGTAGTTTATTTCTTTCTAATAAAAATGACACACACCACAACCAACTTCGCAGAGTTTTATGCACTGCTCTGACTGCACAGTGCATACGACATGCATACGAATTTTTTTTCGTTTTTATTTCACGAAGGTCTAACTTTTCCAGGGGCTAACATTCTTTCGACGCAGTGAACTGAGTAATGTATGAAACATGGAGCACAAATCAATTAAAATGTGAAAATAAACAAATGTGTAATCGTTACAGGTTTCTGGTTTCTTTTGTGCTTTAATTTACTGATTAAGACTTGATGCGGATTTGAGAGAATTACGAATGAGTCGAATTTTATCAAATAGGTCTGAATGACATTAATTCATTTTCTCAGCTCGGCTGTTATCTTTCGCGCATAAATTATTCTATTCTCTCTGACCTCTGCCATCCTCTTTTTTCTTTTCACAGATGAGTCAACATAAGTAACTTATGTCTGCTACTTGTAAAGTGCTTGTGAGCTGCCAGTTGTGCTTCAGATTGATTCAAACATGAATCAGTTCAGCGAGGAAGAGGAAAGTTTTGTTGAAAGTGATATTGTGCTAACAACTGCAGCATATCCAGGATCAGAACCATGCAGAAGACGCATTGGTAGTTATGCTAATTTGCAAAGACTTTCTTACGCTATAACATTACATAATTTTTTTTTATTATTATTCAGGAACTGGTGTATTAGGAACTATTTTTCTCATGGTTAATGCTACACTTGGGGCCGGATTACTAAATTTTCCAGAAGCTTTTGACAAATCTGGAGGAATAGCGACAGCTTTAATTGCTCAGTTATTTTTTCTGGTTTTTATTACACTGACATTAGTAATTTTAGCTAGTTCTAGTGATGTTACTAATACTACAACGCTGCAAAGTACCTTTGCTGGGCTTTGTGGTCAAAACTCATTGGTATTTTGTGGACTTTGTGTAGCAATTTATAGTTTTGGATGCTGTGTTACATTTTTAGTTGTCATTGGAGATCAATTTGATAGAGTTTTTGCCACATATTTTGGTTTGGATTATTGTCATACATGGTAATATATTGAGTTCATTTTAACTTTATCAGATATTTTGCAGATTGATAATGTTTTTTATTTTTTACAGGTATCTTTCCAGATCGTTTATTACTTGTTTGACAAGTGTATTATTTATACTGCCACTCTCATTCTTTAAAAGATTGGATGCTTTAAATTATGCCAGTTCAATAGGCTGTTTAACTATCATTTATGTTGTTTGGTTGATTGTGTATGAAAGCTTTGATCACCATAAACTACCCTCCAAACCAGTTCGAATTTGGCCAGAGAATTTCACTCAAGTCTTGCAAATTGTGCCAATCATATGTTTTGCTTACCAGGTAAAGTTACTGGTTTTATAAATATTAAGCTTCAACACTTTAATATTTCTTTTTTACAGAGCCACATGACTGCCATACCGACGTATGCATGTATGAAAAGCAGAGAAATTGGGAAATTTACTCTTTGCTCAATAATTAGTATGATAATTTGCTTTTTCGGGTATTCAATCGTCGGCGTGTTTGGCTACGCTACTTTCGGCATTGGAAAGGTTCCCAGTGATATTTTACAAGGATATTCGGATAAGAGCACTACTTTGACAATTGCAATAATTGCTATTGCTATAAAAAATTTTACTACTTTTCCGATTGTATTATATTGTGGTCGTGACGCGATTTTAAGTATATTCAACAGGGATGTTAACTGTAATTTTTGGATTAGATTTACTATTACCATCATTTGGTTTATATTGAGTTTAATAATAGCTATTTTAGTTCCCGACATTGCTCCGATAATCAATATAATGGGATCTTTATCCGCAGCTTTTATATTTGTATTCCCAGGAATTTGTTTGTTTCAATATATTCTGCAAAAAGATCCTCAATTGTATTTAATCAAAGACCGTTGCTTGATTGTATTATCTATTTTTATCACTGCTCTTGGAGCCTTTGTCTGTGGTGTTATTTTTGTAGAGGCTTTACAAGATTTTCAAAAAGTACCTGAAAAACCACCACTCATAACTGGTTTTAAGGCACAGTTAGGTGCAAGTTTGTGCTCATAATACTCATGAATTTAAGAATATGTCTATGTATACTCATAAATTTACGATGAAATCGTAAATTATATTACGACTATGATAAAACTTTTGTAAATAAGTGTACCTATATTTTAAGATAAATAACTGAAAAATTAAAAAAAAATTATTGTGATAATTGTGTATAAAACTTTTTTTACGAATAAACATGAAAATGCTCATTTTTGAGTTATTTGTTTTATTATATTACAGGCTCCTTTCAATTATCCATATAATATATAACGAAATCTGACGCGAATAAAGTTTCTTTTTTCAGCATAAATTTACTTTGAATAATTTAACTCTCCGAATCCATTGACTCTATCGACGATCCACTTGAAAACTCGTGCAACACTCGATTATCGTCAATAGATACAACCTGTTTGATCGTTGCTTTGCAGAAAAAACAGTCACGACTATTGAGAAGATGCCTATCTATGCAAGACTGACAAGATGTGTGATTACACGGCTTGAACATGGCAGACACTGGATAGGCGTAGCAAATCGTGCACAGATCGTCATCACTGCACGGCGTCTCAGCTAATGGTAATTTTGTGCGATAATGATCCAAGTGCTGAATGACTCTTTGGACACTAGCAATTTCTTCCTTGGAAACGTAACTTTCATCTGCGAATAAATTTAATTAAGAAATAATTCAAAATCTAGTATCGGGAATGAAGCATTTATCTTACAGTTTAATAAAGAAAATTTCTTCATATTTTGAATTTTTCCATTGGTGGAATCTCCTAAAGCAAAATGTAAAGAAGCGATTTGGAAGCTGGGTTCGCTGATCAGAGCTCTCGTGACTCTCGGAACGTTATCCGAAACTGAAATACAAAAAGTTTAATTATTAAGAGTTTTAAATCAATTATATAATATGAATGTATCTTACGGGGCAGCGCTATATCATCTTTCAATAAAGCTACGACGATTCCTATAACAGATGTAACGATAGGAAAATGATCCACTGATTGAAGATCTGGTATTTCCAAAAGGACGACATGCTGGAAGGAACTAGTCTGAGTACTGGTTCGGTTCAATATTTGACAAATTAGCTGAAAAAAATGAAATTTTTTACGTAAAGAAATCGATCATTAACGTTACTTTGAATCCTTACCTGGCATAACCGGGCCAAAAGATTATCACTCGTAGGAAGAGATGGATCGGCGAATATTTCAACGGCTTTGGAAGCGATCATTTCCAAGACTCTGATTAACGATACAGCTAGATCGAAGCAAGTTGCACACACTTTCAATTGTCTCGATTCAATCAAGACTCTTTGAGGTCTCGAAGAAACATTGTGAATTTCTTGCAGCATTCCAATGAACTCGGAAAAGGCCCAGTTCAACTGGTTCAAAAGAGAGTTCAAAAATAAAGTAGCCGATTGATTGTTTGATAATAGAACGTGTCTCACGTGTTCTTGAAACACTACTGATGGGCATGGCTCTGAAAAAGAAGACCATCATCAAAGTCTGAAATGTATTAAAATTAAGTAGCAATACTTACTCATAGTTTGCGAAGTCGTTTCTTGAGTCAGTATTTTTGGACCGATCTTGTTAGCCATATGAGGACTCTTGTCATAACGGAACGCGAAACCATGACCTTGCCAAAATCGGACCAAAATCCAATTTGACTGAGCCCAAGCTCTGTTTTCATAAGAACGAAGGAGATTAGCAACCATGCGCGATCGTGATTCGAACGGTACGTTTTCTAAGGCTTCTAGTGTCAACGGATTCGAAGCGAACCCAGCCAGTGCCAAAATCATCGTATCCTTGGAATTGGCATTGACTATTCTGCTGTCTAGGAAATGATCACATAAAAATTGCGCCACATCTTGCAAAAGTAATTTGAAATGAGGAATATTTTCCAAGGGTGCTGTCGGGTGGATATGGTTTTTCAAACCGGTAACAATGTCGCCCAAAGCCTCTAGATAAAATTCAGGAACAAAACTGAACAAATTGCCACTTTGACTAGCACTTTGCAGCGTTGATATGACGATTTTTAAGAGCCAAGCCAGTCTCTCCTGATTCTCGTCAGAATAAATGGCAGCGCGAACCCATGCCATGTGTCGGGACAGCTCGCTCAGCTTCTCGTCGAATATCTCGATGGTTTTCATGAGCTGAGATTCGATTTGTTGAGACTCTTCGTCTTTCGTTTTTTGAATGATCTCTAACCGACTTTTTGTAGCGCACATGGCTACAATGAAATCCCCCATGGCTTCGCGTAACGTAGAAACTTGGGCGATTTGTTTTTTAGCCGATACATGATAAAACATTATCAGACCATCGAGCAATTCGTAAAGAGATACCGCCGAATCGATGGGGCCGAGTTGTAACGGTGTTCTGTCCTCTCTATTGTAAGGAAAGTAACCGATTCTCTCTAAAATCGTGGATCCACCGCTGTTCAAGGAATTTATATTTATCATTCGCGCGAAAACTGAGATGACCGGTGAATCCTCAACTCTGGTGCCTCCGCGGAATAAATTGGTAGTCAAGTGAGAATTATCAGTCTCGGTGGCGTTCTCATTTTCCGCTCCTAAAAGTTGCTGTAAATCATTTCTAAATGTTTTGGTCAGATGCGATAAGACCCCGCCAAGTCGATCGATTCCTGCATAATTTATGGATCCATCGCAGAACGTCTTAACTGGAACGAATACCGGACTGGTTCCTACTTCCGCATCCCACAGCAATTTGAACGTTACCAGCAGTCGTTGAAAGCAGCAAAGGGCGATCGGGAGAGGAATCTGATTCGTAGATATAGGCTGAAAAAAATCAAAATCAATTCTCCAAAATTAAACGAATATAAAATGATACTAAAAGCACTTACGCGACCGCTCAGTATGTTCACTTGAACAAAACGACGAAACTTTCTTAAAAATATTGTCCGTGATGTTGGCGTAGTGGCGCAGCCATCTTTGTTGTTTAAAAGTAACGTTAGAAGTTTAACTTGCAGAACTTCAACCTCTGATGTAATCGGAAAAAATAAAAGTCTCGTAACAATGAATAAATTTTAAAAATTATTTTCATTATTTGTAAGGTTACATACCAGTTACCCAATCCTTAATTTTTTCGCAAGCCTTAAAATACGGTATTTTTGCACTTTCGACAATCGAATCGGTTGGATTCGTTTCCCACCAAACTTTATTTACAACGTTCATCAAGCAACTTTCCTCCAGCGGCTTGACGTGTAGGAAGCTAGCGAACTTCACTTTATCGAATAAAACGAATTGTAGCAGAAATTGTCTCGTTTTTTCATGTTGACATAAGCTGTTAAGTGCAGCCAATGCTGTGCGTTGCTCTGGATACTCAATGTTAACAGAAACTTGTCGAAATACTGATGAGAGATAGACGACGCTAGACTCTAAACAAGCTTTCATTTCGTGAATTTCAAAAAATGTCCACATTAAATCTAAGCAAGTATGCATTTGAGTAGTATTAGGATCACTGTTTGATAATTTTTTAAAAAAGGGAACAAAAATTTCTTGGGCAACATAAGGTATTTCAACAAGAGGTCCCAGTTCTTTTAAAATGCATCTTGCTAAGCATGCCAAAAGAGCACGATTACTCATCATTCTCTCTTCTTTGTTTGATTCATTATCACTGTCTACATTTTTGTACTGATGGAGGAGTTTTTCTAACCACTGAAATAAAATTTTGGACTTTTGCAACTGTTCAGTCGGAGCAAGTTGTAAAGATTGGTAACCTGCGACTGGATATCTCAGAGGTGTTGTCCCAAAATTAGCTGTTAAATTTTCAGTAAACGTTAAACTAACAGTTGGAAAATAAACTATACCTGGCCCCATTGATATTTTTTCAAATGCTATTCCTAAATTCTTGCCATTTCTAAAAAATGTTATATTTTCATTGTCAAAATCTATTGCACAGCCAATAATATCTCCTGAAAGCCAAGCTTCTCCATACTTATGGGTTGAAACATTCCACTTTCTTATTCGATTACCATCATAAGCATACGAATTCACCATATCACCTAATTAAATGACAGTGAATCAATAAAATTTGTATATCAACAGGCTGTAAAGTATAAAAATATATTATATCTTACCCACACCAGATTCTTGACTAAATTTACAATCTGCTGTACCCCAACCTATTTGCATAACCCCATTGGAACCTAATTGCACCTCATACTGCCATTTACCCTTGAAAACTCCAGTGTTGGCTCTCACTGTACTAAAATTACTCTGAGAGTTGACACTCAGCCTGTCAGGAGACACGATAAACAAACCATAATGATTCGTCGTGTCCAGCCTGACAAGTTTTGGCCCAAGTCTACCGAGTCTATCATCTTGCTCGGAAATTTTCACATTTCCATCGGTCTTTAATGTGCCACTTATATGATTTTCGATCAGTTGAATTATCTGTTGTATTCTGAAAATATAGGTTATCGTGAAACTCATGAATAAAATTGATGCAATAATTATGCATAACGAATCGTTTCAAGCTCAAATCAAAAAATGGACATACGTACTCTACATTTTGATTGTTAATCGTGTCGTGGATGAAGCTGTCAACTTTTTCGTTAATCGGCGATCCAAATACATTAGTGACTAGCTCTACCAAATTCATCGTCTAACGTTAAAAATACCTGCAACAACAACACGCATAGTAACGTCGTAAAACGAATGTCGACGGACAGAAAATGCGTCGCGACGTCGCGTTTTATCGATAGTGGAAAAAGTCAAATATTGGCATACTTGAAAATTTTTCAATTATAAACAATCACGCACATATCAGGTTACAATATCGAATAAAAGTATTGCTGCGACGGGCCGTTGTTGTCGTCGCACTTCCTGAGAACTGATCATTATTAAAAAAATCGCTGCACAGCCAATGCGCTACGTATCGAGTTTATTCATGCTACATAGCTGACTGTTTACCAAACAATTTATCACTGACATAATGGTACGATAATTTGATGCAAAAGCAGCTGACGTGGTGGTAAGTGCATTCTCGCGCAGTTTGAACCAAAGTAGAACTTGCAGAAACTTTTCAGATGGCGCCAAAATTAAAAAAATTTTTACGCGCAGTATTTTTAATCATAGGTACGGAGGAAAAGAGAGGATTGATCTCATTGTTCGGGAAAATAAACCATATACCAAGTTTAACATTTAATTCCTGATATTTGCTTCTTTATTTTGTTTTCTCAATTGATATTATACAGCCTGTTTATATCGATCGAACGATTACTTAAACAAATTGTGGAACTAGAATATTTTGTCAATGTTGATCATTGACAAAATCAATCATTGCATGATGCAAACAAAGTAATGAGTAAATTCAAATTTACAACTAGTACAATTAATTAAAATTAGATGAAAAATAATCTTACAGTTAAAGTTCGTTGGGTATAAAACTACTATACAGATATAATTTATATAGATTGTATAATATACACGCCTGACCGCGTGTATTTACACGTTTACATCGTTTAAAAACTATTAAAAAACTGAGTAAGGGCTCGTAGTTGAAAAATATGTTACAAGACGCTTCAGCTCTTTATAACTTTGGCATGTTGTATTGCAGAATTTTTTTGAACCTGCACATTCTATTAATCACTCGTACATTTTAATCATACGACATTTTATGATTTATCATCGTTTAAAAACTAAAAAGAGTATTGTAGTTTCGCGTTTTTATCGTATACAATAAAGCTATTACCTTTTGTTTTCTTTAATCGCAGTTATCATAGCACTGCACAATCATTGTGTTATAAGTAATACCGATATATTTAAATATATATTTATTTTTTTAGTTGCTGCGTGTTTTTAATATTGATAAAAGTTCTTCAAGAATATATGAAGGATATTCTTTACATAATAATATATGGCTTACATCACTGCATTTAAGCACAATAATTGTCACCTTTTCTTCATTAATCTTGGGTTGCTTTTTTTGTTTCGCTGCAGGGGAAGGCATAATGAGTAGTTACATACTCTTTGTCAATCGTAACATATATATATACCATACATATTCTCAAATTTTTAATATGTCACGAATACATACGATACGACTTATGTACTCAAAAAGCTAGCTGCGTTATTGTACAATTTTTTTCTTTCAAAGTTTTTTCACGATCAATCGTTAATAAATATATATTTTTAATAATAATCTTAATCATATAATGTAAATGATAGTAATATATAATATGTCACATATATATGTATAAACGTTTTTTTTGTGTATAACATGTACTCGGCATATCGAACATTGTTTGAAGACGCGATAAAACAGTCGTCTAAAAAAGCAGTCGAACATCGGATATGTGTAATAATAATTGAAGTAAGTCACATAATAACAGAGCTCGCTTACACAATCACGCACGCACAGACACATACACTCATACGGACATTTACGCGTTATCTCATTCGGAGCTTGCGCACTACATCTATTCACATGGAATTCATAAAAAAGCGAGCACATGCATACAAACGAGGTTGAATGACTAAAACACCAGAAAACTAAGAAATTAGAACCTTACCAAATAAATTTGTTTATCTTATTATGATAAAGGTCACGAGCACGTGACAAGACGGCTCTTCTTGTACCGCGCAAAAGCTTTATATCTTTACATGCAAAATCGTAATGAATCCTGTAGGAGCAAGGACTGCTGTCACTTAATTGGCGGGTTGCTCGGGTTGCTTGTTGTTGTCGACCTTGCGACCGCCTAACTCGGGACTGGGCTGCACATGCGGAGGAAGCACGGGTTTGCGCAGCACCAGAGGCTTGATCTTCATCTGGGGCTTACAGCCCGGCGGAAGCGGTAGCCCAGCAGGCAACTGACTGCCCCCGGTTAGATGAAGCTCCGCGAACTTGGCTGCGATCATCGGAGTAATCTGACTGGAGCTAGCCGATCGCACGATGGGCTGCGGCGGTGCCACTTCGTTCTGATCGCTGATGCTCGCTGGTACAGCGACCATCTGCTGCTGCACGACCTGTGCTACCTCGCCCTGGGTCTGCGGCCGCTTTTTCAGCGTGCACTGGTTCTGTTTGGCAAAACGCTCGGCTGCCGTACTCATGTCCGGTGACTCTGGTCCACTACTAGGCGGTATGGAGCAATTCACAGTTGGTTGAAGAGCGGCTTGGTTGATTGGCTCAGCCTCGCCCTCGTTGTTGCTTTCGTCTGGAATTTCCTCGGCAGCTCCTGGGACCGGCTTGGCCTCCTGAGCCGATGGGGGTAAGTCCAAGACTAGATCTGGCGCGTGCTTTTGACGCAGCTCTCGCAAATCTGGCGTCGCTCGGGGAGTTTGAGGCTTCGGCCCCGGGACGGGTGGCAACAGCTGGCCCTGTGATGCTGCCCTCCTTTGCCATAACTCTCGATTGGCTGAGAATGAGTTCTGCTCGTCTGCAGAAAGGTCATCTTGTCGTAACTGCTGTCTCTGCTGCTGCTCCCCCATGCTCTGTGATTTCCAGGGGTATTTACGAGCGGCGGCTCTTTGTTGCAGAGGAGTAGACGTCAAAGACGACGAGGCCGACGACGAGGAGGAAGACGACACTTCGTCGGCGAATTGCTGAGGTACGGCTATCTGCTGCTCTTGATGAGATGAAGAGGACGACTCGTCGAGCTCGTCACGCGACTCTGCGGCGCCGGGGGTTGTATTGCTCAATCCGTTGCTCATCGAGTCCCGCTCCAAGCTTGGCGGCCTAGCTGCTCTCGGACCCGTCGTTATTTCCTGCACAAATCGAAAAATTTGTTAGCAAAGTCAGAACGACGATCGATTAATCAGTCGAGGTCACACTGACACGAATAATGCGAGAACATCGATTGATCGAGATTCAAAACGTGATCAATGGATTCGTGTGGCGATGATGATCCTCACGGTGTTTCTTACATGATATCGAAGGTGCAATTTTTTGCCATGATTGATTATATTTTTATTTGAAGGCAGAAAAATTAAAAATTTGAAAAATAAAAGCCTACTCGCTGTATGAAAGCACGATGAATGCGCCATGCAAAAAGATTTAAGAGTAGTTATGATTTCTCGTGCAGATCTATTCGCTACTAAAAAAGTTGGATTAGTGAAAAAAAATCTTTTTTTGACTCACTCAACTAGTCTACACAACTACTGATATTTTTTATATACTTGTACTTTCGACGTGTGTCTAAATACCTACATGGAATGCTGCGGCTTTTGTCAGCCCTGCGCGGCGTGTGGATACAGAGTCGTACGTTTTATTTTGTTTGTTCCAAAACGTGCGATGAGTGAAAACAGAAAAGACAAGACAAGAGCATATACTTGAGTATACTGTCGTTATAAGCTGATGCAGAGACTTACAATTTTACACTAAAGTTAGAGTTAAGTAGACTAGAAAAAAAACATAAGTTTAATGTAAAGAAGCAGCAGTGAATAATACAAATTTTTGTTCGGCCAGGGAAGGTCGATGTGGGTTAGTATTTTTTTGAACTTTTCGCGAGCAGCTCACACTAGCGTTCAGCATTGCTTTTTTTGTGCGCTCTTTTTTCAAGCTATTACTCACCTAAGCCCAGCGACAGTCCGTTGCTTAGGTAGCTCCCGATATCGACATTCCCTTCGGTATCGTCTATGCTTTCACATTGCTCTACAGGATTCTAGGATTCATAGAAACCAACTGAACTTTTAAGAATGTGGAGAAGCATTCCTTAAAAACAACGAAATACACAACAAGAAAAACAATAACACAACAAACAAAAGTAGAACACAATATGAGTTGGAAGAGAAAACCATTGGCTTATACGTGCTGATATCTAGAAAATGGTAACTTTTTTATCGCAACGTTTTTTTTTACATAGCATCGTCTGCTCTCAAACATTTATTTTTTATTTATATTTCGTCTCCAGTTAGATAGTTTATGCGATGATCAAACGTAAATCTGGAAACACAGCAATCAACCCAAAACGATTAACGCTATAGAGGCAAAAATTAAAAATAATAAAACAAGTGGCAGCACACACAAAAAAACAGGAGCAGGTTTCAAAAGGCGTCACAAGACATAAATAGGCTCATGCAGGCGTATACATTTGTCTTTTGTATTTTCTTTCGTTTTAAACTTATCTCTATAATTTATTTACACTTACAAAATTTCGTAAAAAGACAAAACATCTACTCGCGGATATTAAAAACTACGGTCATGTAACATAAACATTTAAACGAATAAAACATAGATGCAATTAAAATAAAACTTTCGTACAACGAAACATGAATGTTAACATAGACACAGATAAACTATGATTAATACTTATAATGCATTAACAGGTATAAACTATTTGTAATAATCAGTCTTTGAGAAAATCGTTAATCTTTAAAACAAGCATTTTACGCGCACTTGAATAATGGCGCCGACCGAGCTTAAATTTTTTTTTGTTCAACGATATAAAAGTACAACAATTTTTTGAATACTTTAAAAACTACTTATACGATAGTCAGATATTTCGCATAGCACCTCAGTCATTTATATTGACAAAGCTGTGCGTAGCGAGGAGGTGCAGCAGGAAATGGACATAATTGTGAGTTGAAGAACTACAAAATTGCATTCCAGTAGTATCAATAATAATACATTCTGGCATTCAATAATTTTTGTTGAAAAATAAAAATCGAAAAAAGTAGAGAAAAATAGAGAAAAAAAACATGACAGCCATGCACCTACATCAAGTTAAAAACACTACGCGTGAAAAAATGCTTAACTGCAAGCTCGTTTTTTCACTTCATTAAAAGTTTTTAGCAAAAAATTGATATAAATTAAATGCAAGAATTCGCTGGTTAAACAGTTGTTTCCAATACCTCACGACTGATGATGGCTTGTGATGACGTCGAGACGCAAGCGGATACGTTCGTTACGACCGGTGGCACAATTGAGCTCGAACTCGAACTATTCGACTGGGTCATATTCGCGCTTATAGCAGCGTCACATGCCGCAGCTATGGCCGTGCTAGGCCAAACGTTTGTGTTATTGCTTGGTCCCATCAATGGGGAATTGTTGCTAGACAGTACGCTGTCAGCCGAGCTCGAAGCTCGCCTCCTCATGGATTCCTCACTTGACGAAGATTTAAGATCCTTGTCTCTTTCTTCGTCTCTGCAATAAAGAACCACGAAATTTTGTTACATATAATTTTTCTCACTTCAAGTTAATTGCTCAAGAAGTTGACTCACTTGATCTTGAGCATAATATATTTATCGGGAATGAGACCATCTTTTCCAGCTAAAGCTCCTTTCCACCAATCATTACTGACTTGAGCATACAATGTAAGCGTATCTCCTTTTTTAAAACTGAGTTCGCGCTCTGAACGAGCTTTAAAGTCGAATTGTGCCGTTGCCTCGAGATTTTCCGATTCTATTGGTTTAAAATAAGTTTATGATATGCTCAATTCAATTTAAATCGATAAGATCTTACCGTCTTCAGATGGATATACTTCTGAATCGAGGTCCTCTTGCACTTGATCAGTCGGTGAATCTCCCACATCACTTGGAAAAAAATAACATGAAATTACATCAACTCATTGTATACACGTCTGAGAAGGCTTAATGAATACTTACACATCTTCAGGTTCTCTGCTAATGTATTTCTCGTACTGTATTCCCCCAATGTCATCTGGGAAGATGTCTTCGTAGAGCGTGATGATATTTTTGATAAGCTCATTAACTTGATTTTGGTATTGAACTTGATCCTTATCTTCCGGCACTGGTACGAGCGTTGGCCCGAAACAGATAGCCAAATTGTAAGGGTCCATCATATTTTCATCGGAGAATTCGGAAAGGCTGTTGATGGAAGCGAAAATTTAAGCAGGAGGTTCTAGATGACAATGTAATAGAGAGAATTAATTAAAGTATACGCACTGATTGAGGAAGGCAAATAGATAACGCATAACGATGATCACAGGCCTCGGCAAACTCGAGACGAGTTGTCGCATACGCGAGACGAACTCGTGCTTGGAATCGAGTTGTGCCAACTCCATCAACTGTTCGAAGTAAATTATAGGGAAGAGCGGCTCTCGGAGCTCTCGGAGATAGAGCTTGAGGACCCCAGCGACGCTATTGATATCGGAGGCGTCGGTCACATCGGCCAAGGGGTCCTCGCCACGCTCGAACCACTCGCGGAAATTGTTGATCTCCACCTGCGAGCCGGAAACACGGAAAATGCCCTGATGATGCAAACCATAAAGATTGATGACTCGGACGCAGCTGCGCACTATGAGGGGAATCTCCTGATTGGTGCTCTCGAGGTACTCCTCGAGCGAGCCACCGAACAGTTTGGGCTGCCTCGCGTTCAGCTGAAGTCGGCCGATCCGCTTGCGGCGCGCCTGTTTCTGAGCGTTGGCCGCGGCGGCGCTGGCCGCACTGGCAGCGGCACCCGCCGACAAGGATGGACTGGCCTGTCCCGAGTCGGAGGCCTGCATCAGGATGCGCCTGATGTAGTCCTGTTTGGCGTCGAGCCTGGCGATCCGCGACGTGCCGAGCAGATACTCTCGGAACTTGCTGAGGTAAAACTCCTCGGTCTCGTGTCGGTCGGCTCGAAGCTTGATCTGGGCCGTCTCAGGCGGCCTACTGCTCGGTAGCCCGTTCTCGCCGAAGTACTTGGAGCAATCGTAGTCCTTGGCGGTGAGCATCTCCAGGAGGCTGGCCTCGGCCGTCTCGAGGGTCTTCCAGACCTCTTCGGACTCGGTGCGCAGGGTCGTGACTCGGGTCTGCAGCTGGCCCAATCGCTGCTCCATCTCGCTTCGCAGGAGCTTCTGCAGCTCGGGCTCGGCGCCGATGAGATTGGCCGCCGCTGACGCCGCCGAGTTGTTGGCTTCGTTGTTGTCGAGGGCGGCGAGCTTGGCGGCCGCCTGAGCCGTCACCGAGCCGGCGACTTCCGAACGGCCGGCCTGGAACTCGAACTTTTTCGGTATCATGAAGGCCGCGTGATGCGCCTCGAGGAAGCGTTGCTTGTCCGCGCGCGAGTCCAGCGCGCTGACTTGGGCCGCCAGCTGCTCGACTCCGGCTTGCAGCGAGCGTTGGCGGCCCTCCTCGGCGCTGCAGTGCATCATCAACGCCCTGGCTACGCAGTTGTGAAAACCAAAGTCCATGCACTGTCACGAGAACATAAAACAAGACAGGACGCTCACATCTCGCTCTTTTGTCTATTTTCTTCCACCTATGTTTTTTTTTTTTTTTTTTTTACTTACGTCTATGAGGTCGGACAGATCTTCGACAAAGTACTTGTGAATGGTCGTGTTGGACGCCTCCAGGCAGAGCATATATTCGTTGCGAGCCTTGAGCGCCTTGAGTCTGGCTTCGGTGTACTTGATCTTCCTCTTGTTCACCTCCTTCTCAAGGACCCTGTATTTCTTCGACCGTGCCAACTTCTCCGGTGGCACACTGGTAACCTCGTACTTGGATCTCTGTGCTTCGACGCCTCGGAGCTTCGTCTCGGCTTGGCGCGACTCGGCTTGATACGCCTGGTACGTCTTCATGGTCGTGTGTAATTCATGCAGCACTCGCAGTATTTCCTCGTGTGTCTCGTAGCCGATTTCTCGACACTGTGCAACAATATCAACAACAAGACAAGTTCGTTAGTGCCTAAACTGTTCTGGAGTAAAAAAGAGAACGATTGGGTATTCGTGTACTCACGCGTTTGTAAATTCGCTGGACGTCCTCCATGACCTGGTTGAGTCGAGCAACGAGATGCGTACTGTAGACTTCGGAGAGAGCCGCGTGATCTCGGCTGAGATTTTTCGTCTCGTTGATGAGCTGCTGCCAGCACGAGTAGGACGAGAACAGTGGCCACTCCTCCCTTCTGCGCAAAATTAATTTTCGTATTAACAAAACTTGTTACTCGAGTAGCGTGACAATTTTACGTACTTTTGTTTTTGCTCCTTGTGCCTCATCTGAATGCCCTTGGCCATTTTGTCGAGGGACTTGCTGTAGTCGAGCTCGAGCTCGGAGCGCTTTCGAAAAAAGTCCTGGAGCTCGGCGACGAGCGCGACCTGCGCCTCCATCCTCACGTCCAGGCATCTTAGCTGCTCGTTTAGTTGCAGTCTTATATCTGTCGGCCAACAAGAGTAACATCGCGATTATTCTCTATAGAAAAGCCAGATTTTTTATGAGAGAAAGTGGAAGCTCGGAAGAGAGAAAGAGAGAGAGAAAGAGATGGGGCCCGGCACGCGCGGCTCGATAAAAAGCCCCATAAACGTGCTCATAATTACCGAGGAATTTTATGGCGAAAAACTCTCTCGAACGCGCCGGAGAGAAACTCGGCAAGTGTGTCGCGCGCCGCAGCGAGCTCGCGTACGTACGAATGCATCGAGATCTGCCGTAGGCAGATAAAGCCCCTGCAGTCGGGCATTATTTATCGCATTTTTTCGTCCACTCGACATAGTCGTGAGGGACAATTTAAACGAGCTCTCGGCTCGATAAATTCAAATTTAATCGACGAAAAGCAAACAATGCAAAATAGATAATATTATTCGGCTTTCGAGGCGTTCTTTGAATTACAAATTTTCCGTACTTTGCATGCCGCTTCTGTTGGCTGAGCTTTTTTTCTTCTTTTTCGTCGTTAGTGATCTCGAGGAGTGTGTAATTGCAGCGTGACGAATAGAGGACTCGGCCGAGCGGAACGAGAGATGATCGAGATAGAGCGCGCGAATGACCAAGACAATGAAAGGAAGCGAGATGAATAGAGAGCTACGTATACAGGGTCGCGGAGCTGACTTATCAAACGGTATAATGTACAAAATATCAAGTACACATCAGTCGAGGCGTGGGCGTGGAAAATATACATATTTATACAAGCGCACGTTTTTATCGACGCAAGAGCTTTTGTACGTGTTTATACGTAGGGATGAACGACGGCGCGACACAAATTTCCATCTAATGTAAAAGAAGAAGAAGAAAAAAGAGGAGGAGGAGGAGGAGGAGGAAGAGTAGGCGGTCGATGAGGTGAGTCGGTCTAAAAATATACGCGCGACACCAGAGAGCTCTGTGACGTCGGTTTATAACGCGTTGCTGGTACTGGGGCTGTTGCTTTGGATCGAATCACGACCTCGTAGCGTGATGTGCTCGAGCTAAAATTCTCACTATGCACCAGTGATTTTCCCTCCTCCTCCTCCTCCTGCTCATTTGTGGTTGTACATTATCGAGCGAGATGTTCGCATGCAGTTGCGCGTTGGGAGCTTTTTCGAGCTTTTCGCATTGTGTCGTGCGCCACAGGAGCTGCGGAGTAGGAGGACACTGAACCGACTCGAGCGCGCGTTTTTTCCATCGATTACTATTGTTGTATGGGCAGTATAAAAGGCCATTGACTCGTTGGCCAGACTTGTCTTTCCGCGACGTATCATCTCTATTACTCTGCATCGGGCTTTTTCATATATACAGTATGCGTCCATTCAGCCAGAGCGAGAGTTGAATTTTTTTCTGCCTTCAGTCGAACGTCGAGTGGTCAGGCCTAGAGGCATCCTCGCTACGTGCAGTACTTCATTTCTAAAGATACACGATAGCCGAAGATGAGTGACGGGCGGAATGTCGATTAGAGAAGAGGCAAAAGCTCGGAGAGATAGAGAGAGAGAGAGCCTCGAGTGGCTCTAGTAATCTGTAAAAACACAGCAGGCGCGCACAAGCGTGTCATTCAGCGCTGCTTGGACGATAAAACTTCCCTTTTCGCTTGCGAAAGCACATGCGGCAGCCGGGGCAAAAAGAGAAAAGACGATATGCGTTTAGGCCAAAAAATCGTGACTATCGCAGCTGGCCTCGGCGTACAAGCAACGTATATAAGCAGCTAAAGAGTCGAGTGTGCGTCTTGTATGCCTCACGCTTTTATTTTTATATCGGGATTTACGCGTCGTTATATGCGCGAAGACAGCCGAGCTTCGTCGTCGCTCGTCCGCTCGTTCGTTATTGCCTCGCCTTTTTATTCTTGCTCTCTGTATGAGAAAGCGATTATTTTCGTATCCCTCGCTCTCTGAGCAGTGTCAAATGTGCGTCTGCAGCAGGACGATGATAGGGAGCGACGAGCATCTCTCGAATCGATTCCGTCTGCGTGTGCCTACGTCTGAGCCGGTCTTTCCTCAGACGCTCGTCTCGGCAAGAAGGGTGACGTCGCTGAAATTACTATGTGCCTTCGTGCACCCCGTGAAAAAGGAAGCTAGCGTAAAAGCTCGACGCGACTAATGCGAATATATATAATAGACACGCAGATACAGGCAACGGACTCGCCCTAATTTACCGTCCAGCTCAGCTCGACCAAGTTTTTGCTTACTTTTGCCTACGAGGGGTTAGCTATATGACGCGAAACAAATAGTTTTCTGTACTCGCAATACTTTTTCCAAGGACATTAGGATGTAGCGCGACACGGCCTGAGCTTCTTCTGTCAATTTACCGCAAAAATCAATCGACAGACAGAGCATAAAATCTAATAAAGACTCATTCGAGTAAAGGCTGAGTCAGCGCTGAAACTGATTCAATTCAACGAGTGAGCGGAGTCAAGGGCCGCTGCACGAATCGCGTTAGGGATGCACATTGAATGCGTATATCTTTATAAGCGTACACGGAAGAGAGACGACTAACGACTCGATCTTAAAATAATACTCACTTACGCACTTTTGCGCGAATACGCAGGCATGCATATAGGAGTCGCAGACACGTGGCGGTGCCAGAACTGCGCTTTTCATGCGTATACGTATTATTACATGTGTCTCGCGTCGTCTTTCCAGGAAAACGTCGCTCACATCAGTTCGTTGTACCTACGTATCACGAGCGAGCAGAGCTTTTGGAATAATAATATTACTCTATACGTACACACTGGGATCTAAGGCAGTACGACGAAATCGAATTCGCAGTCGAGTTCGAAGGTACAAGTTTATACGGTCGAGCAATTACGTTAGAGGAGGAAAGAGAGAGACTCGATTGAATCCGCTTGCCGGAGTATCGGTCGCGAGAGGCGAGCAACGAGGTTAACGAGTTACGCACTTTCTCCTCTTTCCAGCGGCCCGCAGCTACATACAGCACACCGATATGTACCTATACGATGCATTTTTCTCGCGCGCATTCAGCGAGCGATTTCACGGTCGTCGCTCGCTCGGCCTTATAGCTGTCTAGTCGATTTTCGTATCATGCCGCAGGCCAGCCATTAACGAAATCTATATAAACTCTACTTGAACGCGTCTCGTGCGCTGCCAAAAAAATGATTAATCAACGAATTAGTATAGCAAGCCTCGCTCCAAGAGAGAGAGGCAATGATATATGCTTATTCTCGTCGCGTGCTCTCGGGGATCTGTTTTTCATCGAGGCTATCGTCGCGTCGCCGAGCTTATCGTCGATAAAGTGCACGATCGCGTCGAGGGTGAGCCGAAGAGAGAAAGAGAGAGAGAGAGAGAAATTGCTGTACGAGAAGCCAAGCGGACATCGGAGGCGCCGCGACTTGAATTATTCATGCTTATATGCCCGTATACGACGTACACACGTGTGCTGAAACTTTTTTTGCGATATCATGCATAACAAAAGCTCCCTTTTTGTCTTCCAAGACGTGCTAGCCACTCGTAAGATAGAACGTCGACGTTCGACGACCGCATTGTAATAATTTCGCCGTGCGCAATAGCTCGTGCAGTATCGAGCTCTATTATCGAATCATTCGCGCAGAGACAGCGATCATCTCTAAACTGCCGTCGTGATCTCTCTGGTCAGCGCCGCGCGGCAATATCTTTATACACATCACACATACACACAAGAGGAGAGAGAGAGCGGCGCAATGTACGCGGTCACACAGACGCGCCAATGATGATGATAATCGTTTGAATAAATATACAGAGCTGTTTTCCGAGTCAATATTTGCCCCGAGACTCGATCATCAATGTTATAGCCGCACGTACAAACATCGCGGACAAGTGTCGAGCTTGGGTCGCGCGCGCGCGCGACGACGAGCCGATAACGGCCGGTCAGCTCGCGATAATTATTTATGACTTTGTAAGTACAGCGATTCCGATTAGCTGCTGCGCTCCTGCGAGCTGGCTCCTCGTAATTTTTCTAATTTAACTCGTCGGCCCACCCGAGCCTCGAAGCTTCGCCCGAGAGTTAATGGACCGATACATCCCATCTATTTATGTGCCACGATGTTTACCGAGGCGATCTATCGATCGATTGCGCAAGACATCATCGGCGTTACGTATCTGGATCAAATGCGCAATCAATCGATGTATTTAATAGTCTAAATCGTAACTATAGCCAACTACTACTATGCTTTCGACCTTTGCTACGCGCCGACGTACCTTTGATTTCCGAATCGAATTCCGAGTGCTTATGGCCACCGAATTTGAACATGTTTTCCTTTTTCTGATTGTTATTTTCTCTTCTGTAAGTATAGTAAACAACCAACTCCCGCACATATCTACGCAAACATGCGCACTTACACGCACGTCACACTTACCACTCACCCACGCACGCACACATAATACGAGTACACAGACGCGTCTGTACGCGGACTAAGCTTCTCGATACAAATTTTTGTTTTGTCTCGCTCGAATTACTCCCGAAGTGCGATGGCTGTCATGTGTGTCGGACACGCGCACGTACATCCATATACATTCGCAACAAACGACGCGGCGATCCACGCGATACTGTTTTGATAGAAGCAGGTTGTACGGCTGGGGACGCCAAGATCTCGCGACATAACATCTCAATCGCGAGCGCCTCGCATCGTGTATCGATATTTCGGCTGTGAGCGCCGAAAATGCGCAACAGCAGCAGCGGTGCCAACGAAAGTGCAAAATGAGCGGCTGTACCGACTGCCGAGTCCGACTGTGCGGCGAGCAACAGCAGCAGCAGCAGCCCCCGCGGGCCGCGCGTGTTCGACATATTTTCTGCTGCCGCTGCCAGCGACTCGAGTGTCAACGACACTTTGCGTGTGTAGTCTCTTGCACCTGTTCGATCGTATCGTCTTCTCTCTCGTCGCTCGCCAGCTCCTATACATAAATCGTCGGCGTCGCTATATATATCGTGTATCGCACGCGACTATGGCTAGCGTTAATGACAAAGGAAAAGCCATAGGCTCCAACTAGGCTCTCTCGCAGAAGTGTTACGCGGATGGTCATTTCATGGATATATATTGCACCTGCACGAGTAGAAACGAAGTAGCAATAAAAGAGATAGGCTGAAAAGAGAAAGGCGTCGAAAAAAGCGTCGACTCGATACATCTATCCGTCTCTTTCGTGCTCTCGGGCACAATAGTCGGCGCGAATCGAAGTGAAGGGACTCGCGGTGCACGCGGATCTCTGAAACTGCCTCTGGAAGCAGCAGCAGCGATCCGATCCGAGGGAGCACTGGCGAACGCGAGCTGCACGTGCCTCGTAGATTTTCTTTATGCCCGCAACTCTATGCAGCAACATTGTTAACTCGAGCGAATGCGATATATATTATACAGGATACGTTGCTCGCGTAAACTCGGAAAAGTAGTGTATATAGCGCTGCTATTACAGTTAGACTATAGCAGCGGTACTTGCGCGGCAGTAACCGATCCTATTAGCGATTAGCTCCCTGTATACTAAGTACTCGTTGCTGCTGCTGCTGCTGCGCTTTTGCAACCCGTGCAGCTTAGAGAAACGCGAAAATTGTTTTCCTGCCTAGCTCTCGGATTCTTTCGCATTTTGGAGAAAATTTAAGGCATTTCCAGAAGCTAACGAAATACTAGATAAACGAGTTTTAGCGTGTCTACGAGAGTATAATATCAAAGTCTCGGAGTAGAGACAAAGAGAAAAAGGAGCAGAAGCGACAATGCCAGGACCTAGAAATTGTATTAAACCGGCTTCGAGATTGAATCTCCCTCCTCCTCCTCGTCCTCCTCCTGCTCCCCCCGTGGACTGTGTGGAGTGGCTCAAGGACGCGCCAACGAGAGGCGCGCGCGACGCGTACTCCGAGGTGCACACACAGTTGTATTTAAGCTCGTATTTAAAGCCAGTCTGCCATTCTGCCGCGAGTATCTGCATGCCATTTCATTATTGGCCGTCTCGGCTGTTTATATGCATGTGCACGTACACAGTCGAGAGAGAACGAACCGGAGCAAGGACGCAGCAGCTCTCGGCGCACAGACGCAGAGGTCGCAGCAGCAGCAGCAGCAGCATCAGCAGCAACAGCAGCGGTGGCCGTTTCGGGGCTAAGATATATAAAGGATAATTTTCCGCGTGGCCGCAGACACTTGGGACGGAAACGAAGGACGAATCGAGTTGGACGTCGGAATCGAATCGAAGGCAATTGTCGATCGACGCCGATGATAATTATACTCGTGTATACGAGCTGCGTAATCGCGTAACGCAGCACGCGATTGCTTGGCCATGTGAAAAAGTGAATATACATATGGAGTAATGTAGAGCTGCAACTGCCGGCCCTTTTCGCAACTCGCTCGAGTGGAGCTGTGCGTTGGAGCTATGGGTCGCGTGATATTCCATACATCGCGCTTGGCTGAACGATGTCGCAATAATAATGGCTGAATATGTGCGAGGCGTAGATTACAGCTATAGACTTGGAGCACGTAGCGAGCTGCGTGTAGAATACGCAGAAGTCGAGCGAACAAGTAGTCGCTTAATTAGCGACGCGAGCGACCTAGTGCACTTGTTGTATCAGTAGTATTGTAGCATACGTACGTAGACAAATGCAAGACTCGATCGTTGCTACATAGTACAATGCTCGAGTGGCTTATCGTAGCGCTGGCATCTGAACTTTGCGCGTTGGGTATACGCTTGGCATCGCCTAATAGACGTCACGCGCGAAGAAAGGTAGGTGCGCGAGAGAAAGAGCTCGAGCTCTCGTATGCACGGTGCGAGCGCAATGTGTCGCGAGCAGCAGCAGCACGACACAGGAAAGAGGAAGCTGCCAAGTGCACTGCGAGAATACTTATACGTGCAGCTATACCGCACACGCATCGAGCTAAGAGACTTTTAAAGCCGTCGACGCCCGAGCGTAAGTACTGGTACGAGTCGCGCGAGCGAGATTGTAATTGAGCCGCGGACACGAGCCGGAGTCAACTGCACGCCCCGTGAATAATGATCCACGGGCGCGCGCGGCTCGACTTCCTTCCTTCCTTTCGCAAAGACGTCCATTGCATTTCGACGATCCGAACTCGATAGTCGAGCCGCGTCCATCATCCTGTCGTGTAATAGCTGCCAGCACGAGTACGCGCGATTCGCAAACAGCTGTCATAATATGTACATTGTTGTAACGCGTGTAGCGAGTGTACCCCCCTAAGAGCGATGCCCCCCCTCGATCCCGATTGCCACTTGGTCGTATACTCGTCGTCTATCGAGTATCCGAGTATACGGACGAGAAAAAACAAACTGCAGCTGTTATTTACCACAGGTCTCGCTCATAAATTGATACAGAGAGCGCACGCTATTCGAGCTTTCGAGGGCTAATATTTATAAACGTGCCGACTCGACATTTTCCCATCGAGTAAACTGTCTAATTTGCCTGCATCAGAGTAGCGTAAATAATAGCGTGAGAAGACTCTGCGTACTGGCAGCGATGATGCTGCTGTTGTTGTCGTTGCATTTCCACATGCACATTCGCGATCTGCTTACGTGCGACAGATAACGGGCTGCTCTTCGACTCTCCGTTTTCCCTCGTCCACACGCACAAGCATAATAAATGTAGTTGAGAGCTGCACGCACCACGAGGCAGCGGAAAGTCGCGCGCGTCGCTCTCTCTTATCGGCGGCACGTAGCTTTTGAAGCCTCGTCGACGTCTCGCGCCGCGATTACGCGCGCCGACATCGAGATGATTTATTCCGCGTTAGAAAGCGATATTTGCCTGCATTTGCGCAGCGATATCGTCGAATTTGCATAAGCGCGCGAGCACACGAGCGGAAGCTTTTATCGTGCATAGCCGAACGAATTTTCGGCTCGAATATGCAATTGAAGAAGGAATTATCGAGTTATTGCCGTTCCGAGAGAGCATTGCGCATTTCTCGGATTCGAGGCCGCGCCAGCGCCAGCGGGAGGCAGCTCCCAAATTGAATTTCCTGTCGGAGGCGCGCAAAAAGACAAATTGAAAAAGGAGATGAAGAAATGAAAAAAAAGAGCCGCTAGACTCGTTGCTGCGTTGTGCAGAGGAGCTGATTAGCTCGAGAAAAAAATGACGAGAGAGGCAGTCGCGTGCCTACTCGAGCCCGATCCCCAGGAGGGATGAAGAGCCAAGATTCTCCCTGGCACTCGAGCACGATCCACGAGCTCGCAGGGGAGAGAATGGGATCCGCGCGAGGAGCATGTACGAGTTTGTTTTCCTCTTGGCGCTATGCCTTGCCACGGTATACATGCATCAGGTGATAAGTGCGAGTACATGTGCATAATGCTACTTGGTAGCCGCGAGTAGAGCAGCATCAGAAAAGTAAAAATCACACACGCGATGGCCGAGTTTCAGGTTAATGGCGCCGCCGCCGCCGCCGACGCGTTGCATCTCTAACGACTCCCACTATTACATTATGATGTATTAAGCACATGCATTAAGCGAATGCGAGGGAGAGAGAGAGAGAATATTACGACATAACATGGACTGATGAAGCTTCATTGTGCTGTCTCGCGGTGTGGCTTTTTCTCCCGCGAGTGAGATGTCTTGAATCAATGAGCGAGAAATCGGCGCAAACTGTTGTTTCTCGCGCAAAGGTTGTTATAACGGCTCGTCGCCATACGTTGGTACATACACACACACATATTCTCGCGACCCAAAAACGGTAGTAGCTCGAGTCGTCATACTTATACACTGTAGGTACGGCTATGTGTGTATAAATATACTCGAGAGCCATTGTTCGTCATGCACGAATGAAAAAGAAAGAAAGAAAGAAAGAGAAAAAAAGATTGTCGTCGCGACTCGCGCGAAATTCTCATTTTCTTACCTCGCATTACACGACTACTCTCGTCTTTCTCTCGGTGTTTAAAAAGTCGCTGCTAACGAAGACCGCACGCGGATCGATATCTTCTCTCTCTCTCTCTGGTACTCGAGGAGAAAAATAGTGCGATTTTGCCAACGTCGGGAGGCACGGCTCGCCCATCGCGATTCGCGCAAAATATTGCCTCGACTCGGCCAAGGATCGCATAGCTGCACATTTTATACGCGTGTATACGGTGCGTAGAGAGAATATTACAGCGCGCAGCAGCTGGTTTATGCTATACGGTATAACAACAACGTGCAGCTACAGCCTCGGCTTGTTATTACGGGGCATCAATTTACAGCTTCCTGCGTGTTTCTCGGTCGTTTGCTTCTATACGGACTGCCTCGGAGCGAGCTTGTACACGGGCATTTAACAAAACATCGTCTATGCCGTTTTTCGCAGCAAATCCGATCGATATCTAAGCTCGCGTAATTATGCTCCGAGCAGTAAGTATAGCCGCATGTATATGTTCAAAGTTGTCTCTCGTCTTGACTGTGATTATAACAAAAAAGCGGGGCACCGGAAAGATATCATCCGGTGCGCGTATACCGAAAGGTTTAAAAACGTCACCCACTCGGGGCACTACTAGCGAGTCGAGCTCGTGCTGCTGCTGTTGCTACTACTCTACTGCTCTCCGGTGCGCGGCTATTTATATTCGTAAATCCACACGAGCGGTGTGCTGCACTCCACGGGCCGCAGTTCATACAGGCGCGTATTAAGCATTATAAACATTCGAATGAGCTGTGCGACACTGTGTGCTGTTACTCTCTTTCTCTCTGTTACTGTAGCAGGGGACAGAGAAGCAAATATAGCTCGTAAATCTCAATCAGGCTCGTCGACGCGACACTATTTCGTTGATATTGTATCATTATATGCTATGGGGGGATCGGTCCGTTCGCAGATAGATGGACGAGTATCGGGATGAGAATCAGCGCAATTACAAATGGTCAATTGTCTGGGCCAATTGTGAGGGCAGAGCCATTACCTGGGAAGACGTCCTTGGTGTCGGCGTTGATCGGGTGGATCCAGCCGTTTCGTTGCTGGATTATGCACTGGAACATGTCGGCGGCTGTCCGTCACTCTCTCACATGCATGCAGGAAAACAACACACACCCGCACAACAAATAAAAACAACAACAACCACTATCCAACTCACTATTCAAGTAAACTCAAACATGGTACTTTGTCAGCACGTCGGCACGCACTGGGGGAATTCTGCTCTCCCTCGGCAAGAGGTCTGGAATTATCGTCGGAGTCGTGTCTAGCACGAGAACGAGAAGCAGCTCGGAGCACGAGCACACTGTCAAGGTGTGCTGCTACTGCTGCTGGGTTGATGTTATAATGGCCGCGAGTACAGAGCCGGCTGGGGATCGAACTGGATGGCAGTAGCTGGTCACGGTCGCCAAGCAACCGGCGGCGGCGCAGCGCTCTTTCTTCCTTCTCTCTGGCACTGCTGCCAGTAGTGCTGCTGCTGCTGCTGCTCTATATATGTAGTAGCAGAGCGCGCGGATCGCTCCCTGCGCCGAGCACACTGCCGAGCAACTATATAAGCAGCGGAGCAACGTTTTCACCCCGCGAGTTGGACTGCCAGTCTGAGGTAGTGGTAGTAGTAGTAGTAGTAGTAGTTACGTAGGGCCGCGCCCCGCTCCAGCGACCGACCTGACACACGCCAGCGCTCCCTGACAACTACGTACACTACACGCGCTTCGCAACGGCCTATACGGACTACGGAGTACACTCGTCTTTCACGAATCGGAAGCACCCAAGTTGAGCGAGTTTACTGCTCTGCACCACCGATCTCTCTTGCGGCAATGCAACTGCGACGTGGGGATGACGTCCAGGTGCGACGCTGCAGTCAGTCTATCTCAAGGATGCAGTCGAGGATGCATCCATTGCGCTCCAGCTCGACTCTTCCTGTCTTTCTCTCTCTCTCTCTCTCTCTCTCTCTGTTTATATGGCTATATAACGTTTATTATGTGTACTATATATATACACGATATACTACAATCTAGTACGCGCGACGAGAGCATCAGCACTGACACGAGCGATGGAGGCAAGCAGCCAAGTCTGCTACGGCTGCCCCTTCCCGCAGCTTGCATTTAGCAGTGTGCGAGCTGCTGCTACCCACACACACGTATACATTATGTATGTGTGTGTATGTGTGTGTACGTGTGCACGCACGCAGACGCGGACGCAGCAGCAACGCATCGCACACGACGACGTAATGTTTCGCGTATACGTATATACACACACACTTGGAGCGTGTATAGGAGAGCAAGAGAAAGATGCTGTGCGCGACTCCGAGAAGAAACGACGACGACGACGACGACGAGCAGTGTAGAGAAAAACAAAACTCGGCTCGCTGCTCGAGTGGGGAATCGATCAAGAGACTCGGCTTGTGTGCCCCGTCCTTCGCATCTATATAATAACCCGGCTCGTGCAGCTCTCCGCACACCATCTCAGCTGTTGCTCTGCTACCGCCTGCAGAGAGCCCCTTTGCCATATAGGCTCGTAAACCAACGCACTTACATACATCGTCCTAGCACACGCACACACATGCGCCATTTTTGGGCAGCTGCTGCTGCTGCTGCTGTTGCAACAGGCGATGCACATGCAACTCGATTGCCAGTGAATGTTTAGTGCCATGCGTGCATAGGGTTGACGTTGCAGTTATAAGCTGCAACCTATTTGTACTCGCATCCGATGGAATGTGCACCGCCTGCAGCGCGAGCAACCTCCACCCCTCGAGTCGCTGCGTCTATGTGCGCAGACGAGAGTATAGTAGCTCCCCCTTCGTGCTCTCAGCTGTGTGCCTGTGTACTGCGTTGCATACACCGCACAAGGGGATCGCGCATTATCTTCATCCGACGACGACGACGACGACTACTACTACTACTATGACGACGACACGAGGTCAAAGGGTTAGAGGGTGTTCGCACGACCGTTAAATTCCTTCGTTGTTTTTCAGTCCTCGTCCCCTACTTTTCTCTCGAGCCGGTACGTGCCTGTTCCTTAGCTCGTGTCGCAGCAGCTCGCCATGCGCGCTCCTTTCGACATTTCGTCTATATAAACGGCCAGGATCACGACTCTGAAATTCCTTTCTATTCTTTGCACAACATTCGTACAAGACGTACGTGCGGTCTTTTCGACAGAATCTGACCAATGCTGCTGCTGCTTCTTTTTGGCCTCAGCTGCCTTTGTTCTACATACCATCTCATTATTCAAGCGTCGGTGATGAAATATATGTCTTCGCGTCGATTTACCTATCGTTATGAATCAGCTGGCGCCTGAGGAAAAGCCAAATAACACCCATCAATTCGCACCCGGCGCTCCGAAGACCCATAACTTTTCTCTCCATGACTGCTTTCTTTCGTTCTTTCTTTCTTTTTTTTTTCAAAGCGGAAGCGGCAGCAACGCGAATCAACTCGCAGATTCTGGCATGCGTGGGCTACTTACTCGCACGGCTTGCTTAGTCTCTGGCCGTAACCCGAGTTGCCGAGGGAGCTTTTCGCAGTAAACGCGCCATCGCGATTGGCCCTGCAATAAGAAACAACCCTCTCGATGTGCCCCAAAGCCAAACAAAGGCTCTCCACACCACATCCCACACGAGCCTCGTAACCGCGTGTGACTGTATATCGTATCATTTTTCCCTTTAGCCAAAGTTATGAAATCAGAAAGTAACTCTTTCGAAAACTAACAGTACATCATTTTATTCATTATATTTGTACTCTAATTTTTCAATCTTTTTACACAAGGTGTGCGGTATGAAATCAATTAATCATTTTGTCTGCGAACATCAAAAATATATTCCCTTGCATGATAGTATGTTAATAAACCGCTTTATACCTCGCTCAAACCACGAACTGCAGAAACTTTTATTCATGCTCACAACGACATTCCTGAAAAGATACATTAAGGAGCCAGAGGTCCTTTGAATAATATCCGTTAGAAGAAATGGAAAATGAAATTTATAGTAAGTATATAAAAGTACAGCGACCCTTTTAATTCACGTAGTGCAGAGGAAAAAATCGGTTAGTCTGCTTTTTAAGAGATAAAATGAAGTAAATGTGGCGAGACAATTTTTTGATTGAACACGGTGCGTGTTCCGCGTAATCCCAAGATTTATCAATGCCCGAAAACGCGTTGCCGCAACGGAACTCGCTTTATGAGTACTTTGGGGATATTGTTCGTCGTGGGTCGCGAGCGAGTCGCACAATGTACATATAACATAAGGCCAGTACAGGCAATGGCACGGTGGAGATGTGACGAACGCGAGAAAGGAGGGAAGAAGAAGAAGAAGAAGAAGAAATTTCGATGTGTAACGCGAGCATGAATGCATGTGCCCGTGTGTGTATAAAAGAAACTCACTTTCGTGCATGTACTTCCTTGTCCTACATACACAATGGCGCAAAATATTTATATAAAGATATAAATTGCCTCTCCTGCTCGAGCGACATATATATTTGGAGGATCGTGCGAAAGCAGCTCTGCCACCGATTTATACCTTTTGTACGATGCGCCTTAACTTTATTTATTAGCAATCATTTCTTTTGATACAACAAGCCTACAAGCCAGGAGAACCTGTAGATTTTGCGCAACGTTGAGCAAATTCGTCGGTTTTTTTCTTCGCGCCGCAAGTTTCAGTGCTGCGGCGATATTTGACACCAGCTCAGAAGCGGCTATGACGATAAATGCCTCGTTTTTTTCTACTGTATTTATGAAAGATACACATATTTATGTCGACGAGTGCTATCTCGATTTCCGAAGGTTCAAGGAAAATGATGAACAGGTGCCATCAACAGCAATGCCGTCCATTATTGCGATAAAGAATATCTCGCATACGAAATTATAGCTAAGATATAGTGTGACTTGGCGAATCTGCCATAGCTCGGTTTTTCCAAATAGATTAACAACTGTAGAGACCGAAATCTTACGACTCGTATAGAGCGTAATTTCTTCCAAGCTCCGGAGTCGAGTTCTGCGCTTCGATTTTGTGCGATAGAATTTTTAAAAATAGACACAAGCTCGCCATTGGTTCATAAGTTTCTCAGACATTGTTACTATAGCGTTTGCAACACGTGCTATATAACAATAAAATACGTGCTTGAAGGTGATTTTGGCTTTCAAAAAAAAAGAAACAATAGCTTAGCTACATTATTCGAAAATTATCCAACGCTTCGCGATATAGGGCATATGTTAAGGGATTTAAACGTTCAGATTAAAAGAGTCCGAAAGGAGGAGGAGGAGTTGGTCATACAAAATAGCCACATCTGAAGTTTTAAGTAATCGTTATTTTTATTCCAACGAGAGTAGAGCTGCTAAAAATTGAGCGTATTTCGGTATCAGCGGCTAAGAGGGTGCCATTTCTCTTACTCGCACTTTACGTAGACGTCGAACAGCTGCCAATATAACGAGCACTCTTGGCGTGTCTTTTGACATTCGATACTCGGAACGAAGCTGTTTTGACTTCCAGCGAATGGCCGATCGTCGTTGTTGCTGCAAACTCGAGCACATTGCGGACGATACGTCACTAGCACACATCCAAATCATCGGGAAAGAAATCGTGCGTCAGATCGTGTAAAAAAACCGAAGGTGTCGAAAAAGAAGCATAGACTTTTTCTGCTCAAGCTAGTAGTCGCGCAACGAACCATGTGTCATTATTACGTGAGAAATGGTGCCATGCACGTGCGCGACCGTTAACGCTGCTCGGTCTTTTTGCCGGCGAGATAACGTATAAAAAGTATCGCTCACGGGAGATGACCTTTCCGATCGATTAGAAGAAAAAAAGCGACGCCAGGCTTGGCATCGATCACGCGTTATTACGCGCACACACTATGTAATAGTTGACCAGTCGAGCGCGCGCTCTCGGCAGACTCGTCTCTCGCTACTCGCAGTTTAGTTCATCCGAGAGCCGAGAGAAATCCAGTTAGGCCGCTGCAGCCAGCTCCGATGGAGCGAAACGGAGTCGTCCGTCGTCGCGCCGTTTCGCGCTCGCTCGAGTTTGAAAACGACGAGCTTCGCATGATCTACAGCCGAGTACATAAGAAAGACGGAGAGCAGGAAGTATTTGTAACCCGGCATATAGAGGAGCAGCTGTGTGTGCGTATGCTGCCAAGAATCGCCGGAACTGTGCGTGCACAAATGCAGTCTCACGGCGCGCACTTCGCACTTTTATATATAGCTGCCTTGTATACGTCGTCGCGTGCAAAAAATAAAAAAAAAAAGAGGCGCGTACGAAACTCCGTTAGTACACACAGACACATACACATGCACACACGTTCATCAATTTTCGAGCCTTGGCCATCAGCTGGAGCCGCGCAGAGGCTTTGTTTGCCTCGCCACGAGGCTTTATCGACGACGGAGACAAAACGTTGAATATGAATGAAAAAAGGCGGAATTTTCGATGCTGCTGGATTATACATTCGTGTACTTTATATATAGCGAGGCAGCAAGAACATTTAATCAGAATGGTCAATCTGACAAAGCGAAGCAGTAGAGAGAGAGAGAGAATAAGAGAGCCTATGTAATATAAAAGCACGGCAAAAAGGTAGACTTATCGATCTTTCTGCTAACAAGTAACAATAGCCCTGGTGTGAGTTTATACTATGGAGGCGAAATACGACGATTCAAATCAGGCGTATCTTACACGTGCTGTATAGCTAGCTATATACGATACAAGTATAGCGTGTACATCGGTGCAGCAGCTCGTCGAGTCGGGCTCGTATAGTTCACGGTCATCTTGACCCTAATACCACGTGCCAATCCCTTTTCCGCGTCGTCGGCGTGTTCTCTCGTAACGACGACGATAACAATAACAGAGCGATGACGACGGCCACGTATACGAGGACTGCAAAAGACGTAAAGAATCCGCGGCGATATTGAAAAATTACGAGCGCGCGCTTGGCGCGTTAATTGCGAAATTACCGCGACGTTTATTTTCCTGCTCTGAAGCGAGCGTCCAGTATATAACTGCTCTGCGCGGTACAAAGCGCTAATGACTATGTATGTATATTTGCTCCTATAGGAGAAGTGCATCATCGCGTATTACTTATGAGCTGCATGCTATAGCTCGACATGTATACTTGTGTTCACGGATACATTCGCACACACCTGAGCTTTGAATCATGTAATGTAAGCTTATATAGGTATACGTATCGAACACGCGCAACAAGTGCAGCAGCAGCGGCAGCAATAGAGAAAAGTCGCGATTCTTGGCGAGGCCTTGACTACATAGAATACGCACGCACGCGAGTTACGTATGTATCTGTAAGTTATATATTGTTATGCTGCTGCAGGTAGTTTATATATACTTATTGGCAGCGCGCGTATACGCACGAACACAGGCTGCAGGCAGGCACGCGTCACGACGCGCGAAATAAGCGACTCGCGAGCGAAAGTTTTTTCCAACGCCAAGCGCGAAGACGCGCGCGTCTCGCAAATACAAGCCGTTACGAATGCGCGCGCGACGCAGCTCGTATAAGCCGGAGTCTATTTTTGAGCGTATTTTCGAGTGCGCCATCAGCAGCAGCAGCAGCAGCAGCAGCAGCAGCAGTAACAGTAACAGCAGCGGAAGTGCCTCGTGCTGGTCGCCAGTCGCCACCGTCGTCTTTTCTTTTTCGCAAACTCGCGCTGTACTATAAAGCCGCTCGACCGAATGCAAACAAACATCTGCGCTGCACTCCCTGCTCACGGCGCTCCCGATTATAATATATTGGCTTCTTCCGAATGTGCACGAACAGAGAGAATAAGGGCAACAGCGTCGACGACGACAACAACAAAAAAACACACACACGCTCGAGCGCACGCCTGTAAGAGCGCCATTCGTGTATTTATAACGGGGCAAGGGTAGTCTCTGCCCTGCCCTGCCCTGCACGCTCATCTCGCAGCTGTAAAGCTCCACAGAGAGATTCAATCGCGAACGAAAAAACAATTTTCCGAAGGCCGAGCCTTGTTCTGGATATACCCTCAGTTCACCGATCAACATGCACCGACGCAAATATATATTCTATTTTGTAATATAGATCCGAGGCCTTGATATTTTGTTCTTTATTCTCGCCGAGAGTGGCACCCTCCTCCACCTCCTCCTGCATTATAACAACGACAGCGAGGCAGCGGTTAATCGCGCTCAGGATATAATACACGGATATTATTATGCTCCTACATATATGTGTATACGTTGCTCAACTGCTGCTGCATGACACTCGTGCGCGGCTATAAGTTGGAGCAGCAGCAGCAGCAGCAGCTCCTTTGTTTGTTTAGGGAGAGAAAAAGTCTCTCTCGGGCTAGTCGCGCGCTAGGCTGAAATATCGCCGCCACCGCGTCTCGCTCGCATAAGCACGAGAGTACAATGAATCGATGATCGCACGGCGTGCAGAGGCCTGTCCGCTCGTGTACTGGCGTATCATGCCTATAAGGTACGGACTGGCGCGAGTGAAAGTTTTGGAAATCGGCGAGCAGCCGCGAATAAGTACGGGACGCGAAATAAAGCCAACGGCAGCTTTAACGTGTATTTTGCTCCATAGGCCCCCAAAGACAAAGAAACGCGGCGGTCCAGGAGAAAATTGGAGCGATCGCGAAACTATCTATACATTTATCGCCCGAGTCCGTTGATCGCAACATGGAATGTGCCAACAAGAAATCAATGACAGATATATGTATACGAACTGTTGAAGAGCAGCAGCTTCCTCGTGGAGCCGAGCCGCTTCATCGGCGACTTGATCCCGTCGACTTCCTCCTCGTCCATGGCTCCGATTTGCATCGTGGCTTGCCCGTGCGTTGACTGCCTCCTTGACACCTTGAGCACTCGGCGACTGCACGCGCGTCACTCCCGTCTACATAGGTGCTAATTGCCGAGGATTTTCACTGCTAAGAATTTTTCATAGGAACGAAACGAGCACAGAAAACACTGCGAGCGACAGCCAGTACGATTTTGTCAGCGATGCGAGCGATCGGCGGCGCCCATTGGGACGCACTTTTTTCTCTGTCTCTCTGCACAAGAATACGTGCTATATGCAGGCAAAAGAGTCGAGTGACAAGCAACAGCGACTGCACCCTGGCAGGCCGTGAAGGCGCGGGATACGTATATGTAACGCGTTGCTAAGACTCTACCACGACGACTGGCTCGGCCAAACGCTTATACGTCCGCCCGTACGCGCGAGCTAGCTAATGCTGATCTGCCGGCTGCTACTTATAATATTTGTTGCACGGCTCAAACTTTTTCTCCCTCTCTCTTTCTCTCGCTGGCTTTTATATACGTGCTTCTTTGTAAACGTGCGCGCTCTGCTCGCTCGCTCGGCGCTCGTTACTCGTATCGGAGCAGCAGCAGCAGCAGCAGCACGAGCCAACAGTCGAGAGAGGATATTCTCGGATCGACGATCCCCACCTCGACTTTTGCAGAGTCAAGAGCTGCACGCGCGCGAACTCGTTTTTGCAGCACGCAACGGCTATCGTTTTCCTCGCATCTTCTCCATCTAATGCTTCTCCGACTTACAAATTACGATTCTTCGACTACCTATACTACTTCGTGCTTTTGTTTTCACCAACCGATTGTTTTACCCTATTTTTCGCGGAATATTGCCACGCTTTTGTTTAAATGTCTGCCAAGCGTGTAACCGTTAACGAATATCCTAGATTGCATCGCGCTCGTGCGTGCATAACCGACCAATTCCTCTCAACTATCTAGAGTGGCGCCCTCGTTCGCGCGCCTCCAGCACTTCCAGCTGTCATATCTACGCTCAGACATTTAAATTCTTTTCGGACATTTAAACTCAATCGATCGTTTTTACTTTCAAACTTTTGCGATTTAAACTCTTTTCTTCTGTGTTGTCGACTCTGCAAGTAAATAGTTTCAAATTTTAGTTAACGATTGACTCGAAATAAAGTTTCGAATTTTTCGTGACTTGGAAGATAATAACCATTCTTTAACTTAGGTACAAAAAATTTGTTTAATACTCATTTTAAAATGATCTATTTTTGTACAAGGGTATAATTGAAAATTACACATTTTTCTATGACACTTTGATTGACATTCACTTAACACACTGATTCATTCTAGTTGTTTATCCGAAAAGGCTAAATTATTGCTTTTGGGTTCGATATTAGAGTCGAAATGACACATTTATAAATATATAATTGGCTGGATTGCTCCAATTTCTCACGGGACGTTGATTACTTCTTTTTAATGGTAAAACTGTCAAGTGTAAGCATGTCCAGCTGCTTCTCATTGCGAAATTCAGCTTTATCGATGGCTGACTGCGGACTACCAGTCGTTCTCAGCCAATTTTTCCTGTACAATGAGAAGAAAATTAGAATAAAAAAATTATTAGATCGAGTATGCGATTGAAAAATACGCTTGTGATATATCTATTTACTAACATTTCTTCGACTTTTCCTTTCTCCCCTTCGACGTATCCCACAACTGTGTTGTGATCGGTATTCATGCACCATCCACTCAATCCAAGTTCTTTAGCTTTTGACTGGGTAAACTGCAAAAGTAAATTATACTTGAAGAATTCATGCTATCTTAACAGTAGTGAATCGATAAAGTTTAAAGTTTAGCCGATAGATGACGGAAGTGGTCGGACACAGAAATCGATATAAGTGGTTCGATAAGTAAGCTCCCACCGCTACCAACTCGAAAGCTCGCGCGTTGTATACCTCGATAAACCAAGCCAACACAGTTAACCCAAACTGAATATATTCTTGAGTTCATATAAACGCAGTTTTGTATAATAATTTCGAAAAAACGGACTTACCTTGCGGAAAAAGACACCTGCAACAGACGATACAAAAGGGTTAAGAGTCACATTTGGATTCATCGATGATTGTTAAATTTGTGATTAGAATAAAGAGACAAGTAGCCGAACATACCTTGAACTCGGCCGTAAACTTCGAAATCCACACCTACTGGCATGTCTTCGGGAGCGGCAAACTGATGCAGCAGACAGAGAAAAGCAACGAGGAGGGTTGAGTGTACCTCAAATCTACGAAGTATATTTACGACGATCATTTGTCACTAGACGAAGACGGATCTATTTAAACAGTAGACTGACACATGTATATTGTCTGCTCAAATTATACACATACATGTAAACAGACAGCTAAGCTGAACGACACGACGAGAGATGTCGCCGGAATCGACCAAACAATGCGCGAAACTGTAGCGCGTGAGCGACCCAGCGTCAAGCCATCGCATATTACTATATGGATAAGACTTACTCGCTATGATTCGCAGCAGCAATAAACGAGTCGAGTTCATCTGCACCGATGCACATATACTTACCTAATAAAATTGTCAGATCAATTTTGTTGTAATTTCCAAAATAATTTAAAAGAATTCGATTGTAAAGCGAAGAAAAATAAACAAGTATTTCAGGGTGATCGAGAAAATTTTGGTGTCTACTGAACACTGCATTATGGAATGACGAAATCGACACGCGATAAAATTGGAACAGATACGATATATGCGGGAAAAAAGTTGCAGACCTTAAACGATTTTTTAGCGTCAACCTCGAACAAATGAAATTACAAAGACCGGCGCTCGAAAAGTAGGTTAATCCTTAGGATTTAAATTCACATTGGCATCATTAATAACGATGAAAAATAGCACAAAGCAAAATAAAGGTTTGTAACGCGAGAGATAAGTTTGCATTTATCTAAACGAAGCAAACTACGGCATTTCATCGCATCGCAAATAATCGAATTTGAATCAACGATGTATAAAATAATGTATCGGCTGCAGAGAGAAAATCGCACGATTTTGACGTGGATCAACGCGAGCGAAATATCTCCTCTCATTGGATGTACGAGCAACAGCGTATAGGCATAGCACACACGCTATATAGGTATAAAGCATAAACATGTCGCGTTGTAGGTGAAGTTTCCCCACCCACCTGGCAGCAACACCGTCGCCGCTACTGCGCAAGCGAGTAAGAGAGAGAGAGAGAGACGGGACGCAAAGTTGCACGCTGCTTCTGCGCTCGCATCACACAGCGGCAGTCAGTTGAGTTCGGTTCTGCGTCAAGTCAAAGCTGCGCTCAGCGGCTTGAGCGATAAGCTCCTCTGGTTTCGCTCGAGCTACACAATAATATACACATTGCACATTGACGTTTAAAGGGAAGCAGCCCAACAAAACGGAGCAAGTGTCAAACGAGAAGGGCCGTGATTCAGCCGTTTACATCGCTCCTGCCTGAATACAACAAGTGCGCGAAAAGTGTCAAAGGGTTAAATTTGCTGTAAAAGCGGGTAAAAACGCAGTCTCTGCTGCAGGACAGGCATACATCATCGAGAGCAGCACAACAAAAGAACGAGAGATAAAGTGCGGCGTCGGCCAGTGCGTGTTTAGTAGTGGCGTTGCATCGGATCGACGCGACGACTGCAGCTAATCAGCCACGACGTCTGCGTGGTGTATTATGTTGTTGGACGAGGACAAGGCCGAGGAGGCGAGCCTGCGGATGACGTCCGCGCCTTCTTGGCTCCTGCAGTGTTAGCTCATCTTCGCGTCCAGACAGAGACAGACTCGAAATAAATCACATTTTTCTCGGCTTAGCTCGCTCTCGTATCGCAAGCTGCTCACCTATATCTACACGCACTCGCACACTACGCAGACAAAGAGAGAGAAGAGAGAGAGAGAGAGAGAGGATAAGGAGTGAATTGTGATCGGCCGTCGCTGTCAGCCGTGTCGCGCGCGCGGCCCTAGCAGTACAGTATATAATAAGTGCTGCTCGTCGCTCATTGTCGCGGGCAAAAATAATACATTACAGGCAGTACTGCGAGCGAGCCTCGACGAGAGACTCTCGTCTACATAACTGTATACATAGCTGTATGCTTATATACGTATATGCAGCAGCAGCAGTAGCAGCAGCCACGGGCCACGGCATTGCAGCTCACACATACACACAGCACTGCGGCTGTGCATGTATAACCTAAAGTCGTGCTGGTGATATCATTCCAAGTCTAAATATACATATATAGTAACTCACACGATCGTCCGTGCTCTCTCGCACACACACATAGACGGGTGAAGACACGCGCATCGCAGCAGCGACGTCTCGCAAATACGAGACGAGTGAAAGATTCTCTCGAGTCTATATATTATGTACACATGTGTATGCACGACGTGTATCAGTGGATCAAGTCGCATGTAATATAATTATATCTGCGATTGCCTGCGCGACTCGTAATCATTGTGTGTCTGTGCGCGTGTGCGTGTATCGAGCGACACAGAGCCGTCAACGTCAAATTACCTCCTAAACGTATAACGTGCGGGATAGATCGATTCAGTGCCGCTGTCGCTGTCGCTTCTGCTGCTGCTGCTGTCGCTGCACTGCACAAGTATCGCACGGATATAGACGCCGTTTCGACCATTATTTAATTTTGACAAGAGAGAAAGAAAACATGACTGCGATACTGATATTCGTCGCGGAACTGTCGACCAATATATTCCCATGGCTCGTTGTCATCATCTGCTTTTGCGGCTTCTTCCTCTTCATGATGAGGTTTGTTTCCGATAATGGGTAAGAATAATTACAAGGATCAGTGGGGCGAAATAATTATAACGATGCCCGCGCAAGGTCGCAGTCAGCTCTCGGCGAGATTAATAGCAGACGCTTTAGAAAACAGCTGATTACACACATTTTCAGCCGATACGTATAACGCTCGAGGTGTTTATTGATCGATGCCAAAGTCTCATTTGTACACCGGCTTTTTCCAAAGCTGCACATTTGAATGCGCGTCACATGTTTACGCTACCTGACAGCGAGAAACACGAGAGACTCCAATTTACCCTTCGTACGTATTTTGACTCTGCTCGTGCTCGATTGGTGCAAACTGCGGCTCGCTTGCACCTATTGTATAGATATAGCCCGAGTCGGGTGCGAATCGAGTGCTAAACGCGTACGGATGCACTGCCGACGCTCTCGGTGCGTCTGCACTCGCGACGCCCAACCCCATGATCTGTCCCTTCGGTGCACGTGTTCTTGAATGTTCTCTTCGTAGTTGGCTTCTTTTGCCTCGTGCATCTCTGACTCTCCGCTTCAACCGGCCGGCCGTCTTGGCCCCTAACTGCATTTTTTCTTAACGTCTTTGCGTTAAATAATATCTGACGTATTGATCTCCAACCTAGAATCTTTCTCCATGTGTTTTGTTTCTTCAACTTGTCGGGATAAATAAGCTCGATTTTTTTAAATTAAATTCAAGTATATGCGAATGAATCGTGCGCTCGACTGACTATTTAAATGCCATTTGCGATAACATCGCTTTCTTTATCTACTATGGCTAATTTTTGAAAACAAAAAACTACACGATCAAAGCTACGTTGATTCCGACTTTTCGGTTTAATTTCATTCACCTCTATGAGAACATTGGCGGGTGTAAATACTGTAACAGCATTCGACCTTGGCTGTAAAATGTTTTTTCAATTTTGTTTAGCTGCGAAAAAATATCGCGCTCGATGACTGGACGTATTATTGCTGCAAATTAAAAAAATCTCACAAGTCATTAAAAAGAAAATAATCAAAAATGTTAAGATAAATTATTGGCAAAAAAAGAAGCAGAGGTATGAAAAATAGAGACGCGTACTTTTCGGATGAATGATTTTTTCGGTCAAGAAGATGGCATTTGCTAGTGATATAGTGTACATTTCCTTTCTATTGTATGCCTTGCTCGTTTGACGTCTGTGCGCACGAGTGTGTAACAGCCAATGAAATGAGTACGTATAGTCTGTCAACGTTCATTTTTACATAATACGGCTTATAAATGCGATTAGCATATCTAGTGTGCACTTGATTCTTTTTTCTCACTCTTTGCTAAATTGTGTATTGAATTTTGAGGAATTAGTCATCGTCATTGTTCTTTTATTAATAGTCGAACGATTGATGCAATATGCTCGCTTTAGGACGTTTACGAGCAACAATTAGCCGAATTCAATAAGCCATCGCATCATCGCCTAATCATATTACACTTACGCGGCAAATCGCAATTAACGTCACGTCTTTGCTTTGCAACATTATTACAGCATCCAATCAGCTGTACATTTACAGTTGAAAACATTACAACCGAGGATAGAAAAGTAAAGCAAAAAGTCGCGCTGCGACAACGTAATTTCGCTCGCATCAAGAGCATCGTCATGCTGCGTAGTATTATAAAATATAAGAAAGTGTGCCGGGCCACTAAACTGCACACATGCTTCAACTGCGCGAGGACGAAAGCCGCAAAGGAGCCTTTAATAAATGACCGATTCTATGGAACTCGGTGAATTCGTGCGTGCGTTTTCACGTACACATGCGGTGCCTATCGGAGCTCTGTGCGCACTGCAGCCCGAGCGCACGCAGAGCCAGCATTATGTAATGTATTACGCTGCTTTCGCAATATTAAGTGTGTATGTAGCAAATAGCACACATTAATACTGCTGCTGCCGGCTAGTTTTCTTTCTTAGGTGCGTCAGCCGCGCGTCCACTTGCATGGCTCGGCAGCTGTAAAATTCTCTATGCTCTTGTAATGCATTTTCTGGCTTATTTTTCACGTGGCCATAGGCGTTGCAACTAACTCCATGATAATCGCTCGATCATGCATCTTGAGACTCGAGGCTCTGCGTAGTTTTATGCGAGCTTTTTTTTTATTTCCACGGAATTTATACAAGAAACTTTTGAGACATGTTTACTTTTATAATCGGCAATTTTCAAACGAATATTTACTCAAATTATTCTCTATATCATAACATGTTGGCATCACAAAAAGTTTCTAGGTTCGCTTGTTATCATATTTACATAACTTTCTGCAATTCATTTTGCATTATGCGACGATCTGGCTAGGCTTCAAAATTGGCCATCTTTTGCAGCAGTCACTTTTTTGCGCAAAGCATCATGTATAGTATAAAAGCGCATAATCAAGTGACCACAATTTTAATATCATGTTTACTTTTTTCTCGCTGTCGGCGTGCGACATCGTGTTTCTTTGTACTTTTCCTCGAGAGGCGATGACAAGAAGCACTCGAAGCTCTACCTGTACGTCTGTCACAAGTGCATCTTGCGCGTCGATTCCATTTTCTTCTTCATCAAACGGCACACGATTAAACAAACTTGAAATTAAATGATTTTTCACCTGACTCCCGATCGATCAGTTGCACGCTTTTTTCTCGAAATGTTTGCATTTGGCATGTTGAATTTGTGTTGTCGGATCACTCGGTGACGAGCAGGTCATCTCGACAATCTGACGCTTCTCGTTTCTCTGCTGCGGTTGGTTTTTTTCTAGGTCGTTGTCCTTTGCACGTGCCTGTGAAACTTTTAAATGCATTTGAATTATGAAGGAGTTAATGGCATTACAACTTTTTATACATATTGGTACTTTGAAAATTGAAGAAAGCAATGCGTTGGAACCGACGATGCGCTGAAGCAATGATCGATATATTCCCGTAGAAATACCTAGTTCACAATCGATTCGTGCAGTATCGCAATTTTAATTATAGGGGTTTAAATGTCAACGCGAAATGCCGCTGCGATCAAATACGCGCGAATTGGCAAATATTCACGTGCGTGCGCGGTGATGAGTTGACGCGCGCATCTACGTAATAGAGCGAAGAAAACACACGAGGCAATTTTATCGGGCAATTGATTTATCGATGAACGTTAATTTTGTAGGAACATGATGGTGCTGCGAGTCCACGGAGACGATTTGATGTTCGGTGGTACGAACGACGTCATGGGACACTCGCCCCGTATACCACAGATGAAAATGATGAAAGTCCACATACCGTTCACGTTTAAATTGCACGAGAGCCTCAAAAGCACATACAGTGGTGAGTGTTTCTTTGCTTTTTTTTCTTTTAAATCTATTAGTAACTTTCAGACGCGCTTTGCGCGCATCAGTTTTTCAGTCGTCCTTAAAAAAAGTTATTTTGACCGTAGATGTTCCTTTATCCCATTTCAATTAAGTCAAAAGTCCGTCGACCAATCATAGGCCGCATAACATGGCTTTACTTTCAGGTCCATTATAATTTTGAGAGAGGAAATCATAATCGACTAAATTCAGTTTGAATCAAGTCAACTGAATCAAAACGTCAATCAAGTCACGTCGATTATTTTTGGCGTAGAGAGTTTTTATATAGAAATTATCGGTTGATAACAATTTTAATGAATACATCGTGAATGAAATGAAACTGTACGATTACAGCCTCTGACGAATGTTGAATGCATTAGAGAATTCTAATTATTTTCTAAAATCGTTCATTTCAAGAAATGTATTTTTGATTTATGCGCGCGTTGACGTTTTCATGAACTTTATCCATTATTCAAGAAAAATAAGGAAATATTACGCATTGAGCGAATCAGAATTGAGTTTTTATTTATGATTTTTGGCAGAAACTTTAGAAATTTGGGTTAAAATTAAAAGCAACAAAAATTTAAACAATAAATACGTGGGAGGTGGCAAAATTTTTTGCAACCAAGTCCATCGACTTGTACACGCGCGCAGCGCACATCGCCGTGTGTGTATTTCGAAGGTTTGCGCAAGCTATTAATGTCGTGTATAACGCACGTCGTATTCTCGCGCGGGCGAGCGACTTCGACTCGAGGAGGCATGAGCATTGCCTTTCGAGTTAACGCGCTCCGAGACTCGTTTCGACATATATAAACTCCTCTGTCTTTTATAACTTTGTGCGAGTAAAAAAATGGATTCTTTTTTCTTGTACTGGCTCTCTGCTTCAAACATGCGCGAAATGTCACTCCAGTTGATCTACTTTGGAGCAGAAATATCACGTGATTTCAGCGAACGATTTAATTGTAATGTTTAGGAGTGATTTAACTCATTTCTTCACGAGTTCAAGAACCTCGACTTTGACGTTACCCCACACCTATCGGATCCTAATGCATATCATTGACTGATTTGCAATGAATATTTTGTATTCAAATTTCATCGGCTTTTCATTTGTTGAGAGACACTCGCCAAAGTACGGCAGGAAATTGATTTCGCAGACCTAAAACTTGCCTGAATAAACTTTTATACCCGATATTATATTGCAGAAACTTACGTGCGAGGAAAATTGAGAAACCTCGACGAAGCCTTGTAAACATATACACACATCCTTTTCATCCTTTTATTATATTTACCAGTGAAATTGCATCACACTGCGGCTGAGCCTTCGTACGAGTAAATTTATGCTCGTTGGAAATCTTATTTTTACGAAATTCTCTCGTACACGGGATATCAAAAGAGAATCTTTTTTGTTTATGGATATGCAGATGTAGCCAGAGGTTTTTTATTCCTTCGTTGATTTCGCGTGCTTGGTCAAGGCAAAGACAATGACGATGAACTCTTGACTTAGATGCGCTCGGATGGTTGCTTAAATTTTCCCTCGTTACTTTATTCATCTACCAATGAATTGGACGATATAAAAATTTTAATTTGTGTGCAATAAGACCTTAAAATAAGTCTACAACATAGCTGCAGCAAAGCAATCGGGTAGCAGCAGCTGTGCAAGAGGAAATCTCGATCGATTGACCTTGAACAACGGCAACATATTGACATTTTTTCCCCAATGATCCATTCGTTTCAACTTTCTTTTGCATTAATTTCCAGATGTATTTTTAAACATTTCAAACTGGTTTTCAACGGCAAACGATGGACGTGCACCAGCCAAGTGCACAGCACTAAATTTCCTAATGGAAAAATAGCTCTCTGCTAAAATTGGCTTGTTAAGGCTCGCTTCACGTTATATGCAGTAGCTTGTGTGATCAACGAGATAATTTCGCTCTTTGCTTGTAATTTTTGAGTTGCGCAAAAATTAAACCGACACAATCCTGATTTTTTTGATGAAGGGGCTCGTGCCGAGCAGCGAGTTAAACTCGACGACCGTGGCTTCGGCTGACTTGCGCGCATTGCCCCATATGCTGGGCGCAGATTAAAACTTGGCCTGCCTTTTCAATCCCTCTGTCAAGTTAGACGAGTGATTTTCTGTCGAATTACTCGCGCCTCTTTGTAAAGCAGTAAATTATGTAAGCTTCAACAAGATAAATGAATCGCTTCTGCAGTCGTCTCTGAATTGATTAATATCGAAGAAAGTAATGTCTTGGCACACATTGCGCTGGTACAGTTGCCCCTCGAAAATTCAATGTCGATCGCTTGCTTGAAAAAATCATGAGGTGAGAGAAAAGATAACGAGGCTAGGATATTGGAAACCCAACTAGGTTGAAAGAGCTAACGAGAAATGACAAAAAAGATCCAATTGCTCGGCAAACTGTAAAATTTCCATTGGCAAACGCGATCACGACGAGTTCATCGCTTTCAAAGAACTAGCAATAGATTCGGTACGTATTTTTCTGCTCCAAAAATACATTGTATCGAGCGAAAAAAATTCGATCTAAAAAAATGATGCATAATTTAACAAAGTGCACAGCTGACGCGTCGATGATGATGCGTAACAATGGTCTAATGAATGAAGCAAAGAAAGCTTTTGCATATCCATATCGAGCACAAATAATGATTCACTCTTCGTAATACATGTGTACACATTTCAGAGCTATATCGCGTAACTTGAGTATAACCGAAGACTTAAAAATGAAACACAACTCATTTATAATCTTATCATCGAAAATTCAATCAACAATTCCTATGTTTTTATGTTGAAAAAAAGTGGACCGTTCAGAATGAAACGTTAATACCATTTGAAATGAGCTTTTAACAAAAAAAGCATTAAATATTCATCTTTCTCTAACTATGATGAATTATTAGAGAACATTACGTTTGCGCAACAATTATCTAGTAATAACAGCTCTAATGTGAGGTAGTTAAATTTTCTAACGATGAAAATCTTTGAAAACTCTCCGGTGTACTCACCGGAAATGATATTATAAGGCAAATTAAATCATAATTGAATGTCGATTGATTTTTAATCGACTAATTGCCAATCTGTTTTTAAAACGCTTTTATAGATTGTGAATTTAAATGCTAACAAAATACGCAAAAATAATACAGCTCACTGCGAGTACACTTGATTGAAATTAGTAATTTGTGTATTCTATTGATTATACTTACAAATTCACTGCATTGATTGCGTTTTTTTTCCTGAAAAACTAAAATTTCTGATTTACGTTTGAAATTGTTCTTTTATTTTATTTGTAAAAACATTTTTTCTGCATTGAAAAAAAAAAAAAAAAGAAAAGAAAACTGGTTTTGATGCGTGAGCAAACAATTAGCAACGCGTATACCACCAGAATAGAGAACAGAAGTTGGGAATTTTTTTGTCGAAGTTGACACCACGAATGCGTCAACGCAATCTGATACAAATTCAACTGAATCTCTTTTTTCGTTTAAAAAACATTGATTCTTTCATTTCCGTTACCATACCCAGTGAAACAATTGGATAAAAATTTACTCGGGAATACCAAAATAATCTTTGTATTAAATCCGAAACTAAATTTTTGAAAGATATGCTCAATCAATTAATAGTCTGTTTGAACTTCACTGAGAAATAATCAAGTATAGTCTATATTTATCATGCGTGCTTTGACATCGCTTGGGTGCAATTCGACTTTGTGAGGGAAAAAAAGGAACTTTTATGAGCTCACTTGCAAAAGGTATGACACACTTTGCGTCGCTGTCTTTGCGGAGAACGCGAAGCAATCTCAAAAGCGTGGTTCATTTGTACAGCGTATAGGGTCGTGCGAGTACTCGAAAAAACTCGAGTACTCGCACAGCCCTAACAGTAGATGCGTTCGTGTATTGTACTCGAAAGAAAGGGTTTTTTGACCAAAGTCGAGATTATTAAAAATCTTATAAACTCATTAGAAACTTTCAAAATATATAGCAAGATCTATACAAAAAAACTGAACGGATGAAGTAAAATAAAAATAAAATCTCAATGAGATTAAATTCTCGACAAAATTATTGATGTATACACAAGTAGAATTCGTATTCATGCACGAGTATGTGTCATACGCGCGATCTCGTGTGCACGTGATTGAGCTATAGCATGTATACACGAGCCACACACGCTCTTGACTACGTTATTCTCTCGAATATATATTGACGCCAAGTCGCGCGACTCGAGCGATTTTACTGACGTTTAATGTCAGCACAATTTTTTCTTTTTTTCCGGCTCCATCTTTGAATGAGAGAGAGACGACTCGAGAACCGAATTCGTGATCGGAGGCAGCGTCGTGCTGGTCGTTGGTAAACAGGAAGACGCGGCAAAAACGCAAAATATTGAACGTCGGAGCTTGTATCGCTCCATATGCATCTGGATCGCCATTGCAACATTATTAACATTTCAACGCATCACGCACGTTTGCTAATCGTGCGCGAGTTTCTCCCCGCTTACGAGCTAATTGAGCCAGTCGCTTTTTACATTTTTTTCTCTTCTCTTGTGATGTAGCTTCGAAATTCGGTCGAACGATCGCGTAGGTGATGTAAAAATATTTAGATGAATCCCTCGTATAGTCTTGACCTTCGCACGTCACAACAAACTTTATCTACTTGCAAGCACCGGTCGACGACGTGCAAACGAGTTCGCCCGAATAAAAATTATATAAAACCCAAATCGGGTTTTGTCGTCGAGGAACAAAAAGTTGGGTATTAAAAAGCTGGAAAAAACAGGAATTCTCTTCCAGCCCAGATCGAGGGGCTGACACACGCATAAGTCACATGATCCGGTTCGCACACACGTCACTATTGCATTTCAAATATAAATTATATTGCAAATACAGATTTTTTGTCGTCGTCGTTTGATATGCCCTCTAATGTCGTTGCCCAACTGCAGCTTGCGCGTGCCGCGCGATAGTCTGTTAGAATGAACGTTTACAGGCTCATTAATATGTATGGGAATATTTTCCGCGAATTTCATTCGACTTTATTTTTGTTTCGTCTCCTAGCACTGCAGCAACTCAAGCGCAGCGACGTTTCTTTTTTTCCTTCTAACATTTATTACGTCAAATAGTGTTGTAATATCTTTTGAATCGCTCTCGAGTGATGTCAACAAACTCTCAAGTGTATTCCGATATTTTACCGGGCGCGCAAAATTACGATGAAAAAAAAGAAGAAAAAAAAAGAAGAAATAGACGTGTACGTAAGAGACAACTGTTAGCTCTCTCGAGTAAAGTGTGATTTATAAAGTAATCGCTCAGGTTGTGACCTCTACTATATGAATAACATGAAAAAGCGAAGACAGACATGGGAAACACATTGTTTGATTCACCGCTCAAATGCACGTTGTTCATTTCTCTGTCTTTGAGCGCGTTGCAGCTTTGGCCCTCAACGGCCAGTTCTCTCCTTGGCCTCTATATCGGACGACTTTTTATACGTATACATACTTACTTACACACACTAACTTGATAAGTAAGAATATAATTCCCCGCATTTTCAATTGTAACACGTTTTATTTTTATACAAATATTTAAAAGTAATTATTTGATTTTTTTTTCGTGTTTACATCTTGGTCGTTCGGGAGTTGAAATTTCAAGGATGACGAGGATTCAAGTCTTATCTCTGGTTTTTTTTCTCCAATCCTGTTACTTTTAGCATGAATATTTGAATGTGATATAATTAGCGAAATAAAGATAGGCAATGGACCTTATTAAGATTGTTATTTAAACGACGTATATCCAAGTCCTATTTGATACGAAATATTCTTCTAAAATGATTGATGAAAGTATTTTTAATTATCTTGGGACTTATTACAGAAATAATTATTAATCGAGCACTGCAATTAATTTTCGTATCTTTTAATGAATATCAAGGCTCGCTGCTATAAGTCTTGAATGTAACATAATCCCACGCAGATCCAAATTGCATTTACTACTCGTTGGTTTTCATCAAAAGAATTGAACGACATCATGAAATCAGAACTAGTCTCTGGAAAGAACATGCGCAAGAGGAAAAAGGCTAAAAAGTTGAAATCAAGCTACAAACAACGCACACACACACACACACGCGTAGAAGCATGTATGCTCGGAAAGGTTGCATATATACTACCATGAAATTTAAATATTTCCAGAGCATGTGTGTATGCGTGCGTGCATGTGTCTACGTGACCGGCTCGCGCGCGCATGCAATCAAGGTCGCGCACTGGCTCGAGCTGCACATAACTCCCGAGAGAGCTTGCACTAGATATATGTATACTCCGTCATATAAAATAATAATAGCACGCGGCGATCTTGCAAGCGCAGCTCTCAAAGCTGTAATTACAGGTGGAAATATTTTTTCCCTGACTATACTTGCTCAGCCGCTCCTGCTACGGACATGCCGTCGATCACGTAGACCATCGCGCCAAAGGGTTCGTTATTCCCGCCTTTTTCCTCCTTTTCCCGCGCAAAAAGCTTTCTCGCAGCAAACTATAACTTTTTCCTCGTTGCTAGTTCCACGATCTGCAACTTTTTTGATCAATTTATAAATATCCATTCGCTCGAATAATCTCGAATAAGTCATTGAGATGTCACGATTAGAGGTGTAATAACGCAGCTTTTATCCTCTTTTCGTTGAACGTCATTACCATTTCAATGGCGTTTTTTATGATATCTGATGCGATGAGATCGTTTACAAACTTGACTTTGTTGAAAAAAGTTTCAGCGAGAGAAAATAATTGTAATAACGACCATAAAAAGCTGTGTGCCCAATCCTGACGAACGAGCAAAATGAATTCGCTGATTTGCGTAAAAATTTTTCTGCATCGTGTGCACGTGAATATGTTGCATCTTAACCGTAAGCGGTGTTTCTGTGGCAGAAAAAATTGCCCTTCAGAATTGGTAAGTTGCAAAAGTCGTTGAAACGCGTCCATCGAAGGTCAGGCAGAGCGTACTGGGTCGGGTACTTACTATCCAAGGTCACCCTTTCTCCGCGCGTAGCATCTGGTCCCCGAACGTTTCTACAAAAATATAATTAATCGAACGCCAAAATAATGCACGAATAATTTACGCAACGAAGCGACGATTTGACGCTATACTGGATGTGTGTAAAATGAGTCGAGCGAGACCACGTGCATAATATACTTTGCTCCGATACAAAGAGAGAATACGGCCGGCTCGATGCAGCGACGTACACGCGATATGTTTCGCCATTGCAGGCGTTGAATTTTATAGCCGAGGCGGGATTAGGTCTGAAAAATTGCCGCTATATACGCGTGCGTGCGTTTCGCGAAATTTCGCGCCTCACCGTGTCAAGGATCTCGATTTCGGAAAATTTTGAACTTACGCTAGAAAAACGTGTACGCGTCGGCGCCGATTGCCTCGAAGCAGATCGATGTACGCGAGAGCGCGTGTGCTCATTAAATTTGACGCGCTGCACACTCGATATTTTCGATCGGATGAAATTGTGCAATTGGCTTCGTTGAATCGCTGCTGCATGTGCGCGCGTGCACACAAGAAAAATCGTTAGATCGGTGCATTGACTCTTAAAACAGATCATTGTGGAACTAAGAATGCCAGCTCGAGCTCCGGGCTATTGCGTCAAATTGCATAATTCAATGAGGCGATTCGCGTAAGAGAATATGAACCCCCTCGAGCCTAACGTGCACGAATATGTAGCCCAGGACTCTTTCCCACTACGACGCAGACTGTGTGCAGCCTATAGCCAGTCCGGTATATAGTAACGTTGCCTTTTGCGGCTTCTAGAGCCTTTCACCATGCGCGCGAGCTCGCCGTGACGCTGCCTATGTATGCTGTCTATATATGACCGACTTGGGTCGACTGGAAGCATCTCGCGAGTCGAGCTAGTCGCGCTCACCCGACAACTAGCAACAGCGCGCCAGACCCGGATTCTTATGGCCTTATTTCAAGAGCTGCTGCACGTATAAGCGGAAAAGCAATATCGCTCTTCTCAAATGAACCGTTGGCCGAGCCTAAAGCGCAGCAGTATACGCTTACTTGGACGAGGTTTCGACTGCATTAGCATACAATTTATCCCACCGAAAAAAGAAAAGATACTTTCGAAAAATATGCTCGGCCGAGCTGTGCGTGCTCGGCGACTAATCGAGACTGCACTCGAGTGCGTACGTCGAGCAGATAAGACTCGTTTTATTATCTCTCGCAGTTATTCCGCTGCTCGCTTCGAGTCTTCGAGTGCAGGAAAAATAACAAGAGCTTGAAATCTTTCAAAACACTCGAGCAAAGTCGATTTAAGGTAGTAAGGTCGTTGTACGCTCGTACGGTCGCTCACTTGCACACCCGCGCTCGTATTGTCTTTTGCTCGAAAAACGTTTCGTTGACCTTAGCCGAGCGCGCTTCTCGCCTACGTGATTTTTTTTCAATATCTACATCCATTATCGAGATTTGTAAAATTAACAAGCCAGCGAATCGTGATCAAATACAATCGTACGACGGGCAAAACAATTTCGAGCGAGCAAAGTACGCACGATTAAAAAACACTTGTACACAAATTACGCGTATATGATATAAAATTTTTGATTTTCAAAACTCGCCGACGATCGTGTTGACAATGTGCCGTTTATGGCTTGACGATCGATATTGCAATATCGATCGAACCTTGAACTAGTTATTTACGCGATCGCGCAAACATGTGCGCGCAAAAACGCCGCAAACACGCGTCATTCCAAGTCGCGATGCACTGATAATGCCCCATGCTCTTGTCACTTTTTTGTGTCCTTATAAACAAAGTGCAAAACTTTTCTAAAATTCTAGCTGCAGAGCTATTTCGCCTGCCTGTATAGCACCGATCGCGGATACAAGTAGGTCGAGAAAAAGGAACAGTTTGCAATGCTGTGCGGCGAGAAAAATCTCCGCTGTTCTATGGCCTGTTTTTCTTTCTCTCTCTTTTCAACGATCGGCCGCGAGCGTGCACTAGAGCACATACATTTTTATCTCGCATCCAATTAACGACATTTTTTTTGTTTCTCGTTGCAGAGGTCGAGTGCGAGGTATCTAGCCAAGTGGAGTACTCGCTTCAAGCCGTCTGGGGCGTGAGCATACGCGAGCTTCATCTGGCCCTGTGGCAGCCTTGGAGCACGCTGAGGGATGCCGCCAATAACGGCACTCTGCTGCAAGGCCACGCGCAGTACTACTCCCAGCCGAAATCGTATGCTTTTTCAACTATTATTTCCTCCTACACGCGAGTGTTCTCTATTTTCTTTGCATTTTTTAAAAATGACTTTTTTTTCTTTCGAATTTCTTCAGTCGATCGAAGCACAAGGAGGAACGGCTGACGCTGTCGCTACCCGGCCCCGCATTGGAGCTCGGCACACCTCCGCGGCTCTGCTATCCTCTCGTTATATTCCTCACGCGAACGGATACGAAAGACCTGCATCCCGATGAAACGGTAAGACCAGCTCATTATCACGCTATATTGCAATTATGTTGATGCATTTTTTCTCTTCGTTTGCGACGTCGCGCGAGTCGAAGAAAAAAATACGTATCGTGTAATTACTCGAGCTAATTTCGAGATATCAAAGCCTTGCGCTGCTGCTGCTGCTGCTCATCGCCACGCGGAATTATAATTTACACGATCGTCGCTCATAACGCTTACAAATTGTGAACTTCCAGGTAGCTCTGGTGAATGTCGTTCATATAAAGGATGGCGTCTGTACGTTGCCAACCTCGGTCCTCGCTCAGTATCTCAAACAAGCTAACGGACAGTTGTCCTGCCTCAAGGTAATCTCAACATTTTTATTCTCGATATTGCTTTACTATTTTTTTTTTTTTTCGCGCGTAAATTCAGACGAGCTTGGAGTGTATCGTGCCTCTGCGAGACAAAAATGCGGAAACGGGACAATATAAATATTATAAAAGCGCGTCCTGCGGTGCCCCGGGCTTTATTGGACTGAGAAAGAAATTTAAATATTTATGTAAGCGCGCAATTTGGACGCGACGAAAACGACGATATTTTTTCCTATTTACATTCATTAGAAAAATGAACGAACTCTGGCGCGCGTGAGATTTTGCAACTGAAAAGTTGGTCTTTCAAAAAAAAAAAAGAAAAAAAAGTGAGTAGCGCCACTTAAAAAAGCGCATGTAAAAAGGTCTCGTTATACAGCGCTAATAGAACTGCCGGGCTGTTTGGCGAAATTACGACGATTTCTTCAGTGGTGAATATTGCGCGAAAAGAGAGAAGCAGTCTACTTTCGGCTCGCTCTCTATTGCAGCACTTGTACGCGGGTAACAAGGTAATTGTTCGCTCGGCTGCACAATGGCCCGAGCAAAGGCACTCGGCCGCTCGAATTCTAGCCCGAAAATCGTCAACTGCTTCGTTTGCGCGAACAAAATGAAATTCCGATCCGAGTCGACCTTGCCGCTCGAGCGAATCGGCGTCGGTTTTCGCGTTAAATTCAATCCTGAAAAGAAATTAAAATTTCAAAAAGTCGGAGGCACGCAGCTGTAGTCGCGCTCTCAATGCCAAGCAACTAATCAATCTCATCGTTTTGCCCACCTGTTGTTTCTCGCTCGCAGCAACTCTACCTGGCCACGGGCAATTCGACGAATTACGACGAGGCCGGAGTGTCGACGGGCATCGGGCCCCTGGCCCTGGCGGAGCCCTGCCCGAGCAGCAGCAACGACTCGACCTCTCGGGACGCCATAGTCGCCTCCGGGGCCGGCGACTCGAGCAGCGAGGGATCCCTCTGGAACAGCGCCGGCGAGCAGCTCTGCGTCGTCTGCCAGTACTTCCCTCTGTCCCGGGCGCTGCTGCCCTGCCGCCACACCTGCATCTGCGCCGTCTGCTTCTGCAAGCTCGACCGCTGCCCCATGTGCCGCAGCCCCATCAAGTCCTACTTCTGCATCCGGGGCGAGGAGTACATGCCCGAGGCCCAGGAGACCAACTCGTGCAAGCAGAGACAGGCCGGCGGCAGGGCCCACGAGGCCAATAACGCCGCGTCCCACTGGCTGCACGACTGGAACGATCGGCTCACCGATTTTCTCGGCTTCACTCGATGAGATTACTGAGCGATGCATCTTTTCCAATTCATCCACTGAAGCAGCGACGAGTACGACATTTTTCGTTTGCGATGACGAACGAAAGACGTTTTTCTTACTGACTCGTCTCTGAGCCTACTTTTCTCCGGTCGAAAGGAAAAAAAACTGACTTGTGAAACGATGAGTTTTTTTTTCTTTTTTCACGAATACATTAACAAATTGATTGTCAAATTTATATCTTTCAAGTGAATGTCGTCGCCGTGTGAATCGTCAAAGACTGCGTGACTTTACTGATTATGCCATGTTTTCTATTTATGAGAATTTGTGTCAAGCAAAGTAGTGTTTAAATAACAAGACTTTTTTCTGTGTATTTTTTCCTTTCCTTTTCTTACCGTGTAACTTTACTCTGTGTCAATTTTTAAATATGATTAGACGATATTACCGTCCGTCTCTAATGAATGTTTAAAAAATCAACTACTTTGTATGTATTTGTATGAATTATTCGAAAAATATGATTTTTATTCAACTGACTAAATGAAAAGATATTGCGTAACAAAACATTATGGCAAGTTTATATCATCGTACAAACTGACATGAAGCACACGAATTTTTGATTTAATCAATCGTGCCAAACTCAATGTCATTTAATTCTGTACGATTTTTTACATTAAAAAGTAATGAATAAACTAGCAGCACTGTAAATACATAAATACGTGGTAAACATTTTTTTTTTCGTTTTTTTAATCTATTTGTAACTATTTTTCAATGCAATCATAATATCGTAACGTTTTTGACATTTTATATTCGCGCTCGTACTCTCATACGAATATAACTACACGATATAATACAATTAAATTATGAACTTATGAAGCTCGTATGATAGTTGTAATGAAAAATAATTGCGATTATCAACTAGAATAGATTTTATGACGATAAAGCGACATTTTTTGTTTTTCACAATTACATTTATCGTAAGAAACATCATAAAAAATCAATTCGTATGTACTCTATTATCAAGTATTTTTACTATATATATAATTATTAAGGTTTAATGAACTATGAATGCAACAATGTTTGTGAGGTACTTTTCGTACAGTTTTTTTCGATCTCGTTGCCTACTTATGAGTCACGCATGCAAGTCGCAAGATCATCACATTTTTTCTCAAGAAATAACGTGTAATCTAACAAAATATAAGATGAAGGAAGGAGACTAAAAATTAAGTTGTAAATACACAGTCTGTGATAATCCTGATAATATCTGTATAGCTGTGGATTGTTTGCGAATGAGAGTTGCTCGATCAACGCAAATTTCCGCTGGTCGAGCATGTAATTTAGTTGAGAGAAAACACTTTTACTCTCGATTCGAATAGTTAAAAATGTATTGACATGAACTATCAACTAACTTTATTCGTATAATCAGCAGTAATGTTTGCAAAATTTTATTACGTATCTACAAGTAGTAGTGACATCTCAAACAAGCCATTCAAGTTTGGCAATTTTGTATATACATAATTATACATTCGATGTAGCAGCTAAGGCCTATGAAGTCAATGTATTTTAGTAGAACAATTTAATAAAAGGAACTATTAATTTATGCAGTAGGCATAATACCAGTGATCAAATAAAGAGACAATTCCTGTATATAAGGATTTTAGTACATTTTATTTTTTCTATTCACACTTATGTAATTCTTATCTTAATTTTCTAATGTAACAGTTGTTTAAATGATTGCTAATTTGAAAATACTACGTATAACATAATTCAGTCTTTGATTAATCATTCAACGAAAAAATCACACCTGAACAGCACTCAGCATAACAGAAAAAGTTATTTTGTTCAATCTTATTGATCAAAATTCCATTTACTTAAATACAATTTAAAACAAAAACAAGTACATTTATGATCAAAACATAAACACAATACATTTTTTATAATCACTATTATAACTATTTACTCTTCTTTGGTTTCATAAACACGTATAATCACAATATGAATAGTTGGTAATATTCTTCAAATATGGACACAATCAGATATACCATTCAGGACACACATCAATGTATTTTCCAAAACGGCTCTTTTTTCTTGCAAGTTACTGTTGATTGATTCAAAATCATTTATAGTTTCATTTAAACATGTGTTAACTTCTGTCAGGCACTTTTGAACTCTTAAAAGTTTTGAAGGACAATCCTCTATTTTAACAACGATCTTTGAAGTATGATCATGTTTAAAAGATTTTAATTTTCTTTTTATTACATGTCTTAATAAATAAATAAATTTAATCAAATTATCCTTATCTTGTTCATCACATTCAAAATCCTTTTCTTTTTCATATTCATCCATTACAGACTCCTGCCAAAATGTAATTTATGTAATGAAATTCTTTAGTAAATTCATAATTGTAATAATATCTTGCAATACTTACCAACCAAGCGTAAAAAATTGGTTTTTTCTTTGGCCACTTCATATGAGTATCCAACAGTGACGCAATTTTCTCCATTTCTGACAATTTTTCAGAATCGTTGCAAGATTTTTGTTTACTTGTGGCCATACGCTTTATCATGGCCATTTCAGCTGTGCTTAAATGTGGCAGACCACTAGTAGTTATACTAGCAGTATGAATTTTTGTCATTAATTTTATTTTTTCTGCAGTAAGCTCAGGGATAGCCTTTAAATTACCACTTAGTTTATTAGTCTTGTGTAGTAAATTGTTTAATTGGTCTTTTGTTGTTTTGAACTTTGGCTCATTACCAGTATTAGCCTGAAATGATTTATAATTATAATTTTTTTTTTCAAAAGAAAATTATTTATAAATGAAAAAGAAAGTTCTTACATCAACATGATACTTGGAAAATTCTCTTCCTAATGGGCTATTTAATAATTTCAATCTTACTATGTAGTCTAATACACGATACTTAGTGATCAACCAGGACAAAGCGAGCAATAAATATCTACATCTTTGACTAGAATTGGTTTCTGTGAGATAATATATTTCTAACAGAGGGAATTGTAAAAATGCCAAACGCAATTTAGTTCTGAGGCATTTGTCTACAAACAAAAGAAACAAAAAATAAAAGGATGAACCGAACATAAAAGTTAAGTTGCACATATTTCAATTTACCGTAGCTGTCAAAATTCATTTCATGATTCATCTCTTTCAATACGTAGTGCGTGAGTATATCCAGCGTAGTCCAGAACTCATTGGCCTAGATAAATACAATAACAAAGGTGCGAATGAAAACAAAAGGCATAACCTAAAAAATGTCATGCATTGCACTTACAACTTGGTCGGACTCTTGATTGTACTTGGCCATTTTAAAGTACTCGGGATTCAAGTTAATTCCAATCGCATCGTGCAGATATTTGCAGAAGTGCTCCATGACCTCCTTGATGTGCAAGACCATGTTGAGGGAAGCAAAAAAGAGTTTGGACGGCGTGTTTGGGTCAAAAATTTCAAATCAACAGCCCCGAGTGTACCGGATACAGGTGGTGTCTGCTACATTGAAGGGTGCGTGCAATACGCTATCATCTTATCGTAGACCGATCGTAGGAGTTGGAAATGATGAAAAGTTGCTGTTTTTTTGCAAAACATATTTATTAAAACCGCAAAAAGTACAATTGCAGCTAATAGATTTTACTTATAAAAATAAAAAACATAATATTAGTATCAACATTCGAGGTAACAATGGTAGTATCAAAGGATTAAATGCACACATGGAAGATTACAGATTGAAATACAAGAGAGATACAAAAGATAGGTACCAGCCTAAAAGTGAGTGTAAAAGGTCGAGTAAAGTCATTTGGTCATCGACTAGCGATTTTAGAGACCCGATTTATCGTAACGTTGCAGACGGCCTCGAGTGCCTCGAGGAATTTTGGTCAAGTGACGGGGGCCAGATTGTCGCTGGCCTGCACGGCCACGAGGACGTTGTCGACGACCCCGAAGGACGAGATGAAGACGTTGAGTATCGTCACGAGGAAGACGCAGATGACCGTCCAGTTGTTGGCGCGATTGGCTTTGCACATCTGCTCGTCGACCTTGACGTTGTAGCGGCTGTTCCAGATGAGGCCGATGCCGACGACCACCTGCAGAAAGAGACTCAGGCCGATCATGGTGAGCGAGGGGTAGTAGTAGGGGTGCTGGCCGCTCGACTGCAACACGTAGCGAAACTGATTGGCGTTGGCCGAGATGAGCGCCAGATCCATCATGCCCTGGGCTATGGTCTTCTTCTGCTGGTAGACGTTCATGTCGGGGGTGGGCGCCGTCGTGCCACCCCCGAACGCCGGGAACGCCGCGGGGTAGTCGTTGCCCGGACGTAACCGGGGAGACGACGGCCCATGCTGCAAAACAAAAGCCAATTACGCACTCGGACAATGGACATTACGTAGTTTCTCTTAGTTGCCACTAATCACGCTTCGAATTTTTCCCAAACTCTTTCCGCATTATTTAATGCCTTTTTGATAGCGGTATAGTCACTAGACTACTCGTATAATTGCGCTTTGGAGTGAATCACTTCACTGTATAACAATTGATTGTCCGTCGGCCAGTAGTAACAATTGTCTTTCCAGGAAAGTAAGATTGTGTAAAGTAGCAGCAAACTCACCAAACGCCTTTCCTCGTCGTCGTTGTCGTCGAAGAGGCCGTCGTCGACCCCCCCGGATGGTCTGTTGTTATTGTTGCGGTGCGAGCCGTCGTCCCTCTTGCCGTCGCCGTTCTCGTCGAAGATGTACTCGGGATCGACGAGCTCGGCGTCGTGAGTCAAGTCCTCGTCGTACTCGGAATTCCTCCGTCGGGCGATTTGACCGTGGAGGAGCTCGGCCTGCAGGTGGTGGGTGTCGTAGGGCACCAAGCTGCGCTCGGACACATGCGGATGCAGCTGGGGATGGGATTGCGACTCGTCGAGGACGACGGGCGAGGCGGGACGCGACGAGAGACGGATCGAGGGACTGGCCGACCTCGAGGCCGGTGAGCGCGACCTCGAGTGGCCGCTCGTCAACTCGTCCATGTAGATGACGCTGTCCTGGCTCGGCTTGGCCATGCGTTCGCTGGGCGATGCCATTGCCGGGGCGTCGATACTCCGTTGCACTCGATCGGGGATGCGATGGCGGGTTCAGTTGCAGCGGCGCGGCGGCTCGTGCACGCGGCTCGGCGGACACTCGACTACTGCGAGTCGAGTCGAGTTGTACAAACGACGCAGCCCTTGTTGTTTACGAGCGCAACGCGCGATCATTATCTCGGTTTGGCGCGCGCGGAAACGGAGCGACTTTTGCCTCGTGGACGTGGGGTCGACTCGTGGTCGCTGCCGCGAGGCGAAATTAGCAAAGTGCGCCGCGACACTTGCGGAGATTCCCTCGTGGACGCGGCCTTCGCTAGGCCATTTTCAAGTACACTTATTAAATCTAAATAATCGATAGGTCACTCGGCCGAAGCACGCGAGCATTAATTAGCAATTCGTTAGAAGGGGGGAAATTTTCGTCTCGCCAATTCCGCACTCGGCAATCATAACGATTTCTTTGTGCTTATCTGTTTCTTTGTTTTGCTCTAACTCGGACAGGCTGATTAATCGCGCACACGCGCGAGCGTCTATTGAGTAATAGCTGAGTATGGAGTTGCACTATGCACCTCGTGAGTAAGGAAACTGCACGGGAGCTTCGGTCTATTACGGACTATCGACTCGACTTCGCTCGATGCTTCGTCTTCACTTTTTCGGAGGCTATGCTGCGACTCGCCAGTAATATGTTACACTGACCGATTCGCGCGTAATACGGATCTCGCTGAGGCGAGACGAGCTGCCTCGCTAGCGCCGCAGCTGCTCTAAACGCGCGCGCGCGTGTGTGTGTATGTGCAGTGTGCAAGTAGGTGTGCGAGCGCAAACAATTAAGACATAAAAAAACTAATACTGTACTGGTGCATCTCTCGGGCTTTTTTTTCCAAGTAAAGCGGTAACAAAGCACTCAAGGTGATTCGGCCAATCCGAACACGCATATCTCTCGATCGAATCGCCAGGGAAACGAGCGCATTTGCCCGCATATGGATTTCTGTTTGGTGCATTGTGCCGCCGCCGATGACGATGCATCCGAGCCATGCATACACAACGCTATAACACACGGGGCTTCTTTAGCTTCGCTTTTATTTTCGTTTATTTACGATTCGTCTGCTTGTGCGATCTTTAAGGCAGAGACGCGCACACGAGAATGCGGCATTCGAATGCGCTAAAATTTCGCCAAGGTCGGCCGCCTCGGCACGACACTCCCAAGCCAATATCTGCAAAAAAAAGAGCAGCGAAAGGAAAAAATGCGCCAGTGACGTAGAAAAAAAGACAGACAATTATAAGCGAGCCCGCAATAGAAATCAGCGAGTCGGTAGGACATCGGAGTTCTAATTTTCTCGCATCACGCAACGACCTACAAAGATTCGTTGGCAAATAATCCTGTACACTTTTCGCCGCTCTCGTGTACATCCCGTATATCCTCCGAATCCTCGCTAAAGTCTACAGAGCGAGCTTTTTTGCCAATCCCAACGACGATATCACGCGAAGCTTACGTAAGCTCCAAGCTCTGCGGAATGAGAGAGAGAGAGAGAAAGGCAGTGGGTGCATATCGAGCTCAACACCACCCGCGCCCGGTTGTCAAGCAAACAAGCAAAGCTCCGCAAGCTCAGACGCTTGGCTCGAAATATAGGTGAAATGCCCCGAGCGATGGAATGTATCTGTGCCCATCCCAGTCGGATATCGCGAGCATCGTCGCGCCGCTCGATGCCGCCTCGAAAAATAGCCCGATCTTTCGCACGCTGTCACAAACATGTCGTTGGGATGCCGATGGAGCGCACCAAAAGCAGCAGCCGCGAGTGGCGATAAAGCTCGCGATACACGTTTATCGGAGAGGAAGTAGTGGCTTTGGACGGAGCTTTTTTATCATCGATACGAGCGGTCGAGCGGGGGGGCAGCAGCGATGCAACGGAAGTGTTGCGCGCATTGCCCAGGAAGCGTGACCCGCACTGGCGATCCGATCCGCGAGCACGACTGCGGTCTGCCCGTCTACGTCTCGGGCAATCTGCGAGTCAGGTCGGTGCTCGACGACCACGACGGCCACGACGACGACGAGGACGAGGCAGCCGATCGCGATCGCGAGCACCGCGACGAGCCGAGCCACGCTACCAAGACGACCGTCCTCGGCTCCTGCTACGACAGATTCGCCACTGCCAAGAAATTCCACGCTGAGAACTTGCAGCACCAGCCGCTGCCCGATCGAGTCGACGATGCCATCTTCACGAGGCAGAGGCCGGCCCTTGATCCCTCGATGCGCGACATCGTCAAGAGGTATAGTAGTCCTTTTCCACATTTCCTTTTAATTATACGGCTACAGTCATCTGGTTTGCCGCTTGTTTCGTTCAGATGCCAGAAAATAGTCCCGAGGAGGCAGGCACTCTTGAGGAAAAAGGAGCAGCATAGTCGAGCGCACAAGTACGCGCCGGCCCTGGGCTGCAAGAAACCCAAGACTTACATGGACTTGGCCATCTGCTGGGAGACGCCGATCGACCAGTCCTACGAGCCGAAGAAAGCGAGCCACATCGACGGCTCGGAGGGTGGACCAGCCCCGGCTATATTCACCCTCGTGTCGCACGCCACTTCGCAGACGGACGTTCGGGACGGCTGCATACCGGCTATGAAGGCCGACGACGACTGCAGTTGCGAGCAGGGCCAGACCTGCAAAAAGTGTATCCAGGTACGACTGCTTAGCTATTCTCTCTGCATTTAGCGCACGAGGAACTTTGCGCCGTGATTGCAGAAGCAGCAGCAGCATCAGCAATCGGTAGACGGCGAGGACCTCTGCAGGAACATGGACTCGATCCGTCTGAGTAACGAGCCGGCCCAGGCCAAGAGCAAACGCGCCATGTTCAATCGGCACTGCGCCACCTGCAACAAAGGCAGCGCGGCCAAGCAGCGGCCTAGCCTCCATCGAGTGAGATCGACAGCCTCCCTGGAGAAAGTCGCCTGCGGCCAGGTCGTCGCTAAGAAGACCAACGGCCTGCCGACTCACGCGTCGCACTCTTACCCGAAGCACGGGACTCAGGTGCCGAGGCCTCGGACGCCGTACGCGAGGCGCTCCTTCTGCATCGACACCCTGGCGCCGCCCTTCAGCATAGTGCACGGCTGCAGGGACGCCGATTACCCCGAGCACTGGCGGCTCACTTCCATTTATCAGCAGTCCTATCGCAGCCCCGTCAAGATGAGGGACGCCAAGACGATTATCAATTACGATCGTTTGTAATCCAAGTGTAGTCAATTCTTTCATTGATCTTTTCTTCTTTACAAGAAGCTCCGTTGTGAATTTCAAGTCGAATATGTGATAATCATAGAAATGCTTCGCTATTGGCTTGATCGATTAGTATGATTGTTAGATAGAGAATAAATAAACGTCTTTACACACTGATCCTTTTAATTTATAGTACTATTCATTAAACTACAGACAGCCAAAATCGTCATTTCAGATCAAAGCTGTAGAATTCAAAGCATTATTTTCTCAAGAAAAGATTCGTTTTTTCAAAATATTTTACATTTGTTGACAATTTTTTGTGGAAAAAGAATAATTTTTTTTCAAAATAACATAACTAGACATGATAGATTGCAATTTCATTGCTCTCGTCAAAAGGGAGTTTGCTGATGATTTAAAAATAAAAATGTGAAAAAGAAAAAAAAATCAAACTTTGTCACCCATCAAAATACTGATGTTAAAATACTTTGGATTAGGATCTTCAGCGATATAAATTTCGTCCATGACCATCACTCGATCGAGCTTTTTAATGGCGATCTTTTGCAAGCGACCCATCAAATTCGGATACCTGACGACGATCTGACGAAATCGCTCGCGAGGCACGATGAACATCTCGCAGGTCTCGATGGCCTTGACGCTGGCGATGCGCTGCTCGTGATCCAGCACGAGGCAGACGTCGCTGAAGTAGGCCCCGTCGTCCATGTGGCACATTTCTTTGCCGAGGCTCGTGTAGACCGCTACGGTGCCCGAGTGAATGAAGAACAGGTCCTCGCCCTGAGTACCGGCGCTCACGATCTCTTGACCGGCCAAGTAGATCTGGACTTTTACGTGATCCACCAAGGACTCGACGGCGGCTCTCGGCAGTTCACGCAAAAGATCCACCGTCTCGAGCAGTTTCGTGTAATTGTGCAGATTTAGCTCCTGTCGGGACGCAACAACAGCAACAACAACAACAACCGATGGCAAATCGTTTCGTTCGTTTAATCTACCTCGCGAAGTGGCTCGGATATCTGCGCCAAGATGTGCTTGTCTCGATAGCAATTTTTTTTAAGCCAATAAGTGCAGTAAACGATGAGCTTCTTTTGCGTGACTCTAGGCAGTTCCTTGTAGTGCATGTAGTCGTGAAGTTGCTGCAGCAGCCGAACGTTCTCTTTGTTCGACGCACTGAATATCAACATTACTTGACCTGAACGCGACAAATGAAAAGTAAATTCGTGACTTTTTCGTTCGTCGATCAATGCCTTCGTGGCGCACTTAACATAGCAAATAGATGAAAAATATTTTTCCGAGGATCGACATGGTGAAGTTCATGATGATGTCGTCGGCGCTCTTGATGTCGATGAAGTGCGCCGAGCTCACGAGAAACGTAACACCTCGATTCATGCAGAGTATGTACTGCGCCGTTTTGGTTTTGCATCGTTCAAAGTCGTCGCTCAATATCCACGATGTGCTGCAAGTGCGATTCCATGATTTAAGCTTCTTTTTTTTTAAATTATATTGTTCACTTGTGTTGGGATTTTACAGAATTTAGAAGCTTTTTTCGTGGGGAAATGAGTTAACTTACTTTTCAAGTTTTCCGTTCTCTTGTAAGAGTAGAGGAACGTAATAAACCAGACAGGCACACCAATGAACACCGATGCATAATACTATTATTATTTGTACAATCTTCATGGTCCGAAAGGATAAGTAGTAAGCCTGATTGGAAAATAATTCAAGAGTCATGATAATACGATTACATCGAATTGCTAATGAAACGCCTTATTTTTCTCGCCTTGTGGAATTTATGAATATAATTAATGGTGTTTCTTAGTCGCAATATATGCATGAAGTTCCAAATGGCCACGTACCAATCGATGTCTTCGTTAAAATTCACTAAATAATCAATGAGATTGTAAGGTAAGGCCGCCAAAACGTCGAGGATGAAAAATCCTTTCACGTAATCCCTGCGATGACGAAAAACAAAAGACTAAATATATTCGACCATACTTATTCGTTTTTTTTCATGAGGACGCATTTGGCCACGTACCAGGAAACGACCTTGGGATTGAGATCGACGCTTTTGGTGCGTTTGTCGTATATTCCCGTTAGAAAGGTCAAGACAACGTCAATCATCAACATGAGCGATACGATGCACATGTAGGGCAGACTGTAGACCTCGTTTTGGAAGAGGAAGGTGTTGACGAAGGGCACGAGAACGAGAGTCGCCAAGCCCGTAATGGTCATTATCAGCTCCCAAAAGATCCTTGGAAAAAAGCTCGACTTTTCGCGACTTTCGATCTTTTCACGATCGATACGAGGTGCGACATAGGTACCTGAAGCTGCTGAAGGGATGTATCATGCGGGGATGCTGCCGCAAGTGGCGCATTATCTCGTTCCTGATGGCCATTTTGCTCTTGAGACAGGTCTGCGAGTAGTAGTGATTTTTAACGAGGATGCGCTGACGGGCTGACCATCGTTCCAATCGAGCGCACCAGCCGTCGCCTTTGATGAAGGCCTCGACTTCGTCCTCCTCGGCTTTTTGTCGACATTCGTGCTTGATGATCGGCTCGCGCTGCCCACGATTCGCCGGTTAATTTTTTTTTCTTTCATCTTCTTTACCTTTAATTGATTGATTAACGCATGCAGACTGACGTCCTCGTGCTCTTTTCCTTGCGGCATCAACCCCATTAAATCCATTTTTGCGACAACCGGCAACGACTCGCGTATACTTGCTGCGCTGCAGGTTACGGTTTACCAACTTGCCACTGTAGTTAAATAAACCATGCGATGTGACTCGAGCTTTCGAATATTCGCGCTACATGGCGCTTCGCTCGGTGTCTTCGCCGCCGGGCGCCGAGCCGCCGACAGATGCTGTCTACCGGCCGCTTAACATTTTCGGCTCGCGAAAAGAAGAGGGAGAAAGTGAAACGTGTGTTTATGTTGTTCGCCGACAACAGACCATCTTCCAAATACGGCCAATGGACCTAGAGCACTAATCATTTTCGATCATGACAGCCGCGTAGCAAGACCCCAATTTTTTTTAACAGTTATAGAGTAGTAGCTCCAGAATTTTCGGATGTAGGAAGAATATTCGCCAAAAGCTTCCGCTCGCGCGTGTCAGTGATTTTTTGAGCAAGCAACATCAACGAAAAGATGTAAGTTTTTTACACGACTCTTGAGGTAGTGATAGATTAAAAACCCTTCGTCATTTTTTAGGCGTTTCTTGAGACTTGCTGTTTTCTTTGTCCTGTTGTCTTTGGCGTGGGCAGCCGAGGATTACTACAAACTCTTGGGTATTGAGAGATCAGCTGATCAAAGAGAAATCAGAAAAGCATTTAAAAAACTTGCTGTCACTGAACATCCAGATAAAAAGACTGTAAGTTGAAAGTTTGAATGACAATCGTATAGGCACTATCATCTACCCTTTTCTACTTTTTTCTATTCAGGATGATCCTGATGCTCACGAAAAATTTATCAAGTTGACAACTGCTTATGAAGTATTGAAAGATCCAGAGTTAAGAAAAAAGTATGACTTGTGGGGTGAAGAAGGCTTGGATAACAACAAGCGCCCGCAGTACCAATCCTACACATACTACCAAAACAATTTTGGCATTTATGATGATGATCCTCAAATTGTAACATTGAGTAGAACAGATTACTGTAAGATACTCATTTTATTTATTGCAGAGTTCCAATTTTACAATTTCACTAAAGATATTTATTATCAACAGATGACAGCGTAGTTGATTCAGATAAAATGTGGTTCATCAATTTTTATTCACCTCAATGTAGTCATTGTCATACTTTAGCCCCTGTGTGGAGAAAAATAGCCAAAGCTCTTGAGGGGGTCATTAGGATTGGTGCTGTTAATTGTGAAGACGATTGGCATTTGTGTAATGAGATTCAAATTCGATCTTATCCTACTTTGATGTGGTACCCATCTGTAAGTATTTTTTTTTAAATTAAAAGAAGAAGAATCAACTTTATTTATTAGTTTGATTTTTTAATTAAAGAAATCAAAGGAGCACTATGGACATAAATATAATGATGCCAAAGATTATGAAAAGTTAATGAAGTTTGTCATGAGTAAAGTAGAAACAAAAATTAAAGAATTGAATGTTGAGGCATGGAAAAATCTTCAAAATGGCAATGAAACTATCAAAAAACCAACATTAGTATTAATTTGTAGAAAAGATCATTATTGCTTTACATGGGATGAAAGAAAAAGGGTTGCTTCTATTTTTGTAAGTGGTAGATTATAATTGATATTAATAAATAATGTCCAAATTTTTACCGAACCTTTTTAAATGTAAATTTGTAATGTAACTAATGTTTAGGATACCATTGTTGATGTAAAAGTTTTCAATTGCAAGGATGATGATTGCGGCAGCTTACTTACAGATACTACTACTAATGCTGTGTATTTACCTGCTCAAACTACATCAGAGTTTAAACCAGTGTTATTTGAAGAACTTTATGAATTAGAAGATTTAGTCAAAAAAGTTTTAGATCAATTACCAGAACCTAAAGATATCAGCGAAGAGAAATTTTGGGTAATTTTTAAATCCCAATTCAATGTTGACTAATTTTTAGAAGAAATTTTGAATGATAATTTGTGTTTGTAGGAAATAAAAAGTCAACTCGAAAAAAAGAGCAATGGGGGATGGTTAGTCTGTTTTTACATTGGACATGCAACAGAGTTTGATGTTACCTTGAAAAAGCTTCCTACATTATTGAAAGATGTTAATTTAGGTATATTAACATTCTTTAGTATTTTTAACTGTACACTTTATAATTGTGTATTTTAATATTTACTGTTCTGCAGCTAAAGTCAATTGTGGGCGCTATTCATCGTTATGTAAAAACCTCAATATCAACTACTATCCTCTGTGGGGTGTTTTAAAGCCCGGTGGAGCGTTTGAAACAAGTCATGGAAAAAGTAATCTTAATGAAGTGGCGAATTTTGCCAAAAGTAGCATGAAAGCTACAAATCTATGGGATCTTTCCAAAGATCAAATAGACTCCATAATGAGCTCGGGTAGCAGTTAGTATATTTGGAATAAATTTTAAATTCTTTTTCAAAAATTTTTCAATTTACCACTACAACTATGATTGGTTTTACAGATGAGCCTTGGTTTCTCGACTGGTATGCTCCATGGTGTCCTCCATGTATGAAATTTCTACCCGAATTTCGCAGAGCATCGTTACAATTCGATCCTTCAGTAGTACGTTTTGGAACGATTGACTGTACAAAACATTCAGATACATGTAGACAGTATAATATTAGATCTTATCCAACAGCAATGCTTATAAATGGGACTACTACTACTTACTTCTCAGCAAACCAAAGAACCTGGTGGTACATTACGGAATTCATTAAAGAAACGATGAATCCAACAGGTTATTATATAAAAATTAAACAATTTATAACTTTTTGATGAGTAATTCAAAGTGTATCGTTTTAGTTATTCGTCTTACATCCGAAAATTTTGAGAAAAAATTAGTCAAAAAGCTCATACGGGACATTTGGGTAGTCGACTATTTCGCTCCTTGGTGTGGACCGTGCCGTCAATTAGCTCCAGAATGGAATAAAGTAGCGAAAGCTTTAAAAGAATTAAGTTTCGTAAAAATTGCCAGTGTCGACTGCGAAGCTGACAGAACATTATGTCGAGAGCAAGCAGTTGATAGCTATCCAACAATCAGGTTGTATCCCAAGAACAGCGTAGGAACTAAGAAAGTCCTGTAAGTATTTTTAAAGTACTTTTGAAATTAATTTACGATACAGAGTGTAAACTATTGATGATTTAACAGAGAGTACAGTGGATCACGAGATCACGTGTCAATGCTCAATTGGATCACGAACTTTTTGCCCGTTGAAGTTCGTGAAATAGAAGATTGGCGACTGGACCAGGAAGTTCTCCAATCGGACGATGCAGTTTTAGTAGACTATTATGCGCCTTGGTGCAGTCATTGCATCTCTTTGGAGCCCCAATTCGCCATTGCCGCTCAAATGTTGGAAGATAAAGTACGTTTCGTCAAAGTCAATTGTGATAATTATCGGTTCGCTTGTAGAAAAGCTGAAATACGAGGCTATCCAAGTCTCAAGCTTTACGCATTCGAAAAGGATCGCAAGTCGTTGAGCGCTGGTTTGCGATTGCAAGGCACGACGGCTGCGCAGATCCGAGATGAGGTGCTGAATATTCTTCCGGAAAAGTATCTGGTGGAACATGACGAGCTGTAACGCTAGTTTATGAATAGTTTAGGTGCCTTAGTTTAGGTAGCTAGCAATCGAATTTCCTTTTTTAGGAGGTCGTTATCATTCATTTTTCTTGTCGCGCAACGAAACGAACAAAATCATGGATGAATGGTCCGTAGAGTATATCAGCGTATTGATTACGAAAAATGACTTTTTGTTATAATTATTTTTTTTATGATAAAGTAGACTGCGCGCTGATGAAGCTTCACTCTTAGCTCTTGCTATAATTTTTGAAACTATTTTTGAACGATCACAAGTAGTTTTATATGATATGCGCAGGACTTGACCAAGTATTTTTTAATGAAATTTTTTACGAATCTCGCAAGACTGAGAAGGTGCAAGGATCAAATTTTTCTATGTCTTTTATTGCAATTTTGTAAGATTTATATTTTTCTACGTTATTGTATACACGTCTTTTTTACGATTATATCATCGAATTTGTTTATATTGATGTACACCAAAAGTTTTTGTAGGATGGATTTTTTCGACACGGCTTTGCGCATCGGAGCATAATAAAATAATGAAATCATTTGTATATATGAAAAAAATTTTTGTCGCATAATGAAAAATATATATCAATGCATACAAACGCAACAATAATGTAATTGTTATTCATTGCAATGTGCGAGAATACGTAGTTTTCATTTTTTTTTGCTGTATCGTCGCTCGTCGTTGGGTTTACGGCTGCGTGACTGATTACAAGCGCGATGATGTCAATGGTCTCTTTTGCGTGCAGCGGGCATGTAATGATACGCGCACGCAGAGTAGCTGCTCCGTCTATTCACAGAGAAATCGAGAGCTCGACACGGCGCTTTGACCGCCGTAATTGATACGTGTCATTTGGCGGATCGTTGAATCGATATGCCAATGTTTTGCTTTGAGGTAAGAAAAGGTGCACATTGTGTGTGTGCATGGAATAGTAGGTATATGCTAGCGGTGAATCGCGAATCATAAATCATGATCAGCCTTCCGCGTGTACGCGAGTCTGGCAAGTCATGAATGCACATAGAAAGGCGGCGATTGCCGCTGCCGTTCGCGCGCTTCTAAACAAAAGTGCAACAGTTTAACAGCGGCACTTTGAGCTACCGATAGTTGTCTCGACTCGCGTATGTAATGCAGCGTTTACCGGCCGCAGATGAGGTTCGCTCGGTGGCTGCTCCATCGACTTTCCCTCAATTTTTTGCGGTAAAAAATATATAAGAAGTAAAGAGATTATCCGAATAAATATTAAAGTTTTGAAAGCTGCCGGCTGAGAAATCGTTAGCCACTAGAATGAAATATGCGCTCCGATAGGATCGTTCGGGACGGACAAATTGCTCCATGGAGTATTTGGGATCGCTTAGCTCCTGTAGCACCTTTACAATCTATAATCGCGATCCTCTTTTTGTCCGGCTTCGTTTCTCTTTCTCCTCGCCTCCTCCGCGCGTTACATAGCTGCTACGGATCGCGGCGGCGAAGGAGCAGAGCCGAGTCGAGCTGCGAGCCAGCGTATAATACCTTTCTCTCGAGCCGTTCAATGCACACAAACGTATAGTTGTATACACCTATATGTGCGCCATCTTGCTCCGAGTCCGTGTCTCTCTCTCTCTCTTTCTGTCCATGCTCCTTTTTCCTCTCTTTTTCTCGCAGTCATCGTGGCAGCTCCGCAGCACAGCACTGACACCGCCGCACACGTATATAGGTAGCGTCGTCGTGAAAATCTGCGATGCTGTGTTGAGTTTTCCGCGATCGGCACCGATGCGAAAATAACCCGCTGCCTCGGTCCCGCGGCAGAGCAGAGCAGAGCAGCACAGAGTGGGTAGCCAGCCGCAGAGAGTAGAGGAAAATTTTCGTCGCTCTCGGGCTGTCGCGCGCGCGTCTCTCTCTCTCTCTCTGTCGGTCAGCAGCATTTGTGTATATTTATCGCGGCGTCAGTCGATTGGCGAACGCTGCCGAGTGCGCGATCCGTCGTACAAGCAGACTTCAGCTCGAGGCTCGCCAAGAGTTGGAAAATATGACCACCGGTTGATCCTACTGCTCCAAAGTGCCCGAATCGAGACGAGTGCAAGTGTGTAGACTCGTGCCTTGTGCGTCGAGTTCAAAAGCAGCAGCAGCGAGCACAACGATAAACATCCCGATCGACATAGTTATGAAGTGAAACTTTGCAGCGTCCCAAAGATCCAACGCACGCATTACTCACCCAACTCGGCGTGTCGTGAGTATATCTTGAATTTTTTCTGCTTCCCGTGTAATTGGCCAGATGCATGTGCATCGTATATAATATAAGGAGCTGAGTCGTACCGTTATGGTAAATACACGAGCGCGTCTATATAGCAGCACGTACACGTCGCTGCTGGGCCGCTTTTCATTGAACTTCCTGCTCGAGCGATGTTATACACGCGTTTCAATAGTCCCGATGACAGACCAGAGCCAAATGACCACAATTCGTGCCCCTTTGACTCGTCGCTTACGAGATCGTTCCGTCAAAAAATATTCGAGTAAATAAAAACAAACCAGTCTCATCCGTCAAGCTCGATTAATTGTCAATTGCGTAAGCTATGTAGCGCTATGCAGATGCATATCGAGAGGTGCGACGCGAAATAATGCCAGAGATATATAATGCACACCCATGCCAGTGAGCTCACAAAGGCTCCGCGTGTAAATCATTTTCAATAGAGAGAGAGCGATTACAAAACAATAAACTTTCGACGCGCTCACACACGCGGCCGCGCGCAGATACCATCTCAAACAATATAGCATTTGAATATAGCTGCTGCTACATTGAATCGAGCCAAGCTAGAAAGTAGCTGGCGAATAATCCTGCGCCGCACATTATGTACATATTGGAATTATGCAGGTACAGGCGGAACCGAAGCCCGTAATAAAATAAGAAGAAGACAGGCTCCTGGAACAATCATGGGCTCGAAAGTCGAGTACGTCGAGTCGTCGCACATGTACGCGACGAATTACATACGAAATTCCAAGGCCATAGCCGTGCTCTGGGGCATCTTCACCATCTGCTACGCGATAATCGGCGTCGTAGCCTTCATCACGCCCGAATGGCTCGGCGATCTCGAGCACGAGAATCCCGGCAGATTCGGCCTCTGGATGAGATGCAGCTTCGCCGGCACAGGTAACGATCTCGTTCGAGAGCTCCAAGCTCCATTGTTTTTATGTGTCCGTTGGTCGTTGCAGGCGAGCTGGTCGAGGAGTGCGTGGGACGCCTCGACGAGCTGTCGTCGATCTCGAGCGTACCCTTCAGGGCCAGCACGATCCTCGTGGCGATAGCCGTGCTCTTTGCCCTGCTCTCCATCTGCGCCATGCTGCTCTTCTTCTTCTGCCAGACACCGACGGTTTTCCTCGTCTGCGGATGGCTCCAGGTTGTTTCCGGTAAGTCTCGACGACTCCCTTGACCATATCGACAAGAACAAAAAGTGAGAGGATATTTCGCGTACGCGATCGACGCTCGAGATTATTTTGCATGAGCATTTCACGCACGTCTGGCTTTGGTGTTTGTAGTGGCTTGCGATCGTGAAAATCGTAAATTGCTCGCGAAAAAAGTCTATAAAATAGTTTGGTCGGTAAGCCATAGCTTCTAAATTCTCTTTCTCTCTGTGCTCGCGAGAAATTGACCGATAACAAGCTGCTGCAGCTTGAAAGTTTTTAATGGAAAGTAGCGAATGCCGGAAATAAAGTTTACAAGCGCTCCAGCTCGTAGGAAAATGAATCGGCGATCAAGATGCAACGACGGCCGATTTGTCCTTGAGCCGCGTCCGGTTAATTAGCTTACGAGCGGCGAAAATCGAGCAAATACAACGAAAAGCTGGCAACAATTTGCGATCTAGCGAAACGGCCGGGATAAAGGAGCTCTGTACGCATGTACAGCTCTATCGGATTAATTACACGCGCCGCGGATCGCGTGGCTTTCGATATAATCATAATGCATAATAATTTTCACACTTGCCCGATTAGATAGATCGGTTATTAATCTATATATGAAAATTGGAAAGTTCCGAGTATACACTTACGAGACAGGCGTGCGGGTACGCGTATTTTTTGAAAGTACCCAACTAGACAGCCATAAACTGCGGTGAAACTGCCGTAAACGACGAGTTTAGATAAAAAAATGCGTGTACGCGCTGTGTTGGAGGGGGAGAAGGGAGCTCGCTGATATCTCGGGCAATTAGTGCGTCGATTGTTTCTAAAGGCCCGATCTTCCCAGCCTTAATGAAAAGAATATATAAGGTTCGCACAGGCGTACGAAACAAGTGCAGTGAACTAATTAACTCGTCGCCGCTTTTCTCATAAGGTCGGTTTCGGAGCTGAATCCAGAAAATAAGCGTCCTAATGCGCTCGGTGTAGATCGCGATCCGCGGCGTGTCTCTGCGGTTTTGTTCTCTCCCGCTGAAGTGGCTATCGTTTAATCGAGATATAATTCCGCTTAATAAATTGCACAATCTCGTAGCAGCTCTCGCGTGCATTATGCAAGATATAAAAAGGTTTTATCGCTGGATCGAATCGAAATTCGAGCGTACGGCTGTATACACGTGCACTTTCGCGCGAATTCCTGAGAAATGGCAAATATATTTAGCGTATGCACGCGCCTCTCACAGTCTGTAACAGCTGCTGCTGCTCAAAGGATGCATGTATATATACCGCTCCTATATAAGTGCGTCGCGCGGACAGAATTAACCGTTACTTTGCGCTCGACTAGATATGCCCATATAGACTGCGTTGGCCTCGCGCAGATGGCCGCGCAGACTCGCTCGACGTACTTACTCCACGTCCGCGCATAGAACAACAAAATATACGACAAATAAATAAACTGCAGCGACAAATCTGCACTCTAGTTCAGCGACTAATCGTGCGCATAGCTGCATCGAGCCCTCGATATCGATTGCGTAACGATACGCCAGACCTATTTCGATTGTGCAGCGCACACATTATTATCGGCTGGAAGCGATCGTTATTCAACGCTTTGCTCTTTCACCTACATCGAGGCAGCTGCTGCTCCTGTTGCTGCGCGTTTTGTTGATGTTTTTCCTCTCTTTCGCTGGCAAAATGTTCCTACGCTCTGATTCGCTTACTCTCTCGCTCCGGCCGCTGCCTTTTTTGCGCAGCTATATGCCCTCGTGCGTACAGTCGAGTGCGGCGCGTCGAGAGCGAAAGTATAGATATATATGTGGTTCGCATAAGTGCACTCGTATGCGCGCGGCCGATACGAAAAAAGTCGATGCACTCGAGCCGACTGACTGGCCAACTGCCGACGATACAGATATGCGCGCTTGGACAAAAAGACGCGCGCAGTCGATTGGCCGCGGACGAGCTGCTCTCTGAGTGGAGAAAATCCCGAGACGATCGTTCGATCTTTTTTTGCCACTAGACCGGCTGCAAAGTCACAGAGATCGCAGAACTCGAGTAGCGAGCCGACGCAGCGATCCTAGTACTCGAATGCTCTTGGCTAATACACAACGTACCTCACGACGACCGATCGTGAGAATCGCAATTCCAAGCGCCAGATAAAACTTGTCGGCTCGACGCTTCCGAATCGACGGCTAAGAATATGCAACTCGCTGCCACTCGCTGCCAGACGTGCATATTTTTGCATTATTACAGTTAGTAAAGGTGAATTAAACGGCGCATAGATATAGATAGACGCGTACATAGGCTATATAGCGGAGCAACAATGTGCCCATATATCGTAGCGCCTTTCACTCGCTCGTTCGTCGCGGCTCCTATACATATATAAGCCGTGTTGTACGTTGCGCTACTCGGGCCTCCACGCGAAATATTTACTTTTAATCGAGAGCCCATGCTAAAAATGCATTTCTATTTTCAGCCATCTGCATGGGCGTAGGAGTTGGCGTCTATCCACTCGGGTGGGATTCACCGGCCGTTCGGGCTATATGTGGTGCGGCCGCTGCGAGGTGATGATCGTAACAACGAAAAGAAAAACATCGAGTCGTTTTATTAATTACTTGCAACGCGTTTCTTTGGCAGATATAATCCAGGCGGCTGCGCCATCAGATGGGCGATACCACTGGCGGGTATAGCGGCCCTCGACGCGGCGACCCTCGCCGCGCTGGCCTTCATCCTGGCCACGAGGCACGTCAAGCTCCAGGCCGAGCCCAGCTTCAACAACGGATCGCTTTACAAAGGTGAGCAGTCGTACTATCCCGACACGAGCAGGGTCCACGCGACCTATAGCTCGCCCTCGCCCTATGTACATTACGAGAGGTACGTCGATTTGGCGAGGCAACGCCAGAGGGCCGAGCGCCTCAAGCCGCCCCCGCCACAGTCGCCGCAACGTATCGATTATTATCAACCCTGCTTGGATCCCGATCAACCGAGTATCATTTATAGCCCCCTCAACGAGGGCTGGTATGGTTAGTGGCTACACTTGTTTTTTTTTACCTTTTTTTTTGCTTGTCTCTGTTTCTGTCTTGGTTCCTCGTTCTTGTTGTTCGTTGTTTTTGTCTTTGGTATTGGTGCAGGTGAGTAGACGCGACCGCGGACTGATACCCGTAGGCTCGTTCGTGTGTGTCGGTTACTGGTATAAAACATGTATACTTTTTCCTTCTCTCGAGCACTAAATTATGAGGCTTGATCGTTGTCCACAGGCGAAGTGAATCCAGGCTACGTGAACGAGGCCCAGAGCGTCGCCGGATCGCGCAAGTCCCTGTCGATGCGGCCCGTCCTGCTGGTCTCGGGGCCGCCACCGCCGCCTCCCGAGCAGGACCGCTACAGCGAGCTGTCGCGCGGCAAGTCGCACTCGCATCATTCGCTGTTCGCCGCCGGGCCTCATCCCTCGGCCATGCATCATCATCATCACACCAACACCCTCAACCACTCGCAGCACAATTATCAACTGTGATGATCGCGAGGACGAGCATCTCGCAAAGACTGCAGATCGTTTGGGATTGTCGAGCTCTCGGCTTACTCGCGACTTTTCGCGTTAGTGGCCACGCTCTCCTCCCCTAGTTTTTATTACTGATAAATACGTATTTATTCGTTGTATATTTACAGAATTCAATCGTGTAGGATTCACGATGCCACTTGTTCATGTACGATTACTAACAGTCTGTGTATTGTGTTGACAAGGGCCTTTGCGCTCGATCGCGTGACTAATTTTTGTAATCGCGCCTAGTTCTTACGTAACTACTTCTCTTTTAGCTTTCCCAATGATATCAGATATAATCGTTCTACGCCGAAAGTGCGACTCTTAATTGATTTTCCCCCTCTCCTGCTCGAGAGACTACGCTCGAGATTACTGGCTGCAGCGGGGAAAATTGCAAAAGTGCCTACGAATGATTGATGAGCGGTTATGAGATAATCCTTTTAATCAAAAGCTTTTCACCACACAAAAGTTTGTTGAAATTTAAATGTTGAATTTTAAATTTGAGATTTAAATTTGCAAAAATTTTTTTGAAAAGTTTCCAAAACTTCGAGCTAAGCACTTTTTGTTGAAATTTGCCACAACGTGCATGTCCGTTTGCTCCAAGTCCGCACACGAGACTTGATATTATTTGTATTTTATTGAGACTTTGAGTAAATGATGTGTTAAGCGCCTGCTTTTTTTTGAGTATGTGTATGATTACAGTTTATTATTTTGTAAGTGTATTTATTAATGCATCAGTGTTATTCCGTCGATATATATATGTATATTTAATATGTTTACATATAATGTACACATATGCACATATATTCAAATATACATATGATATATTCGATAAAATCTGTCATACAAATAAGACAAAAGAAAATATAATCGAAAATTTTGTTTAAAAAAATGAAATGACAAACCAACATAATTTTGTTTCTTTTTGACTAGTATAATATCATTATATCTACATATATTATATTTTTCATATTATGATACATCATTAATATCACGACGAGTATTTTCTTGTTTTGTTGTTAACATTCAAATGGCTGGTTCAAAGCGTCACGAGAGAAAAACAACATGCGACGATTTTTCAACAGCTGCGGCAAGAGATGATACACAAGTAGAGAGAGAGAAAATTACAAGTAGAAATTAAGTACATGATAAATGGCTCTAGTTATTATGGCTCATTAGGGATAACAGTCAACCTACTTATTGGCTAAAAATCGTGTTATACTACAATATCGACAATCTAAACGTGTGTGTTGATTTTTTTTCTACATTACATATCAGCCTTAAAACACATACGACGTGAACAACCACAAGTTGATAATAGTCGTTCGTACAAGTGGAGAATGCAAGAGAGACAGAGAGAGAGAGGGAGAAAAAAAACGATTAAGCTCTAATATCATACAAATCGCTCCTTTGGAAAAAAGGAAAGGCGATTATTTGGTCGTCTCTCCTCGGTGAGATCAAGGGGTAAAATTTAACGCTATAATGGAGAATCGGCAAAAGGAAGTGTTATTATTTTACGAGCTATTAAAAAGCGCATGTATTCACACCCTCTGGAATTGCGAGCGCGCGTGTAACATTGCCGGGCAACAAGTGCTTTTATTGCGGCTCAGCAGTTGGCAGTCGTAAAGCTATAAGCTTGTCGCGCTCTCGCTCGAGGATGCACACCATGCTCCTTTTTCCTTATCGTATAACGTATTGGCGCGCGTCGACGCTTTAACTTTTACAATTCACAGCTCGGTTTTGCCCACGACGACGATGCCGCAAGGCTGGACGACTCCGGCTACGCCGAGTCTCGGCCTCTTCTTGGGGCACGCGTCGTCCTTTTTCAGCAGCTCCTCGATCGAGTACGGATTTCGTTTTTTGGCTTGCTGCTGTTGCTGCTGATGCTGCTGCTGCTGCTGTTGCTGCGTTTGTGGCCGATGCGGCGTTTGTCGCTGCTGTTGCTGCTGCTGCAACGACGCCTTGATGAACGTCGAGGACGGCCCGTCTCGATTCGGTGTACACTTGTTTGTCGGCGTAAAGGCGCTACACTTGCCGCCGAGCTCCAAGACCGTCTGGGGCGTCCGGCTGGGGCTTCTTTGGTAAGGCTTGGGACGCTGAGCGTTCGCGAGCGAGTCCGGGATCGTGGCCGACTCCTCGAGGTCGCTTTTGTCGAGCGAGTCCTCGCTGCCGAGGGTCGAGCTGGCGCTTGATTTCAGTTCGAGCAGCACCTGCGACTGCGACGATTCGGGATTGTCGTGGAGCCGCTCCGATTCCAGCGATCTGTGAAAAGCAACAAGCAGCTATGAGCGAACATTCATAATTCTGGGTTCTGTCGAGTGTCGTCGCATCTTCAGGTTTGTACCTCGCTATGTTCTGGAGGGTATGTAGGTGCGGCGCCTGGTAGAGCGACGAATAAAAGGAAGAGTTCCAGGCTGCCGACTGGGCCGTGGCGGCTTCGCTTCCTACGGACGAGACGCTCAATGGACCGAGGCCACCGCTCGCAGGATAGAAAAACTGGTAATCCGCTCGTACGAGTGTTTCTGCAAATGCCAAAACGTCAGCCAGACGAATACTACTATGTGTTATAATACAATGAAGCAGGGATGGGCTGCGTGCGTGAAAGCTACAAGTTCCGCGAAAAGGAGCCACCGTTGGGCTTTGTGCGCGCAAACTCGGAAACAATGTACTCGAGAGCATGTCTGTTCTAGGCAACATGCGATACAGCGCGATACACAAAAGGGTAGATGGGCTCGCGTGACGGCCATCGTCTATGATTGCCAGAAAGACGGCTCAATTTGCGCCGATCACGCACGTAGCCAGAGACATATCACTAGCCAAGAAAGAACGTTTTCGTACCAGTTTGAGCAGCTGCGGCTGCGGCTGCGGCGGCGGCGGCGGCCTGATGCACGACGACGTTGCCCTGCATCTGAGCCTGATAAGCCGTGGCCGCCGCCGAGGAAGAGGAGGTCGCCGACGACATGGACGAGTGCTCTAGGGACGGGTGCTGCTGGTCGGTCTGCAGGCCGCCGCCCCTGAGTATCCGATTGACGGACGAGACCGAGGGCAGGCTCTGGGGGTCGCAGGCGCCCTGACGCACCAGCTGCTCCCTTATCTCCCAGGCGAACATGGTCGGCTGCTCCTGCTTCATGCGCAGGATCTTCTTCACGACGCTCGGCGTTGCCACTTGCTGTAAGCATACATTACGCGTGAGACGGAGGCATTAGCGTGACAATTTAGATGGATGCGTACGCATTTATATGGATACTTTTGCTAGTTTAACGTGTATAGTCGTGTGCAGGGGTGGAGCTGGGCTCGGCTGGCAGAGGACTGCAAAAGGGCGTGTGCAATGCTAGGCTGACGCGTGGGTGGGTGCGCGTGCGCTCTGCGATTCGGAACTGCCTCGGGACTGCTGCTGCTGCTGCTGCTTATCGCTCGTTAACACTGTACGTTACAGTGTCGATGAGCCGATGCTCGCCAAGTCCCCGGGGACAATTGCAACGGCTACCCCCCGCTCTCTTCGGCTCTTATCGTTAACGCAGAGAGCCGCAAAGCTGCCGGTTCCTTTTCATATGCACGCGTCCGTATACAGTCGTGCTTCTGCCTTGGCTCCGAAGGGGACAGCTGCCTTTCGAGGCTTACTGATCGCCACCCTCTCGAGTAGTCGGGCCGGGCCATCGATGGACAATAATAATTGGCCAGGAAGTGTCGCGCGCTCGTGGCTCGCCCGGCTATGAATGCCAGTAACCGACAGATACAGATTCTTATCTCTCTTGCTCTTCGAAGCCGTCTTTCGTTGTCCGACGTTTAGAGGCTATATATACCACGCGGCTGATTTTCACTTTTAAGCCTCGTGTACGCGACTGACACGAATGACGATCGTCGCTGAGCAAAATGAAGAAAAGGCTCTTGCGCGAGACGTCTGCACGCTCGTATTGAAAATTACCGATCCAATTGCTGCCGCGTTTTTTCGACCTAGAGCGACACGACCATTTTCTCCAATTGAGACGTCGTAAGAGCGACACTTATCCAGGAAAAGTCGCGGCTGATTATATGAGTAGCAGTAATGAGACGTGTGGACGTTGCCGCGCTCGAGGCGAGGCCGGAAACTTTGTATTTTTATATAAAACATTTCTTCATAATTTATCATACGTACGTATACTCGCGCAAACACCCTTTAGACATTCGACAGAGATTCGTTCGCTCTCGAGCTCATAAGTGTTATAATATTTTCGAAATGGCTTCATCAGCCGCAGGTATCGCTCACGTCTCGCTCGCTACAATTTTCTCAAAAGTATCTCTAAATAACTCGCTGAATAATTGGACGCTTACAAAAAGAAAAAAAAGAATAAGAAAAAAAAATAAAGCAAGTAAACGACAATGTTTTCGTGTGTAAAATTGCGCGCACGCATATAGCTATACCTTCGTAATACGGTCAAACGTCCGACGAGCGGAACTGTCCTGCCTTGTTATTATTGCCTACCCTGTTTTTTCTTCTCTCTCTCTCTCTTTTCTGCTTTTTATACACTGTATACGTGTAGTAGCCAAGGATTATTATTATATGTATCTATACGGCGCATAGGCTGCACACTTTACTGTCTATGTTTGTACTTTTGCCGCGCGAGCTCGCGTGAAAAATCAAGCATCGAAATGTAAATACGCGAGAAAAGGCGCGCGCGCGTGTCTAGTATATAGGCAAGTTGGGACGCGATCTTAATTGGATGATAAGGCCTTGCTGCTGCAATGTTTGCGCTCGAGAAAATCGACTGCGTCTTTCGAGTGAAAATGCGATTCTGTGTTTGTGCATGCTATATAAGTGTGTGTGTGTGTGTGTGTGTGTGTGTGTATGTGCTTCATTTGTGCGGGCAAATTATTTGCTGATTGAGCGCTCCATATGCGTCGGTCGCACCAGTGGACACCTGTGAACGAGAAACTATTGCCTCTGTTTCTTTCATTGCTCTCGGGAAATCAGGCCTATGATTATATATCGTCGGAGCGTAAAATATAGCTCTATAGAGTGACGAATTTTTCTCGAAAATGTTGAAGCTCTCGACAACTCTGCCGATCGTTACGTCGCTTTCGAGTGAAAATTAGCTCGTCCCTCTGTGTATAATGATTTTTAGGAATGCGCCGGCCATTATTAATAATTATAAAAGTGTATATAAGTAGTCGGTTTTTGTCGCGTAAAAAATAATTTTCGCATTTGCTCGGCGACGCGAGCATAACCGTAAAATTGAAAAGTGTCATATTCGCAGGATGCACGTACGTATGCTCGAGCGCAAAACGAGCCGGCCGAATCTTTCGAGCCCGACACTTAGACATGCAAATTTCGCATGCTCGCCCGGGTGCATATCGCCTTTTTCAAAGTCATCATCATCATCATCATCATCGTCATCATAATCACCATCGGCATCGCACGATCGCCGAGTGTTTGCAAGCAGCGCGCGAGCAAGAGTCGATAATCGTCATTTTCGATTCTCCGTGTGCGAGTGTGCGAGTGTGCAGTGTGCGCTGCAGCTCGCAACGACAATTTGCCAACGCCGTTTTTGCATATTTTATGAAGGCCCGAGTACACACACGTACACAGCGCTGGCCATTTTTTTATTTATTTTCTTTTTTGCGCGAGAGCCTGCGTGACCAGGGCTCATTACACGTGTGGCTGCGGCTCGCACACTTGCATACATATACATTGTTGTTGTATTATTTGCTCGGTTATAGTTGGCGTTACGCGCATGGTAGTTGGGCCGCCTGCATTAATCCAGCCACTGGGCTACATCTATCGAGAAAAGCAGCAAAAGCGGACGAGCTACGAGTTGCCGAACGAGGCGCGAAACAGATTTTCGTAAAAGTAAAACGACGACCTTGGTCCATAAAACCTTACGCGCAACTCACGGGCGGCAGATTATGATTTTTAAGAGGGCAGTTGGCACCTCGTCCTCTTTGCATGATATCTTATAGCAGCTACTTGGCGCGTTTCTTTCTCGCGCTCGTTCCGAGTCGGCCGACGAAAATTATGCTAATCATCGGGTAGCTGTAGCCGGGACGCAGGAGTCAGGCAGCAGCAGCAGCAGCATAATGCACGGTAATTGCGCTGCACACGCGTCGTCCTCCTCGGGATCCTCTTAAAATCGCATCGGTAACGCTACTGAAAAACGTGCCGATCGCAGGCTCGTTTTTTGAAGGGCCTCACTTCTCGCTCGCCTGCCCAATTATCACGGCAATAAACTCGCTGCAGCTCGCGCCAAACTATGTACTCTCAGCTTTCGTTTCTTTTCACCCTTTTTCCTTTTCTTTTCTTTTTTCGCCTGCTTTTATTTTCTCTTACAAAGAGCCTAAAGCCTGTTTAAAGAGAGAAATTTTTCGTGTACATCTCACACGCGAGTTTTAAAAAAGTGGGTGCACACACACATAACACACAGTACACACAGGTACATATAGATTTTTAGCCTCGGGGCCATTTGCATAATTCTGAAAATGCCGATCGCTACTCGAGTCCGAGTGCAGCGAGAGATATTTGTGTCCGAGGTTTGCCACCGAGAAAAGGAGCGCACGCGAAAATCCTTTAGTCGCTGCGGTACGCTCCTTTCAATGGGCACATAATAAAAAATATATATATCGTGTATGAATGTAGGCAGGCAGGTAAGAGCGCGAGAGAAAGAGGCGGCAATTTACGGCGCGAAATTTACAAACGACGAGCTGCAGCTCGCGCCCAATGAGGATACACATTTTATTTTATTAGGTGTTGCACACACGCGCGCGCAAGTGCTCGATTTTTACGAGTTTTCGCAGGTCGGGCTTCCGCGGCGGCGGTCGAAGCACGCAGAGCTCCTACCGTTAAGCGAAAAAAAAAGACAAAGACTGGATGCAATTGGCTCAAGTTTATATGGTTGAAGTGCGAATAGCTCGAGTTAGAGAATGAAAAATCGGTCGATCACATACGGTGGCTACCTTGGTCTTGCTGCCGCCTATGCTGCCTGGCCTGATGCTGCCGGTCTCGTAGAACCTCGTGAGTATCTTGGAGACGCAGCCGTGCGAGACGAGCAGCTGCCTGGATATGTCGCAGGGCCGGACGCCGACCAGGGCCAGCTGGACGATCTTCTGGCGCACGCAGTCGGGCAGCGGTCGCCCGTTCACGAACACGCCGCCGAGTTGGTTCACTCCGGCTTGACCTAGGCAACAAAAATCACTCGCGTTAATTGCTGTATATACTTTCGACGGAATTGAAAGAGAGAGAGAAAAAGAGAAGGGGGGGGATTTTAAGTAAGTTTTACGACGGCCGAGCTATGTTTCTAATTCTCGCTTCTCATAGGGCCGTAAATATTTTCTCGCGGCTCGGCACGCGCTTGCCGCGACTTATTAAGTGTTGACGACGAGCTCGAGCGAGGCGCATCATCGCTGCTCGACGCAGCTATAATGCTCGGCACTCTACGCGTACTCGACTCGTAAATATTACTGCCCGCTGCATTCCGCCGCCACAGACATTTCGCACGGGGGGCAAGTAGGTTGCATTTTCACCTGTACGAGCTACATTATATTCTCTATATTATATTCTATATTTCGCATTATTGTGTATTGTATATCATAGGTCGCGCTGGACGGAGCGAGCAGATCTTTGTCACGGCCCGACGACCAACGGCTTAATGCATGTATAATATAATACGCGCGTCGCTGCTCGGACTCGGCAAATGCAATTTGTTAACGAGATAGAAATGTCTTTTCGGCGAATCGCGCCTCGCTCGATGACTCGCACGCAATAAAACATTATACTATCTCGCTCTCTCTCGTACAGCTATATACGTGTAAGCGTGACGAAGCTGGCCCCGTCGAATAACGGCCATCGCTCGAGATTCTCGTCGTCTTTGGGATACGCAGACCGTGGCTCTTGTAGCGCATGGCCGACTCGATATACGTATAGCTGCGACGCTGCACGATTCGCGGGCGGATCCGATCTCGGCCGCTCTGAGAAAAAGCCCAGCTATAAAGAAAAAGAAGAAAAGGTCTGCGTGGAGGCACGCGCCTTCACGTGCAGCGGCTAATTACCCCATCCCTCAGCCATCCTAACAACGTCCATGATAATAATGTCATCAAGTCCAATTATCGGCTACACATGCGCGCCACGGAGTTTATTGCCTCAAAAATACATCGTCGTACGTACGAGCGAGCGAGCAAGCCGCGCCAGCCTGACGGCCGATAAAAAATTGCTTTCTCGAAAGTATATCGCGCGCCGCTTAATGTAACACAGAGAGAGAGAGAGAATACTTATCCGCCGCTGACGACTCGATTATATTATTACCCTTCGCCTGGGAATTTATGGGCCAAATTGTCAGCATCTCGTTGATCACTCGATGCGGCCCCGATCGATGCGCCTCGGCAATTTGCACTTTTTTAAATGCCATTTTCGTTGCTACATACAATCGGCTGCGTCGGTCAACTTGGCTTTCCGGAAAAAGCACGGCTAGTTCCGTCAAAATTGATTGTTATATAGCACCTAGCTAATTAAAATGCGCTTATTGCGACCGACGCGATCGCAAATGACAACGTGGATCATCGTATGCAAAAAAAGTAGGAAACGCATTAAGATCCCATTTGAAGCTACCTCGACCCATTCTTTCGTCTTTTAGCCGTCTTTTAGTTTTCGGGAAGGTAATTTAAGGAGAATCGATTAGTCAAGGTGAGAAAAGCAAAGGGACGACAGTCTGTGGTCAGCTCGTCGAAATTCCTGTCGCAAACTCGTGTTATACAGCGAGAGCCTAAATTATTATTAATTGTGCTATAAACGGAAGTGCGAGCTCAAACAAGTACCAAGAGAGAGGGGCGCTTATTGCAGCGTATCAGCACCCCCTTTTTCGTCATTTTAAACAATAAAAAGTTCAGACTGGTAAGTAGATGTATATAACGACAAAATGAAACTCGTAAACAGCCCGTAAAACAAACAAAATTATGCAGCCCAAAGACGCAAGAGAGGAAGGAAGGAGTGCGCGCACAACGAAACACCAAGAATGATACGAAGAAAAAAAAACGAAAACAATGAAGGAAGGGCCGACGGAGAAAGAAGAAAGGAGAAAGAAGAAAAGAAGAACAAGGCGAAATTAGTCGAAATCAAGATTTGCTCGATTGTCGTCGTCGTCGTCGTCGTCGGGGTATAAGAACGAAGGTAGGCTTACGAGAAGGAAGATAGGTGCAGTGCGCACCTCATACGGGGCTATTTAAGCTCGAGAAGGGGGCCGCCGAAGCGCTGCGCGAAATTAGCGCCGAATGGCCTTTCGATGCCTATCGGACCTTTTGCTCATTTAGACCCCTCGACGCGCAGAGAACACGCGCCACCTTACACGTGTATTTGTACACCTGCTGACGAGCGAGCTGCCTAAACGGATGCGTTATTGTCTCATCTCCTTCTTTTTTCCTTCCTCTCTAATAGAGGATGTGCGAAAATTTGGCCCCGTCGCTAATAGACTTTATATATACCTATATCGTTGGCGTTTTATTGATTTTTCGACTAGAGCCGCGGTAATTGATTTTTTGCCTCATCGATCTACTAATAGTAGAGTGGACCTGTTCACAGGTGCGTATAAATATACACAAGGCAGATATATTAAATATATACGAGCGCGTGCGAAAGGAGAAGAAGAGATGCTCCTCTTGATCTCGACCAACACATACTACACGCATATCTCGATACACATAGGTATATAATTTATACGGATCGGCATGCGACCAGATCGATTTGTCGATGACGTCTGTGGTATTTATTTTTATAACGACGAGGACAAATCGAGCCAACGAGGCCCGAAATTCGAAACAATTCGTCCGATCGCGAATGACACTGACTCATTGGTAAAACGGGAAGGCATACTATCGCTGCCTTTAATTACCGTGAGGGGAATTTATAAATTCGAAAAAGTATAGCGGATCCCCGAGATTTTTCAACTATTCCGCGGCTTTTTAATCGTTCGGCAGAATCGACGGCTTGTCGCGTCGCTCCGTCTCTGATGTTTTGCCGAAACGGTAGCATAGTCGTCTTCGTCGCCGCGCGTATCGATTAATGTATATAAACGATTAGCATCTTCCTCTCTCTCTTTTTTTTACCGTCCCCAAAGAGAATTCTCTCTCGTTCTCTCTCTCGTCATAATACATTAATCTAATTTTTCACTATTGATGCCGCGAACGAGCGTATACGCTTTTTTACGATTATGGCGAGATGTTGGATGGAACTTTTTTGCGCGCGCGCACGCCTCTCCCGCTGAATTTTTCGTATATCATCGCGTGCAGACTGTTGCGAGGCACTTTATAAAAAGGCAATTAAAAACGATAATTCAAAAAGTCGTCGAATAAAAGTGCCCAAGCCGGAATATAGGCGAAAAAGGGTTTTGTTAGAACCGCGAATTATTGCTCGATCTCGAGCCGAGCAACTATTAATTTTTATCATCGATATTTTATTTACAATCGTTCATAATTCGGCATTAAAATGGTTGTATCTCAAGTTTGGTCCTTACCTGTATGCGGCATTTCTGCGACTGCTTTGGAACTCGAACTGCAAAAAGAAATCATAGCGACGATATAAATATCATTAAAGTGCATATGGAACTGCGTATACGAGGCATCATCGGGCGTTATTTCAGCGATTATGATAATGAGCCTAGCGTGAATCGTACACACTGTATATATAGCCTAATGAATTTTAATGCTCCATTATAGGCGAGGGGCGAGCATGACACCGTAGGACGCGTCGATGTGTGCGTGTGCCTCGGCCGTCCGCGCGTATATAAGTGTGCCTCGCTCTGCGCTTGTGTGTGACCGATAACGGGGGTGTGCATATAAAATGTGTTACGAGCGACTAGGCCTAGCCGCGTGACTCCTCGTCGTTAGATGCCAGCCCGCTGCTTTTTGCTGCTGCTCGATATTTTCCACTTTAGCGCTGAAAATTTTCACGCGACTCTACGACAATGCGCGAGTAAAGCAAGAAAAAGCAGGTAGGAAAAAGGAGCCAATAAAAAACCGGTACTATTACGTATCACGGTCAATTAATCAGCTTCGGGCAGCTTTGGCCGTAGTCCACTCGAGTCGACTATCCGAGCCATATCGCTAAATACAGTTTCGGCGTAAAACTGGTATTAATTGGCCGACTAAACTGCCACTGATAGCCGATGCTGCTCCTGATTGATTAATCATCTGCGGCTGGCGGTCGCGCGGGCCATCCCGAAATTTATGGCCGTTCCGTGAAATCGAATGTTGACTAATTTCAGCGTATGCTAAGTAGCAAGTAGCCAACAGAAGCAGCAGCAGCATCTTGCGCGAGTACATTTTTCATTTTTCAAAATTTGGATTTTTATATACTTTTGCGCATATCGGAACGTCGACCGGACTTACAAAAGTGGTATATAAGGTAGCAGGTGGCTCTGGGCACTGGTCACACGATAGCGCGTGCTTAGCGATGCAAATTAACGCGCGATTACCGAAGCATTGGCTGCTTTCTTTTTTTTGCTCTTTGAGCTGGCACGGTATATATCGCGGCCGATTTAGGCCGTATACTCGAAGCTCTGACCCCCCCGCTCGGTATCGTTTGTTGTTGTTGTCGCGTAGGTACACATACGTGCGGGCTAATCTTGATTTAATTACCAGACATTATATGCGCGCGACCTCGCGGACACGCTTCTCGACTTTTTAGCATAAATTGATTTTTCTTCTCGCACGCGTCATACTCGTTGGCTCGCGAGCTTTGCTTCGCTCGTACTTGTATAATTGTACCTATATAGGCGCGTACTTTTATTCCTACAATATTTGTAGCGCATGTTTTTGCCTGTGAGTCCGGCGTTGCCTAGCGATAATGAGAATGAGCTCGGATAATTATATCGTTTATAAATCAGTCGGTGACGTCTTCATCCGGACGACGTTCCGCATGTCGCGCTCCTCGAAAATTCCTCCTTGTACCACTGTATACACGTTGTGTACGTCGCGTTCTCGGCGCGATCGCGCAATTAAAAAGCCATGGGCGCAGATCTGCTCAGGTCGGCATTCCCGAGGATCCCGAGCCGAGCCGCCAAGCAGCACTCGTCAATGTAGCCTGCATCCATCAAGTTCGCGCAGCTTCGTACGCTTTTTAGGCCCAGAACGCATGTGTACGCAGCAAATACTTAATCGTCCTTTGAAGTGCTTTTTGTGCTCTCCCTTATTATATACCCGCTACCTCTCTCTCTCTCTCTCTCTCTCTCTCTCTGCCTCGACAAAAATGAAATTTCATCTACAATATGCTGTAGGGAACGTATTTACGTCCCTTTGCAGCATATATACATGGCGTACACACGTATAAGGTCACGCTCTTGCGTGTTGGGAAAATCACCCGATTTTTCGTTGTTTATTCATTAGGTTGCGGCTGCTATACCGAGGCACAGTATATAGAGGTGTATTATAATAGCATGATCGCGCTTGCAAAAAGGGGGGTAAGTTCTCGCATACATAGGCGTCGCCGGCGGATCTCCGAGCGATATGCACGGCTCGACAGCCATAAAAATCTGAATACATTAGCGAGCGAGACTGCCATGTGAGCTTTTGCTCCCGATAATGCCGCCGACCGCACGATGCCTATCATGCGCGCCGCTAACCCAGCCGCCGACCTATACCTGTACCTGTCGACGGCCAACTTTCCTCCCCCCCCCCTTCTTTGCTTTTTCTGCCCCCGTACGGCTTTTATTTTTTTTTAGACGCGCAATATTTCAAGAAAATTGGCCATTCCGCAGTGTCGCATCGGTCGTGGGCCGTTGAAAGCCGCGAGAAACGATACTCCACTCTACTCCTTCAGGATGAAACAATGTGACTTTTCGCGATTCTATCGGTGCGGCCTCGATAGAGCTATTTCGTGTACGAGTGGCGTGTAAATTTCGCGGCTAATTTCACCTTATGAGTCTGTCTAGATCGCTTTTTTTCCTCCGATAATCTAGCTCGGTCGACGACTTTATTCCGTTAATCTTCGGCCAATGAAAACGATAACAGAAAAAGCTGACATTTATAAAACGCCCAAGTATATGAAAACGTTTGCCACGATATCGCCGATAAGGATCAGCCGGAACAGCATCGCAAGTATAGCAGCAGCAGCAGGTTCGCCTTTAAGCGCATTATCAGCGTGTACAAGCGATGACGACTGGGACGCGCCACGACAACCTCATCCTCGCCACCAAGTTTGCATGGAAATTCGAGATTTTCTTTCACGCTGCGGCCAATGTACACAGTTGTTTTTATGCTAATTTTCAGAGGCCGTCCCTCCAGTGCCTCGCACCAGCAGCCGAGGAAGAAACGAATCGCAGCCGATGTCGGGCCGTTAATTAAATTATTATTATGACGCGCTAAAGGAGCCAAGTAGCGGAGCTAAATTGTAGTCGTAAGCTTATTAAAGGCTTTTTTCTCCCTGGGCCGCTTGTTTACGAGTGACTGGACGATTTTTCAGCGCAGCGCGTACCAGTAAGTTGGAGCATTCGCGATTATTGGTCGGACGGTGGATAACGAAAGTCGCCTAGCTGCTACTGCTTCTTTGCCTTCTTTTTGCCCCTATTTCAGCTGATAAAGACATAATATTTACGCGTGATTAGAATTAAGAATTTCGCACCGAATTACAGGATACCGGCAGCCGAGGCAGATAAGCTGCGAGGAACTTACTTTTACAGTTAAAAGTGGCCGATTTTTTTTATTCTCGTTTTTGGTTGCTTGGCAATGTAGCACTTACCCATTCAAACGAATCCATAAATTTGACACATGATCGGACGATTCACGCTCGACTTAAACTCGCGGTAACTTATGGATGCACTGCGCGACACAGAGAGTCAGAGATGAGGCTGCGCAACGTGCAGGCCCCATCGCGCGTCGGACTCGCGACTGAGCAACGTGCTTTTTTTCTTCCCTCGAGTCGAGGCTGCTCGAGTGGAGGACGGAGGGAAAGCGCCTCGGTCATAATTGGAATAATTTGGTCGGCCAGTGCGCATGACTTACCGTGTATGTGCCATTCGTGCGTTTCACGGAGCGCGAGCGCGACGAAAAAAATTTGCATTTTAAATGAAGCGATAGCGTGCGCGGCGGCGGCGGCCTAGGTGTACACACGGCTACAAAGCAGTAAGCAGCGAGCTCGAGCCCGCTGACTTTATGGCAAGAAAAATCTTAACGCTTTTATCAGTCTTGAGCGCGATACGCCGAGGGTAAAAAGCGCGCCGAGCTTTATACGCTTACGCGAGCTTGTGTGTGCATATACATACAGTGTGACGAAGCGAGGCGCGATGTTGCTTTTTTGCCCCTTAGCTTTACCGCGTACTTTATTGGCCGGCAAACTTTTTACTTTCTTACGGCTAGGAATATAACGAGTAGGACTCACCGGTAGAGCGGTCAGCTCCAGGTTGCGCTGCTGCCGAGCCTGCTTGCCATCGGTCACAAAGTCGACTCGTCTTTCGGGGAAAATTCAACAGCTCTTTTGGCACGACAAAAATTGATTCACAGCCACGATAAAACCTCTTCGATGCAAAATAACAACGCGTGAATTTGTCTGTGTTGGTGTGTTGTTTCGGATGTGCTTCGGCCTACGTAAATGCGTGTGTATCGTGCGATGCTATCCACGCGATGGACACTGCGTGTCTGACAGCAACCACTTGAGCGAGAGCGATAGGATGTGTGCGAGCTGTTGCTGCTCACGTACAAAAGCGGGGGCAGTATATAGCAGAAGAGCTGCTGCTGCTGCTTCTTCTTCTTGCTGTTTCTGCTCTCTCTCTCTCTTTCTCTTCCTCTCTCTCTCTCGGTCTTTCTGCGCTCTATACGGCCCCCGGGCACGCATACAGAGACTGCGCCAAACGCGGAAAAGGAGGCGGTAACACTTTGCTTTGCGCGCGCGACGCGTGTCCGGATCGACGCCGCGGCTACGATTAGCTCTATATATTAGAGCAAACTCAACGGGAGGAAGAGGAGTTGGAGGAGGAGGAGGAGGTGGTGATACTTGCGCTGGTAGTGGTGGTGGTGGTGGTGGTTGCTGGACGCGGGTGGATTATTACATAGCACCTATAAGTGAACAGGTTGACAGGATGAATTAGAAATTGAGAGTCGATGCTACTGAGAGGATTGCGCGATTATACAGCTATTTAAGCGAGTCTCTCGATGTGGTGGGCCAGCAAAAAAGTTGTCCTCGTATAGACTAGGTGGCCGGATTTTTTTCTGCCCGTTAATTGATTTTTACGCCGTTGTTTTGCGCACACATGGACAAATCGACTATTTTGGCTTAAAACTGACTATAAGCACGCGACACACGCGCGACATGTAAATCACATTTTACTTTGGAATTTATACGAGTAACGAATCCTCTGTCGGCAAAAACTATTAGTAGTATATCAAATTTCTAATAAACGTACGAGATAGGCAGTTGGTTCGGTCGCCGAGGCCTCTTTAATGGATCGACTGACAAATAAACCGCAGCGCGGGTATCACATGCAGCCCTCGATGTTATGCCTGTACGTACGAGGTAGCGAGTAGCATCGGTGGCAGCAGCGAACGCGGACACGTTTACAGCCCCCCACGGAGTAATTGTCGGCGCTGTAAACGAGCTTACATAAGGTGCGTGTGCAGCCCGAAACTATCTTTACGCTTCGTTGAGTTTCGCCGACTAGCGCCAAATGCTTCAGCTCGAAGGACGAGCTGCTATTTTTATTTTACAACTCGATGATCACCGACGTCGCTGCTCGACTTTTTTCTATTCCAATGATTTATCGATTCCTACTTCATTGACGTATCGAGTCCGAGGGCGATCCCTGCCAATATGCAAATCGACCAAACTAGCCGCATCGTAACAAGGTCGCGAATGATAATTAGCTTTCGAAACATTGTACATTGTATCTATTATCGCTGAAAAATAAAAAAAGTTTACTCGAGTAAACGCCAACTTTTCGATTGGTATAGAGATAGTAAACGTATAGAAAACCCTTGAAATGTCCATCGAAGCGTAACCACGCCAGCCACCCCCGCAACTATAGTGTCTGGGATTCATTGCTGCATCCACGCAACAGCGATCGATCAGCGCAGCAGCAGCAGCAGCAGCAGTGGCGAGGGTCAAGCCTCGAGTTTTTGCGGTTCGGCCGGTCAACTTTTGCACTTTTTCTTCTCGTGGAGCGAGGAGAGAGCGAGAAAAGATAAGAATCCAGAGTGTAGCAGTGGATGGCCTAGAGCTCATAGGTCGCGAGCTCATTGGCTCGGCTCGAGCGCGGATACTCGCCAACCCCACCAGAGTAGCTCGGCGCCACGCCCAGGAAGGATGCGCCCGGCGAATCCCACCGTCAAAGGGATGATTCCGCCCCCAATCCCGATGCTCGACAGCTCCCACGTACACGGGGTACGAATCGCACCTTCCTATGCGCTCGACGTCCACGAGGGCAGAAACGACACGCGTTCGGATCGAGTACGTGCATGTTGCAATGCGTTGCCGGATGGATGCAGCCTCGCTCATTTTTTGTAAAATCGTAAAAATAATCACTCGCTAAGAGATTTTTCTGTTGGCCGGTCAAAGCTGCCGGGCGAATCGCGCGTATTATATTCACGGCGTGGCGTGCGCGGAGGATACGTTCCGAGAAGCGCAGCTTAGCGAGGCGCTAATCAAGATCTCAGCTGCGAACTGCAACCCTTTCCTCTAATCCAAGCCGCAGACTGCACAAAAGCGTGGATTCCCGAAAACTCGGCCTAAAATCTCGCAGCAGCGTCTCCACCGCAAATTTGCTGCTCGCTCACGGTCGCCGCTTCCGCGAAGTCGCTCTCTCTCGGCTGCGATAAAGCGACTAAGCGACCGAGTACCGAGTACGCGCCGAGGCCCGCACTTATAGCCCCGCGATAATTGTATGAAATTACTTCATTTCTTGCGCGCAGGTGTCAATGATATGGTACGCGTAATGCAATGCTGTAGAGTGCGCCCAGTCGACTAAGCGCACTTACACTTTAATATTATCCTAATATTTGCCAAAGTTTCCGCAACCGCAGCGCTGAAAAGTCCCAGTCGACTCTGTCATTAGCCATTGGCTTAATTATCAATTGGAGCGCTCGGCGATCGACGCGAGATCGGGAAAAGGCCTCGAAGAGCCTGAAACTACGTAAACTTTGCAAAAACAAACGCATCTCGGGGCAGCCAATTGTCTCGGCTACGTGCGTTCGATCAAGATGTTACGAGGCGCGTGCCACTTAGCTCATGCTCGAGTCGAGCTGGCGCAGATGCAGTTCGCTCCTACCTTCGTCGATCCGCAATCCTTCTTTTTCTCTCTCTGTCCAGTTCACCTGTAGGTTTAGGCAGCAAACGAGCTTCATTTCGCTCTCGCCGTTATTATATTTACGTATAATATAAAAATCCTGGGCATCGCGAGGCCGAGCTGCGAGTCTTAATGAATTTCCGTCCGGCGGAGCGCGTTTCGTCTATCCGTGCGCGCGCGAACACGCCCACAGCCGCACGCAGCCTGTACCTTTTGATGACTCCAAAGACGGAATAGAACGAGCTCTTGATGCTGCCTCTGCTCTTCTAATGATTCGAACAATGAATAAATTCAATATCTTAGAATAGCCATAAAAATTTCACGCTAAACAAGAGCAAAAGACGAGTGCACGAGCTATATAGCTGCTCGAGCGCTCAGTTTTTATGTGCTTTTGTCGCTCTTTCTCTCTCTCTCGCGTTTACATCGCATCACGATCCCGCATCGTAAGCGTTGCCATCTCATTAAAAGTAAATGATCCGACTTTTTCGGGCTCGCTGCCGCTGCAGTTTCTCGTTAGATCGGCCAAGTAACCCAAGCAACCTGTAATTTTAATCGTATTTATAAAAGCCAGGTTAAGAGTTCATGGCAATTATTATTATGCATCGAGACACACTACTACTAACTACTAACGCTGCAGCTGTGAATATTGTTTTTGGATATACTGCATAGAGTCGAGCATAATAACAGAGTATGGATGTTTACGAGGCTCGCCAAATGATATAGTTAAAATTCAATTGCGAGCAGTCGCAACGATTCTCATTAGCTGTAACGATAATTGTGGCAACGTCTTCATTCGAGAGCCATCGTACGAATTTATAAGAAATTAATTCATCCGCTGCAGTGGCGCTGCTCTTTATCGGTCAGTCGACGCGCGCGCGCAAAGTGCAAAGAGCAACGCAATAAAACCGCCTGGCTAAGTATCGCCGCGCCGGCTACGTGACACGATCTTGACCGAGCCAAGAGTGTGCAAAGCGCGAGGAGCGACGATCGGGCAATTAAAGCCGCTTTGCATGTTATAGGTGTACTCGACTACGTCGAGTCGAGTCGAAGTAGCGATTTTATAGTCGGCATTATGCTCGAGCCGTGCATGAGCCGAGCGCCGCGCATAGAGACAGCAGCCCGTTTACGACCGCGCCAACTATAGAACAAGTTAATTAGACTCGTGAATACCTTTTCGTATACGCGCGCAGCTCAAGCGCAATTGAAGTAGCGCGAGCAGCTTATGCTAATGGCTAATTTCTCATGCGAATATTATGTACCTCGTGAATTTTCCAAGCCGATTTAATAACAATGGGCCGCGAGCCATCCAGCGAGAGAAGAAAAAAGCATAATGAAAATTCCACGCTTAATAATATCGTGCCAGCGCGGCAACAGCAGCCCTACGGTCGTTTCTATTATTTACGAGCGCGACGCTCGGCGCTCCGCAGCCCGTGAAAAAGCGCTATATTTTCCGAAAAAAAAAGACTCACGGCCGAGCTGATTTTTGAGCCGCTCGTTCGACGCGGCGTCGTCGTAGCCCGCATAGAGCCCTGCAGACCTCACCGCGAGTTTTATGCTAAGTAGACGCTGCTGCGGGACAGGGAAGCGCAACTCGAC